ACTATAGACCCATTAGCCTCTTATCGCATGTATACACATCTTTTCTGTGAAGATCATTCGGAACAAAATAATGGGCAATTTAGGAACCAAACCAACCACATGATAAAGTCAGGTTTAGGGACGCTTTCACAACCATAAATCATTTACTATCAGTCACATTTTGGAAATAACTTTTGAACATAAAATAAGTTTAAGTTTATTTGATTTCATATTCTTGGGTCTTTCGGTAAAGTCTTTGAACGTATCTACGTGACTTTACCGAAAGACCCAAGAATATGAATTCCTGCAGTCACGAAAGCTTTAAGTCAAGAATTATTTGATTTGTTACACGGATTATGCTGTTTAGCCAGTTTCCTGGCTATATTAGATGGGAGATTTGTGGTGCTGTGTGAGCACAGCATCAACAAAGCAGAGACAGAAACATTAATATTGTACAATGAGGCATACATTATCACCGACACTCTGTAGATGCAGTCATGCTCTCACAAATCAAAGGCTGAATTTAAAAAAAAAGATTACGAGAAATAAATAGTAGCCCAAAATGACTTTATATTAAACACCAATATAGAACATAGGCATGTATATGTCTATAATTGTAAGCAATAAAAAAAATCTGAATACAAAAATCAACATCCTATCCCGTCACGAAATGTGAAACCTCCCTTTGGAACATTCAAATCTACTTCTGAAGCTCCTTTAGCAGCAGGCATTTGTAGCCACAGTAGAGGCACACCTTCGATAACACCTTTAAGATAATGCTAAATGTCAAGTTGAAAATGTATAATTCTCATACAGTAGTTGCAAAAAGCTGACATAAGTGACACCACGTTTTTTACAATATGGATTTTTTGGGCAGTCATTGCACAGCCTGGGCTGAGAGCGTTAATGCGCTCTCCTTGATAACCCTGTCCGATCACAGGTAGCTGTCTGGATTCAAACCTAGTCTCCGAGCAGTGGCGGGTTCAGTGCTCTCACACGACACGAGCCACACAGTCTAGCTTCAACGAACACTTACATGGACGTGCCCACCAAGAGAACAACAGGTTATTGTTTGTGCGTTTCTACTGCGATCCATTGACATGTATACCCCACGAAGATAATGTGGAGAAATTAAAGCGAGAACAACATTAAAATTCAAAGCTTGTACATGTCTCCCACCAATCTCAATACACGTATGAAATATTTTTTTAACACTCTCCTCCATGAGATATGGAGACATCGATTTCACAATATCCACCTGTTCCGTGTAAAGTAAGGGGATCATTAGAAATCATTGGGGTCTGTATAATTGGAAATCTCTGTATTTGCACTCACAGTATCATTAAACTTCAATTTTCTAAACAAGTTCGCAACTGTGTGTGGGTGCTTTCAAGAAATAATTTGAATAAAGCATCGCGCAAGTTCATTACGATGATTATTTTTGTGCTTGCCAGTTATTTTCTTCCTTATAAAATGAAAATAATAATTTGAATTCACAACTCTTCCCAATCCACTCCTGATGAAAAAAAACGCCTCCCCATGCCATGTTATGGGGGTTGTCTGACCATACTTTACCATGCTGGTCAACGTGGATTTGTGAAAGATGGTTAAGGTGTCGCTTGCCGACGGTGTTAGCCGTCACCGGGAATTGACCTTGAGATGCCCAGATTCATAGTGCAGTATGAAAATCGCAGAGACACTGCTCTACAGCTTCATCTCCTTGTTCCTGTTATTGACCATGTGTAGTCATTATTTTTTTTATTTACATTTCTATCCCCATTATACATTATCAGGAACGAGACACAAGGAAGCATTTGAACTCTACTGTCAGACTTCACAGACAGCTGGGTCACACATCACAATGAAGAGCAAAATATATCACACACCCTCCACCAATCTCCCTTCAATAGATCTCACCTGCAGCCACTCGGGCTGCACAGTTCAGCTGTGCATATGACTTGCATGGCCCTTGTTGACGTGACAGTTGTTCTAACAGTAACAGCAAAGGAGAAGAGCTTGCAAAAATAACGGCAGCAATGTTTACATGTTTCATGCTTTTCGCGATCAACCGTACGTGCAGGACAGCTCGAATTAAACATGCCCGCTCCGCACATAGGATGGTTGCTATTCCGAGCGTGCGCTGGCCACTGTTGTTGAACACATTTTATGCCATCAGAGCCAAAGTTGATGCCCGTTGTCAGCACAATGTCCAGACTTTGCCAAGTATCTTGACCAAAGCGTTTCTGAGTGTTACAAAGCAATACAGCGTGCCTTGGGCCATTCTGAATTCAGCACGGTGCGTGTAGTTGCTCGTTAAAATTCAATCTTTCTTTCTCATTCATATATTCTAATTAATTTGGTTATTGACTGTTAAGATTGGCCGCTGCCTTGTATTTCTCTTGGCGTCAGTGATATCGTACAGTTTAGTGCATGTCAAGAGAGCTGTGGATATATCTTGGCACCGAGGAGGAATGTGTTGGGGGACGACAGGACGTCGAAGGGAGGGGTCATTTAAATACAAGCAGGAATATTTATCATTTGAGTGCAAATGGACATGTGCCAGCCAAGTTGGTTGATGTTTCCTGCCTACATGGCTTATGTAAGCATAGTTGAACTTAGAATTTTTTTTTTATCGTCCCCAGGAATGAAACATTTGTGAAGCAGGATTGCGTAATTGCATTGTGCTGGGCTACACAGAGGAGGCACGTGTTAGGGTTGTGACTTCGTGCAGATTTGAGCCTCCGCAAAGTTCATTCTTTGATTGGAATCTTTGGTTGAAATGAAGAAATTTCTGCCGCGTGTGTAGATAGATTTTGTTATGGTTGTGGCGATTCGCACACCGCTCTATACAATTTGGTGAGCAGGGTTTAATTCCAGAAAATGCTCAGCGGCAAGTAGTTTCTAAATAGGCTGGATCCTCCCCTAGGTTAGTTCAGCTTAAAATGTTTCTGGTATGGTATGGGGAAATTTAGCACTCGAGAGACGATGGCTCAGCTTTGCTTGATGTTGGGCCACAGCACCGCTTAGGTGCTCAACAACAAATCTTGCCCAAGTGGATTATACATTCACATGGTTTTAGTCTGTTCTCTAATAATTCTCAAAGTTTTTTTTGGCGTGGTCATACTGCACGAAATTCGCCCTGGTGCCTTTAAGAGATTGGTGTGGATATTTATATATCTATCTACTCGCTTGTGTAATGAACTATCAAGAACACTTTGCCCCAGAAACACAACGGGCTCATTTGCAGTCTTATATGAAGCCCTATACCAGGGCTATTGATTTTTGACAGCAAGACGTGTACAATTATTAGCCACTTTTGGCTTGCAAATCAATAACACCGGAGTCTCCCCTGCCGTCCAGTCGAGGGGGCCTTCCCCCTCTATACATGACGAGCCAGAGTGCACCTAACCTGGCACGAGTGTCGTATGTATGAACTTCTTTTGCACCGTACATAATCAACCGGTGTTAATTACTGCCACTGTTTACTCATGGTAGCTGTTGCTGCTGTTGTGCGTGTGTACGCATGTATGCATGCACAAACGTGTTTGCATGTGTGTGTTTACAATATTTTTTTCCGGATCTTGAGTGTTTATAAAACGGTGAGCTGGCAGTCCCAGACATATTCTTGGTTCTTTCGGTAAAGTTTCCCTTCTACGTGACTTTACCGAATGAACCAAGAATATGAATCCCTGCAGTCACGAAAGCTTTAAATCAAAAGTACCAGACATGTTTATTGAATCGAGGGAGCCTGCTGTCAGAAATTTACATTTACTTTGTTTATTGTTGTTTATTTTAAGGCACGCCTATTTCCCCCTAGCAAATAACCCGTGGACATAATGAGGTAGACGAATACAAATGCTGTGTCACTGCAGCATAATATACATTATACGATGGAATGCTGCTTTTTAATCCAAAAATGACTGGTGAAATGTGTGGTCCATCACATTGCATTGCCTTTTGTAGACATTCAATACCCTGTAATATTATTATGAAATATAAGCCATTGGGTGCCTTAGTTACATCCCAGGTGTTAAACTAAAATTAAATTGTAAAAAAATGTTCCCAACATAGCTATGGGTAAACAGTCTTCATTGATAGAGTTGTTGATGGCTCAGGTTGAGTTCTCTTAATAATAATAATGTCGATTTAAAGCTTTCGTGACTGCAAGGATTCATCTTCTTTGGTTCTTTCGGTAAAGTCGCGTAGAATGAGAATAAAATAATAAATTGATAAAATAACACAATAATATTCTCACGACGTTTCGGCCACAACACAAGCGGCCTTCATCAGGTGACAGTTTTCGGCCACAACACAAGCGGCCTTCATCAGGTGACAGTCTGGAGGACAGCTGACGAGACAGTCTGGAGGACAGCTGTCCTCCAGACTGTCTCGTCCCTTCACCTGATGAAGGCCGCTTGTGTTGTGGCCGAAACGTCGTGAGAATATTATTGTGTTATTTTATTTTATCAATTTATTATTTTATTCTCATTCTACGTGACTTTACCGAAAGAACCAAAGAAGAATAATAATGTCCTTTATCCAGGCAAGCCTGGATGGACTCTTTTTCAAGAGGGCTATGCATTGGGATATTTGGTAAGTGTTTTGCATGTCAGAATTAAAGTGCATAGAGAAAACATAGGCGTTTGACTATATAGCACTGACAAAAACATAGACACGTCTCAACCCCATTTACTCGACTGCCATCTCTGGGCCACCTGTAGACTCACAGTCTCACGGCAACGGCTTACATCGCACCTCTTGTGGGCATTCGTCAAATGAAAGGCATCGATCAACATAATGTTTGTTATGGAATTCGAGGCTGCAGTGTATGTACGTATGTATTTATTTAATAAAATAAAGTCTAATTGGGGGGGATGAACAAGTGTTTGAAATGAAGCCGCCCGCGGTCTGTTGGCGTTTCCTTTCCTGTCTGTGTTTGCGTTGCCATGGGCTGTCGCTGATGCTGAGTCTGGACCCTGTGCCCCCCCCCCCCCTCATTTCTCCCCCCCCCCCCCCTGCAGGCGATGCCTTTGCCCAGTTCCGCTTCACCGATGAGAGGGAGTGGGAGGCAGACTCGCTGGAGCGGCGCCAGGTTTGTTTCGCGGGCAGGTCCTCACTCCTCTCGCTTGTTGCACGTCCGCAGCCAGCCAGCGTCGTGGGCATGGCCGCCATCTGTCTTCGCTTGTTGTCCTTCGCCGGCACGTCCGATCAGCACGGTTGGCTATGTACGGTGCGAAATAAGTTCAGCGTACATGCATGCATACGTGTTTTGCATTGTGCTCGCTGCGTCATTGCAGTTGGATGGCGCAGTTTTGTTTTTGCTTTACTGTCATTTTGGCACAAATTTGGTAACGCCGGCCATTTAATGCAATCTAAGTCCAAGGCGTGTCCTCACACTGACGTGCATCGGTAGGCGCCAGTCTCTTAGTGGGGCCAACCAATGTTGACATCCACAAAAGTGATACTTTTTTTATGACCTTGCAGAGAAAATGGGATGGTTATAACCGTGACTGGGATTTGAATTCACAGCCATCTGGGTCCGAGTTGAGCACTCGAGTGCCAATTGTCGAGGAGGTAATGCTGATGAATTACTGTACCATGAAAATGAGGTCTTTGTGTTTTCACCTTTTTGTATTGTAGAGGAAAAAATAAACGCATTAGCAATCAGTAGAACAAATTGATGTCCTTAGAGAGGTAAATTTCACAAAATGTTGCCTTTACCCAGGTAATTAAAGAATTTAATTATCACTGTTTTGGCGATTTGCTTTAAATTCTGCAGTGGGAGTATATCTCAGATATGCCCATAATGCAATTTGAAAACTGAAATCAGCCAAGCGTGCAATCACTGTGTTTCTCTGAATTACACAGTGCATTGAGGGTATGAAAACACAGGCAACTGTGATTAGCAGGCAATTATCTAGTCAAGTCGAACATGGGAGCGAGCATACACCGAGACAGTGCGTAGCAGCATACAGCCTCCGGCACCAACCCCGTGTCACATCAACCCAATTCTCCCCCTAACCAGGCGAGATACCCTAGCAACACACCACCTTTTGCAAGAGCTGTGCGTCATGTGCTATGCGACCAGCGCATAATGGGTCTCCAGTTGTTCATAGGTTGTGCAGCAAACAGTTGACTTGGTATTGATGCCTCAAATAAATTATCAGGTCGAAGTGGAAATTGAACTTGCCATCAATTGTGCAAACGGTTCAGTGGTTGGTGTAACTGTCCATTGATCACCCAGCCACCCCGAGCCAATTACCTGCTTAAATGCATTTAATTTTGCTGGGATAATAAGAGAAAGAAAGTTGAATGATTTATTGGGCAGCATCTAAGTTTTTGACAGAGAAATGCCCACTAGTAGCCCCATAGTACAGCCCCATCGTACAAATATTCAGCATAGATTTTATTGGTCGCGAAAGCCTACGTGTTAAACTGATTCAGCATAGATGTTGTATTTGCGACTTTACATGTATAATGTAACAAAGGAAATGAATATCACAAGCTGACAGATCTGCACATATATAGCCACAGGGTATTTTGCCATCTTGTTCCTCTAAAACGAAATACCACTGAGTTGGACTGCACACTGTTCTCATGTACTCATTTGTGTAAATAATTAGCTGGGTTCATAAATTTACAGGGCAATTACTCCCTTGGTAAGTAATTAGACGTAAATTGTTTAAGTGCGCGAAAAATACTTTTTCAATCACTTGCCTTTGAGAAATGTGTTGAGAATACTGAGGCTTGGCATGGTTTTTATGGAAGGGGTAGGTCACGTTTATGAAATCTGCTTGACATTTTCGTTTAGAATGGCACTGGCAGTGGCAGACAAAGCAGAGGGCTTCGGTATATTTCATTTATACTTCTCAGACCGTCTTGCTTTGGAGCCTCGTGGAGGAGATAAGGGCACCTAAGATGCAGACTTCAGTGGAAATTGGATGGGGAATTGGCTGAATGGTAAATTGCAGATGTTAAGTCAAAAATGCTTTCACAGTGCATTGGGGGCTTAACACATTCTTTGCCTTGAGGTCATCCAGGTGATAATCAACTGGAAAGAAAAAAATACTGGAAAATATCGGTGAAAACTTATTGGTGTATGGTATATATTGGCCACTCTGCATATTATTTCGTCACGTTATATTGCAGCCGTGCTCTTGGCATCGTGCAGCACTTAGGATGATGGCAACACTTCTGGAGTCACTTCAGTAGAACTCTTTTTCAGCAATAGACGGAGCACTTTTACCTCCGTAAAAAAAGTGTTCATCGCAAGGCATGATTAGTCCTCAAAGAGTTAGAAAATGGCTTGGAATCTGGGCTCGAGCCACCTGCAACGAAGCCAGGTTCTCAAGTGGAGTAAGCTGCAGATTTTCCACGTGGTCTCCAATCATTGTACAAAAACAACATTAATAATGATTTATTTTATTGCTTAAATTGGCAGAAAATACCTCTCAAGACACAGAAGATTTGATTTAACGCTATTCAACTTGTGAAGATAATAATTATTTCAACTTGCAAGATGCAGGCACCAAGAACCACAGGCAGATGTCCTCTATATATGAAGGTGTTATCGGCCAATTAATGAGCATTTACATGTGAGGAAACGAGAGTACCTGGAAACAACCCACGCATGCAAGGGGGTAAAACTCTATCCCATGCAGATGGAAACAGGTGGAGACCACATTTTCTGTTACTGCCTTGACTTGGCAAACCAGAGTACAGCGCCTGAAAGCCTACCGGAAGAGTTTTTCGCACACATTCGTGCGAACCTTCACAGTGCTGAATTACTGGCGTGCGCGACCACCGCCCGGCTCGATGCCCACGGCAGTGTGTGCTTGATGTCAGCTTTGAGAGAATAAATCTTGAACCATGCGTCCCAACCTTGAAAAAACCTGCACTCAGATTCGCTTTAATTGCCTTGGGCCATTCCGTGCAGGACACGTAAGGGAGCGTGATCTGGTGTTCTGTGGAGGAAACCAGTTGAGGTAATGCCGGAAGTAGTTAACTGATGTCTTCATTCCAGGCCGTTCTCTTACCCAGTATCTTGTCACTCATTCCGTCGCTTTCATCTGATGCCACCAGAACAATTGTAAAGTAGTTGAAGGATTTTTCAAAATAATTGAAAGTTAAGGTAGCACGACCTAATGCTGTGTAACGTTCCCTTCCAGATGGATGCTCTCTCCATTGACTGCGAGGCCATTGCCCTGGCTCTTCATGGACTACCGCGTCACTTGAGACTCAACATCGAACCGGAGATAATCCTGGTGCTCAAGCATTGGCTGTTATCTTTTATTAGCCGAGCTGCTGACCATAAAGGCTCCCACTTTATATGCATTTGCACTGCTTTTTTATTGGTTCGTACATCAACAAAGCATAAAACTGTTAGAGTATGCTCGTTATTGCATTTTATGTGGCTTCATTTGTATCGCAATGAAGATGAGTATTTACATAATGCTGTCCAGGTCAAGCATCAATAGTGCGACACCTCTCCTGATGGCTTTTAAGTTGAAGTGTTTGAGTATCGGGAGATTCATCTATTATTACACACGTGTTGTTTTCACCAACGTTACCTGTATTGGTGGTAGAGCATTCCTATAACGTAGTGCTATCGAAGTAGGTCGTGATGCTCTGCACAGATTTAATTGAATACAAAAGCCTCATTGCAAGGCTACTACGAGGTGGCCAGTACAGCAAGTCTTTTGCTGATCTGCATTTTCTTACACAGTGTTATCTCCTGTTATACACGGGCTTTCTCCAGATACTTTGATTTCCTCTACAAACCAGAGGATTGCATATCGCTGATCGAAAATTGGCCAAACAACTAAAAAGAATATCCTGAGATTTAGTAATGATTTTTCAATGAAACTATGAAGTGTACCTCAATGCAACTAATACTAAATCATGGCCTTTCTTGCAGGATGTGATCCCCAAGGATATTGGGAAAGTTCCAACATGGTCAGTGCCTAAACTAGACTTTAAGCAACCTACAGTTCACAAGCCGGCCTTTACTGCTCCGAGCCCTGCCACCACCACCACCACCGCCGCTGCTACCACTACCACCACCACTCTCATTGCCTCCAAGATTGTTTCCCCTGCCACTACTACTAACATTCACTCACGAGAAACGTCAGGGTCCGGCACAGACGCACACCAAACGGACTCCGCTAGCCTGTATTTAGTCACCGAGACAAAGAGCAGAGGCCCTTCAACTACAAAGGAGCCGGATGGTGGTGGTGTTGGAAGAAGTGTTTTGGCAAACGTGGAGGTCGTGCCAGACGTGTTGGATGAAGAGCTGGACTTCCTGCTCTCACTAGACAAGGCAGCAGCACCGCAGCCGCCCTCTGTGCCGGCGGAACACTCTCCAGAGAGCGCGCCGGGTGGCGAGAAGGAGCCGGCTGGTGTGGCCAGCACTGCAGCTGGACTGAACAACCTCGCTGGTGCCGAGTCAGATTTAACTGACACCGCTGCCAATGATGCGGGTGAGAAGTTACCGCTTTCGCAGATTTTCACGGTTGTGCTCTGTAGCTCTGTGATGATGTTTTTTTTTCGGTACAACGGGGGTACAACCAGAAAATACATCAGAGGCTAAGGTGTTCATTGTCTTCTGGTTTGGCCCTGGCTGAGTGGCCTCACATTTGCGGGTTGGCTGCCCGATTCCTCCTACCGTCGTGGTCATTCCACTCAGTGCTTAGTCTGGCCAGATGGCTCTATGGCAGCGTGCTCGACTCACAATCAGAGGGTTGAGGGTCGACTTAGCCCATCATTTACCCCCTGAATTGAAAATAATAGTATCATTACTAAAGTGTGTACATTCAATGGCAGTTGTCATGTGGTAGCATTGCCCTGCCAATGAAATGCAGAATTTTCAGCATTGGATCAGGGCCAGAAATGGAGATCAGGACTACTGCATACTCATTTGAGCATTAAGAGACTCTTAGATTATTTATTTTTTTACAAATGAGTGTGTCTCTAACATTGACAATACACACTCAGGAACATAATTCACAACCACAGACCATTGCACTTTTATCGGAATATTTTTCAGTTTTGAAAAACCACCTACAATAAAAACAATGAAATGGACGATAATCGTAGACTCGCACGAAGCACCGCTTCTGTCTGTCTGCGAACGTAATGTTCGGTTTATTTATATGATTAGCGTTGTCGTCATCGTCTGTGTCATAGTATTTCAAGTAGCAGGAGCCACGTGGAATAGTGTAATGGATAGGGAGTTGAAAACAAACAACACAAATGAGACTGGTAACCACGTTACCCATGCACGTTGATTTTGTAGGGTGTCATAGATCAAGTGGCATTGCAGTGAGAAAGGTGCAGCCCTGCCATTATCTTCAGTGGTGGGAGTGCCCACACTTTTACCCCACTACACGTTGCCTGCCGATCGATTGACTGTGGTGTATCCAGCTGGTACAGTGCTGCTAGGTGGGCAAGGGCCGAGGGGAGGGGGGTTTAAGAGGCTTGCCCATTGTGTCAAATGCCACACAGGGTGATTGAACCGACAGCCTCTGGATTGCAAGTCTAGTGTGTTAACCTTTGCACCATGGTGGCGTCTGTTGGAATTAAATCAAATATCTTGTAGCACCAGAAATAGAACACTTTGTAACTATTGACCTACATGTAAATTTTACCATTGTCGTGTCTGCCCTGCTTTTGCCTTCAAAACATGTTATGCTTATCTTGACTTTCAAAAAAGAAAACCTGTCAGATGTTAGATCTAAGCTAAGGAATGTCAGCAAGTTATTGAATGTGCTGCATGGGCCAAGCACGCTGTGAGAAATGTTGCAGATGATGAAGTATCTGATGTGGCGACACTCATGTGACGTTAAAACAAACATCTGCACAAATATTGTATGCATGCTGAACTTCCTTCGCGCCGTACGTAGCCAAGCGTGCTAATCAGAGGTGCGGGGGAAGGACAACATACCATGCACCAAAAAATATTTAACTTTTCGTGGGTAAGCGTGGACTCGTCGGAAAAATTACTGCGAATGCGTTTGCGGTTCCAGGCAGCGGGCTCGGCAACGATCAGGCTGCGGAGAAGATGGGCGCACCACCAAAGGAGGAGACAGAATCACGAGTGCCCACCTCAACTGATGACCTGGAAGACTGGCTGGACAGCATGATTGCGTGAAAAGTGTCGGGGCGGCACGGTGTGCAGTTCGAATAGAGGGTATGGGCGGTATGAAGGTCTGGAGGAATGTGACCAATGCATGAACGGAGTTCATTCCAAGAAGTGTCGTCGGACATTGTGACTGACTGCGTTCGGTGGTCCACTGTGTGTTTTTCATGAACTAAGCAATAGCTTCTCATAATTGTGAAATCAACTTGAGTGTGGCAGCAAATGGTGGCAATTTTTTGCTCTATCTAGAAACACCCTACTGAATGGGCCTTAATTTATTGCTCTGCTTGAGATGTTTCGGGCGATTCCTTAATTTGAGGGCTCGGACTGATGTTCCTTTAGTTTAAAAAGTGAGCAACGTTGTGCCAACTGCACTTGCTATTGAGCCAGCTTACGCAGATGATGGCTCATTTCCCCAGATTTTCTTTGACAATTCGTGCTTGAATAAATATGAACCCACCCGCATGGCAATGAGGTGGCCTATTGTGAAATAGTACAGCAAGTATGTTTCTGCGGTTCAACTATTTTCCCCTGGCATGTATGTTGAATTGCTCCAGACATTAAAGTGTCCCGATTGAATGTGTGACTAAAACCAAGTGTACCTCTATGAATAGTGAGTACATGGGAGATGATCGATCACATATCATTGTCACATTGAGGACGTTGACAAGGTTTCTTGTTGGTGGACAGCTTTTGCGTTAGTTTAATCCATTATAAGTTGTAGCACTAAAGGTGACGTATGCTGATGCATGGTCTGACCTGTCTCAATTAAACTGGTGAATACATAGGAAGGGCGCACTCGTTACACACAACGTGCTTGTCACAAATGAACCATGTCACCTTGAGGTGATCTCGTCAAGGAGCATTAACCATCATCACGTGAACTCCGGTCACCCTTGCAGCGGCGGCTTTTGGCTGCTGGCCATCGAACAAAGATGGGTCACTTCATCGCGCGCTTTCAGATGCGCTTCTGCGGCCGTCTGGAACGCTCTTCCGATATTAGGAAGCCATTGGAGCTATGCACTTTTAAATCATCTAGACTGAAAACTTAATTGATTTAAAACTGCTTTTCGTGTCTAGTTTGTCCTCCGAATAGCACGGTTGGCTACGTATGGGGCGAAAGAAGTTCAACACATACATACAGTGGACTTTCTCACAGTCTCGTCGAAGTCTCTTAAAAAAAAGTACTTTATGTATTTAAAGTTCACGTGACAGTGGAGAAGTAGAAGTGTAGGCAACAAAAGAGCAGGCAGAACGTTTGCTACCAAGTTTTAACGGACACGTCGGAACAAATTAGTGTGTGTTGAACTGCACAGTATGTTGAACTTCTTTCGCACCATGCGGTGGAAGGGCAACTAAGCAGTTATACATAAATTAGTTTTCAGTCGAGATTTTCAATTTAGATTTAGCTTAAAATGGGAATCACCTCGGAAGCTAAACAAATTGCGAGTTCTCACTGAGAATATGGGGCCCAAAGGGCGAGCCGTCTCCATTTGCTTGCTATTCAGCGCTCGAAATGTATCCCCCCCCCCTCCCCTTTCGAGCAGGTCGGGTTGAGGATTGTTTTCAAACTCGGAGCACCGCAACATGCCGATGTTTTCATTAGGCATTTCCAGTTCCAACGCGGAGAGTGGTTTGATTGTTTTGTTGTAAAAAAAGCACGGGCGGCGCTCGGAAGCCTTACCCAACCGTGTTGTTGTGCAACGCTACGTTGTGGATTTGCCCTCTCGTCTTTTCCAATCCGATTGCATGCGCATTGAATCCCTGTGTGTAGAGACGGGGGTACACGCGGGGTGCGCACATGTTATTGTAATAACGAAACCGTGTGCATCGTGACGTTGATGATCCAAGGACACTCTCGAGCGTGGTGCAATCATCCGCATTGACGGCTGTGAGGCCAGTTCTGGAAATTCCACATTCCTATGGCAGAGATCATGCTCTACAGGAAACCACTTCATTTCCTTTGTGGCATCAATGGCAATGATGGGTTAATTAGACCCCCTGAATGGGTTTTCCGCGCATGGCTTAATTGTGAACCTCAGGCCCCCAGCGGGTCAGACATGGTACGTTGTACCCTGTATTGTGTAACTGGCAGCGGTTGCCATTTACTCTGCGGTTACTTAAACGTTGACCGTTCTTCACAACAGCCGCTGACATTGTGGAGAAAAGAAAAACGAGCGCTCACGTGCCGAGAACAATTTACTCGAATTTTAGCAGGAGAGCGCAGTGGCCCAGCGATCGCACTGTTTGGTGGTGGCAGCAACTGCGACCGCTGCACAAGTCGTAAATATTGGGCGTCGAATTTGGAAGAAAAAATACCGAAAATTACGTTCTTTCGTCAATCCACTGCTGGATGCGGGGCCACCCCCACATTGCATTAAGATGGACCCACCTGCATGGTTCTGGCTGATGTTTAACCATACCACCCAATCAGGGCAGGGTGGTGAGGGGTGAGCATAAACGCAGCTTAGTATTAGATTTTGCTGAACTGCCCTCTGCTGCCCAAAACGCTCGTCCATTAATCATGACATGAGAAAAAAAGTTTCACTGGCTGGATTCCTGCCTACCTGGTTTCCTGCCTGCTTGGCTGGATTCCTGCGTGCTTGGCTAGATTTCTGCCTGCCTGGCGAGATTCCTGCCTTCCTGGATAGAGTCCTGCCTGCCTGGCTAGATTCATGTCTGCCTGGATAGATTCCTCCCTGCCTGGTTTCCTGGCCCTTGGCCAAGTGGTTTACGTCACCAGCATCGCACAGACTTGAGCGAGGTTCGTGCTCCGCGCTGACGTCACGCCCTCCCCCCCCCACGCCGCCTCTCCCCCCACGCCGCCACCTTCCCGGTCGTGGATCCGACGCAAATGGGAAGCTAATTGTAACCTTTGGAGCAAAAACGTATTTTATCTTAATGATAAAAACGTTATTTGTTGCACGTCAAAATTGTTGAAAACATTTTTTGGGGAGGGGGGAAATTTTTATAAATTAAATATAGTTTTCCATCTTTAAAGCAATACCACATACTTGTTTGGATGCAGCATTTAATGTTGCTGAATCCAAATAGATATTTGCTGGGTTTTTTCGGTACCTTTTGAAGAATGACACTAAATTTTACAGAAAGCAGTGTTCGTTGCTGGTAAATGATATCCACGTCATGCTTTCACAGGTCAAGCACCATATTACCCCAAATCATTCTTTCACATGGCTACATCCGTACGGCGTGTTGCCAGAGACAAACATGATTTTTACAACAGGAACAAGAGTTATACATCATTGTCTGGGCTCTTTAGCCATTCGACGGTGCTGGTGGATTGCTTTTTGGTGCAGCCGTAAAATGCTCTTTCATTTTTTTCATTTTACCAGTTGAGCAAAAAAAACTCTTTTCAATTATTTAACCTAGGATTGGCAATGTGGTGGTGAATGATGGTTGGTGTACGGTGCGGAGGGGTGTACATTACTTTCATTGATCTATACACACACGCGCACACACCTCTCCATGGGGGTTCTTCGCACGAAAAGAAACCCCAATAAGGAAATGAAAACATCGAAGGCATTCGTTTAAAATGTTTTATTTCAGAATCTGCTTGAAACTTCAAACAATCCCTTGTGCTATGATGCCGTCTGCACCGTTCACAAATCCTTACATTTTGTTATATGTTTTTATTTGAAAGCGAGTTTTCCCTGTCGAACACGTCACAAAGATATAACATTGTCCAAAAACTGACTAAATGGGCCAATGTCTACATGAAGTCAATTGTACAGCGTTTTGAAAAGACTCGCAAGAACGGCCACACATTCACATTCAGGGCTACAATTTCATACTTTTGTTTAAATTCATTTAAATCGCATCAATGCTTGAAAAATAGCATCGGTTTCATTATTTTCGTGAAAGTTAAATGCTTTTAAACCTATCGCTTCGCGGGAAAAAAAATATGTTTATCGTTCCTACTTTTGGCGTAATGTGATGGATGTCTTATTTTTTAGTATTGCACACAAACGCATTAAAACGCACAACAGTGAACTTGGTAAAATTTCCATGGGAAGACTGTCATGTTAAAGCCAGCCAAAATTAAAAAAAATGACAAGCATGTTATTGGGATATTCAAATGCACGATTAGCAGTTAGATGTATTACACCGCTTACATGTACAGAAAAAAAACCCGAAATAAGACAAGTAAAATAGCCTACGAGTTCTTCGGTTACTTGACTAAGTCTTGACCTTGCATAGCTCATCCTTAGCTTTTTAAGGCACTATCTTCCATTGTTTCGCTCATATAAACGCTCAACAGCAATAAACATAATTAATTACTGACAGCATAGGACAAGCGTCTTCTGGAACTCTTTCACTCCAGGCAAAACTTAATATCGTCACTTCAGCGTGTACAACTGAAGTCTCAAGAAAATGTCTCTGTAAATATATATTTTTTGTTAAAAAAAAATGGTCTCGCAAATAAAAGCTTAGGCAAAGAAAATTGAATGCTTGCACGAAGCAAACAAGCCGCCACATCGTGCCGATGTCACCGCTTAGGAGTGATCGTCAAAAGTTCATCATGATGTGGGTGGGATGGGCGAGGGGCTGGGGAGGTTGGCATGAGTCATCAGGTGAACTGTGGGCAAACGAACGAGCGATGGAGTGGGGTTGTGATGGGCATTCTTGGAGTGTATCGTGGTGCTCGAGTGTGTGACATCACCCTTAACTGGTTCCTCATCAGCCTTGGTCAATCCATTGCTGGACGAAGTTCTCTCTCCAAACGCATTGTCAGTCATGGTGGTTCACTGACCATACTTCAAAGCACTCGTCAGTGTGGTCTGGCGAGTATCTGATACACACCTGGGCCGGTGCTAGCTCCGGCGCACATGTTCGCTGACGCGGTTGGAGTCATACTATGCACGACCAGTCGCGTGCCGCGCCAAACCCTGGCATGACGAGTGAGTGTTGAGTGTGTGCGCGCAGGTGTGTGTGTGTGTGTTTGTGTGGCCAACGCAGGGGCTTCGGAAGGATACAATGGGCTGGTAACCCCTTCACCTTCAATACAATTACCAAAGGACCACACAAAAAAACTGCAATAAGCTTTTGCCGTAGATGCCAAGGGGGAAGAAGCGTCTATTACGTCTTTTGGCCAAACCCCGTCTGGAGGAGCCAGGAGACTAAACACTCCGCCATGGGGGTTCCTCGAACAACAATTGGGAACCGCTGCGGCTGCGGAGGAGAGGGTGCTCGACCAGTACCACCTGCTATCTGGACCTCTGGCTTACAGGTCGGGTGTCATGGTTCTGACTCGTGACGATGAGAGGTGGACAGTCCAACACCCGGGCCAGGAAGCTGTCAATTAACAGGGAGTGGTTAATCTTTCTGAATAAAATGAAGGGGGGGGGGGGGGGGTAAGAGTGTGGTGGTAAGGTGTAGGATCTACAAGCCCCAGGCTATTATGGGCTCCCCCCATCTACATAGGGTGAGTTAGTGGTGGTGGTAGTTTACGCCCCTACCAAACATGAACTTAGTGAATGTATGTTGAACTTCATTCACACTGTAGGAAGCCAACCGGTATGTAGGAGGGATGCAGGCAAAGCTGATAAGTCGGAAGCCTTCGATGACCACTTGTCCCAGGTTCTGGCTAAATTGCCCCCTCGATTTTCTTGTTGGGCGACTTTAATGCCCGAGTGGGTCAAGAGACAAGCATGGGCCAGATCAGCTCAAAAACAATGGAAGGAGGTCGCTAGACTTCCGTGCAGCCCCGGTGGGTGGCTGGCTTATATGCCATGTGTTGAGGAAGTGCGAAGAGAGATCCAGAGCCTGAGAACAGATAAAAGCGCCAGGCATAGATGATCTCCCAAGTGAACTGCTGAGAATGGCGATTGCGTACAGCCTGTCGTACATGACAATTACAACTGCATGGAGCACAGGACGGGTTCCACAGGATTGGATGGATGCCCTGATGGTCATTTTTTTTAAGAAGGGGGAATGCACTAATTGCTCCAATTACCAGGGCATCTCCCTTCTCAGTGTGTCAGGAAAAGTCCTGGCACGAATTGTTAAACAGTGTCTTGCCAGACATACTGAGGGAGAGGCTTACAGAGCTCCAATGTGGTTCCAAACCTGGGTGGTCCTGCACAGATGCAAGGTTCTTTGCCTATCTGCTACTCTCGAGGTGGAGCGAGTATCAGCAGTACATCTCTGCTTTATTCACCTGGCCAGGATTTGGTTTATTCTTCATGCTTTCAGGGTCCCTGAGCCTCTGCTCACAATCATTAAGGACAGTTATTGATGGTGGGCAGGGCCACGTAAGGTTACGTGGCTGGGAGTCGAAGCCATTTCCTGTTCACCTTGGGGTGCAGCCAAGGGCTGTCGTCTGGCCCCCTACACCATTTTTTGACCACGTAGTTCAACAAACTTTCCCCATAGCTATCACAAAGGAATTTACATCTGGTACAGACAATGCTAGGCTGATCGATGCCCGGGTGCAGTCAAGGGATGGCTCCCTACTAGTCGGCTGACAATCTGGTAATTGCTGCTCACTCTTCTAAACCTAGAACATGCCATGGAGAGATGGGGCTTTACCATCAGCCCCACCTAAAGAAATCACCCCTGCCTAGGCATTTTGTTATCAAGTAGTCCCCCCTTCAACTCCCCATGAGTAACAGGGTAGTTGTGGAGAGTGGGGGAGTTCTCATACCTGGACAGTGTGCTTATGACTAGTTCTGGTTTGGCAGCAGAAGTTTCATTTTTAATTAGTCGAGCAGCATTATGTTTTCATCCACGACGTAACCTGTGTAGAAGCTATGTGGCCTATTGCTCCCCATGAAGCTGCAGGTCTTCTCGGCCAGCCATACCCTCTCTTCCATATCCCCTCTCTTCTCTAAGATCGGCGTCTGTAGGGGAGGGAATTCATGAAGTATGCAGTTTGAGGCAGTCACCCTCCAATAAAGGAGAGTAGAGGAGAGATGCTTACAACAATGAGTGGGACACCAGGTGGATAAAATGTGGCAAGTTGGCACGGTGGGCAGCACAGGTGGCCCATCTGTCAGTCATCTCTGTCAGTCAACCGCTAACACCTGGGTCTGTCCGTGACCTGCCAGCGACCCTTCGACACTTCACGTGGTCTCAAAGTCCAACCCGCCTGGCATAAGCGCTGCAGTGAATTTATCGCCACTTAGTGGCGAATGGCGGCTGTAGTTGATGGTGGTGGTGGTGCTGATGCTGGTGGATGTGCTGATGGTGGTGTTGGTGGAGGTGCTCGTGGTGCTCGTCGTGGCTAATGGCGATTGCCGGTGCCTGCACTGTTACAGCTGATCCTCGTACTGCTTGCGGAAGCAGTCTCCAGCTGGGAAGAACTCCCAGCAGCGCTCCTGGTACATCTTCCACACGTATGACTCCTGTGTGCGTGCAGAGGATGCGAAGAGGAATCAGGAGGGGAATGGGCGCCGGGGGGGGGGGGGGGGGGGGGGGGGGGGGAGAAATATGCTACCCATAGTGGATCTAGGATAATCTGTGCAATTTACAATTCGCGTCTCGTCGCTGGACGCTCCATACTGGCGCAGTATACTCTTTTGTCAATCCAATGCTGGATGAGGGCCTCGCGGGTTTTGGCGGTTATTTGACCATACTTCACCTCACTGTTCTTGAAGTCAGGAAATCAGAGTCTGCTTTGAAAACCCATCTCTTTAAAGTGGCCTTCCCCCTTTAGTTTGATTGGTTGGCCTGAGTCTGTTTTTATTTCCCGATTTCCATAGATTACGCATTGAGATCCTAGGATGGAATGCGCATTATGAATTAGTATTATTATAGTATGCTCATCATCAAAATGACACAGTTTTTTACGCACAAAATCAATAACTACCTACAGGCACAATAGATAAAGATACACAGACTTAAAACAGTGTATCTGTTGCAAGATATTCAATAAAAGTGATCAGCGATCACAGGATTTGATTAGAAATAACAGTCTTATTTCTTCGATATATGCATGCTTTTATAGCGATTGAGCTGTCATTTCATTCACATGATGCTGTATGGAAACATCCTGAATGCCATCATTCGGCAGAGCCATCACATCAGGGGGGATGTCCCTGGCCAATGACAATTGGAGACTTACTTCTGGAGTCACTTATTTTCCGAGACAGGCTTTGTGAAGAATTGTTTGCTAAGTGTCAGTCGTCTGGTATATTTATATATTTGTTGTTCCTCGGAGTCAGGGCAGGCTGAAGTGAACAAAAGCCTGTTGGTATGCACGCAGTCGATGCTGACTGGGCTGAGACTATGAACTCGCTACACTAGACTAGAGAACAATCGCAGGTGACCCCTTGGATTTGACCCCAGGAGCTCGGCAGAGCTGGCTCATGGCTCTATCGTGGCCATCTGAATTGAATATTAGCAACGAGTATTTTTATTTCTGCAGCGGCAATATTTGATTGAGCCACAATCCAAGTGTAGAAACATTAGTTGATTCAAGACCTGGGTAATTGTCTAAGCATAATAATATGCTTTGTCCAAAACCGCTTCAGGGAGTCTCGAGAATGTTTTGGGAGCATCCTTTCTTGGCATGATAGTCCAATTATCTTCTGTGTATTTTTTTGGATACTATTGTCGGGACGAGAAAAACACGCTTCAACACAATCCTCACAAGCGAATTAGTGATATAAGTCCATAACCGTGCTTGCATTAGCAAAGCACTCGTGTGCATATTACATCAAGACTAAGGTGTAAACAACAGGCTGTTGTGACTTTATCTGAAAGCAACCATGCTCGAGCGAAAGCTATTTGAGCGTGCAATCTTGTCCTAAATAAATCTGTTGATTGATTTGTCCTGCAGTGGCCGTTGTACCTGTCCGGTGTGTTCAGTCTCATCCTTGTTGATGAGATACATCAGGAAGAACCTGCGCGGGAACAACACACGCCAGACAATGTTATTATTAACGCAGCTCTCGCAGATTTAACACAGCCCGCGCGGCGCATGAACGGCATCTCAATTACATGGCGTGGATTCTCAACATCGCCGCACCGTCAGGAATTTGCCCTGCGAACGGCACGTGCTAGCATGCAATGCAGCGATTTCACACTGCAACGGAAAAGCTGCCGTGTTATATATATATTTTATAGAGATATTTTTTGATTGCTTTATTTCCACTACTTTCACTGATGTTTTCACATCACCGGCTCGAATCAGGTACACATCTGCAAATGTTTTATAGGAGGCGCTGCGTGGAGGCCATGTCCACGCCTTCGTCGCGTTTCGATTATTTTGCTGCTATAAATGAACCACGTGACGATAAGCCACTTCGGTGAGCTATCATTTGTGGCCAGGTCGCTTCTGAAAAAGGAGCTGATAGCTCAGTGGGCTTTACCTGGTAATATAAAAATAGTTTAGTTTTAGTTTTTTTAGTAATTTGCTTACCTTTCCTATACTTTGGATTTCTTTCGTGTTTTTGTATTGTTGTCACTTTCTGACCCGCCCCTACTGGACATCTCTGAAAAAAGAGCTTCATAGCTCATCGGATTTCTCCAGTATAAATAATGTTTGATTGCCTTCCGTTTCTATGGCTGCCCCACATTCCTCACCTCCCAACTCCAAATGATCCACAGCACCGCCAAAAGACTCCTCACCTGCACCGCTACATGAGACCACATCACCCCAGGCCTTGCATCCCCTTTGCGGGCTTCCACCAATCCTGTCCTAATGGACATTTCAAGATAATCCCCGCCACCTTCAAGATGCTTCCATGGACTCGTTGCTGCCTACCTCACCCTTCTCATCTCGATCGAGGCCTTCCCCCACAACCGCCGGGTCAACCTCCACCCAAGGAGGAAAGTCATCCCCTTCTCTCTGCCAATGCCTCCATTTTCTGGAATTCCTTCCCTCAGGCTGTCTGCATAGCCACGACCCTTCCTCTGATCAAGTCCAGGCTTCCATTTATCATTGACCCCTGTGAATTGTTTTATTATGCACATTTACTAAAACGTCATGTTACTTTCCTGTCTTCTCTGGGTGTGCATGTGTCCCCCACAATGAATGCCGTGTCAAAATATGTGGCTGCATTTGGATGCTTCGTTTAAAAAAATATAAACTGCATTCGTGGCGTGGAATGCACGTTAGGAAGTTGTAGGACAGTGCAAATGATTGCTTGACCCTTTGATTAAATAGGAAAATACAGGTCCGATGAGACACGTGATAAATTGCTTCTTTCACGAGGGTGACCTGGTTAAACCAAGCCAATTTGAGGAATGGAAATGTATGGTATGTGTATAAATGCATGAAAAGTCATGGTGGTCACAAACTCAAAAAATCACAATAAAGCCCTGTGCAGTGCTTTGTGTCACAATTTATAGTGTCGCACAAGCGTGAGTCTTAGTAACTCTCAGTTACGATTACTGCTGATTCTTTGCTGTCATGCAAGCTTCTGATTATTTTGGTGGTGATCATGATGAGGGTGGCAGCAGTGTAGTGGTTAGTGCTACGGACTTGGCAATCAAGAGTTTGATTTCCCACTCCATGGCTAACAACAGTGGCAAATATTTGAACCGGTCCTGGTCCTCGCTTAGGAAAACTCAGCCTTACATGAGTATCTTGTGCGATGTGTAAACATCATCACTTGTGAGACAACAGGTGGCCGGGCGTGGTTCTGTCATTTGGTGACTGTGATGACGATGTATGAAACAAGTCTCTGCACTCGCAATACCGTTAATAGCCATGGTGTTCGATGCTACCATACAACACCTCAATACTTTTTAGGGCTTTAACATGGTGTTAATAGTTTATTTATCAAGGCTAGATCCAAATAGCACCGTGCATGCTGTTAATGAAGTGATGCCATTCCGCGGGCTAACCACCGCCATCACGATACGAACTCCTATATTGTCTAAATGCAGCAGTGTCTTCAGATTATCAGCACAGTAGTCTAGTGAGCAACACAGACACTATTGGCGGCTTTAGCAGACGCGGGAGTGAGATTAACATTGCCATTACCTGCAGCCCTGATAACGATGAACCTGAAAATGAGGAAGGGCTGAGAGAGACCCGCAAGTGGCTCTGGTTTCAACTCTCAAGAGGTGGCCGTGCTACCCTTGAGCAATCCTGTCGTCAAGACGCCGTGTCGAGTCAAACGAGAGTAGGGTAGTGCTCATCTGGCTCCTGAGCCAGTGGCGGAATTTCCACATTCCTATGGTGAGTGTGCCCCGTAGGGATTGACAGCTGTCGCCCTTCCAGAGATGATGGGCCGAGTAAGCCACTGATCTGAATTTGAACTCGAAAACTTAGGATTGGTTCATATTCTTGGTTCTTTCGGTAAAGTCACGTAGAAGGGAAACAATAAAATAATAAAAATATAAAACAATTAAATTCTCACGACGAAAGAACCAAGAAAATGAATCCCTGCAGTCACAAAAGCTTTAAATCAACATTTAGGATTGGCTGCTGAGCGTTCCGACCACAGCCGGACGAGTATTTGGAAGCAGTGCGATTGCACTGGCAGTTTCAACCCTGAATCACGTGCGCCGCAGCGATTCCGCTTAAAGGCAAGTGGCATTTGACGGTCGAGCACCGGGGGCACTTGACAAAAAAACACAACACAGGTTTAAATGTAATGCAAGGCACGTCTAAGTGTAATTCAGCACAAAATTAAACATAGGGCAGTGTGCACTGAATACACGAGAGTTACCCCTCGATGACCTGCTGCTGCCTGGGTACAGAGATAAGATGCTGATTAGCCAGCAAACCCGGATTAGTGAAAATGCGCCAACTGTTATCTGGGCAATTACAATCGCGATGTATACTTCGGAGAGCTCGACTACTTATTGAATCTTCTAGCCTTCAGCACGGCTACACAAATATGTAAAAATGTGTATGAAAACAAAAAAGTTTTATAAGTGCAATTAATTTAAGGAAAGCTGACGTAGAAACCACGGGTGTAAGAACAACAGTAGCTAGCAAGTCGTCACAGACACTTGCCTCCGCCACCACCCCGAGCCCCCCAAATTGAAAATGGTTCCCATGCGATCCCTCGTAAATCTAGTTCATTGCAGGTGTGATTGATTTTGAAGCCCTTTTCGTCCGAGTGCCTGTTTCAATATTTGTTTAAACAAATGCATAAATAAATGAGTCTCGGCCGCGTTGGCGACGCGGATGTTTCCAAAGCCACGGATTGCTAAACCCAGAAATTTGCGAAGGCACCCAGTGGATCACTCTGTGGTAGTGGATCAACTCCTTACAGCACCATGTGACACTGTGGCCACCACCCTTAAAAGTGATGTAACACGTGGCCAACTTTATTACAGCCGCCTTGTTAAAGATATAATTGCATTTCTCATTTGTCTTATGTTTATCGAGCAATAAACCTCGTGCTTGTGTCGAGCCAATATGTGGGTTTATCACGTGGTCATAAAACGTGCGTTTGCGATACCATCTAAATGTAGCACCAATTCGTGCCCGTCTGCAGCATTAGCCTTCCGGGGTCAGTGCTGTGTATAGGCTGCGGGCTTTAAAGTGACCTCTTTCAGAGCCTTAGTTAACCAAGAAGATCCCATTAATGTCAGCATCTTAAGGCAGGATGGGCTGTTGCGACTGTGGCCTTCCAACCCCTCCGTGTTGTGGAATGTAAAATATCATATAATATACATAAGCATTTTAAACATGTGTGTGTGTATCTTGTGTATATGTCCGTGCCTGTGTGTACATTTTTGTTCCTGTGGCTTCAGTGGAACAAACATTAAGGTTTAAGGTTTGGTGACAGTTGGTTAGTTAGCTATTTGCCAAAGTGTTTAATAACTGGGGAGAATGTTTGGCATACCGTGTATACCGATCTGTGCTATAAATGGTAAGTGTATACAATGCGTGCACAAAAAGCCCCCCTTGCATCACATTTTATTACAAAAATGATTGAGTGAGGGAATGCAAATATAATGACGTCCCAGAAAGGCTACAAAACAAAAATTTGGCACAACTATGCTTGTCGTATTCATTGTGCACGCCGTGTATTTTGTTGGTTAATACACCCGCAGTATTAACCAGGGCAGTCAACTGGGCTCGAACCACGAATCTAATGAAGCAGTTTTTTGGCAAACGCACTACCGCTCAGCCCTCTTGCACAGCCCAAATGTGTTGTTGGAAAAAAACCCCGATAAACACATTTTCAAGAGACCTGTCCAACGGCCGCTCCAATGTGGGTAAACAAGAAATTGAAATTTTAAAATCCAGGCGGCCACTCACATGTAGTTGGCGAGGTTGTGTTCCTGCAGGGTGTGCGTCTCGAAGCCGTGCGGCACCGTGTCGAAGTAGTCATTGCCCATCCCGCAGATGAAGCATTTGGTCTTGAAAAGGATAACGACATTCTTGTTATTGGGGGGGGTAGGGTCATTTTGCATTAGCACGAATGAGTACAGTTTTTTGCAGTGCAAAAGCTCACGAACATAAATTTGCATGCCGAAAACGCGGGGTGCAGACGCAGCTAGAGACGCGGGAAACTAAAGCGCTAGGTAAGCCACGTGGCCTTTGCCGTTCATTCACTTCCATGCTAAGGCACGGTTTATGCAGGGGATGTGGTAATTTTGATGGGGAAACATGGGCGAACAATGGCAATGCTAAAAGTAAGAGTCAAATAATAACGGAGAGCAATTGTTCATGATGAATGAAAACAACTCTTCCTTTTGGTGGCAAATTTATTTTGCAATGTTTTCCACCGCATTCAAAACATCGGCAATCTCTCTCGACTCACCCAAATCCCCTTATGAAAATGGAACATGAAAGATAATATGCAAGTGAGTACTTCGAAGAGGAGGATCTTCGCTACTGCATGAATAAACAACTCTTTGAGCCGCAGCGCGAACGACCGGGTGCGTGAGCTCCTCAGAGCGCGGACTGGGTGTATGGGGCCATGTGCTTTGAACTCCCACCTCCATGTCCTCCTTGACCTGCTCCTGTTGGTCTCTCAGCTCCCCGAAAGCGTCGATAATTAGACCTGTGACGGAGGAACAGCAGGCACGCGGCTTATAAACATTGGCATCTCCCTTCCATCGGCGGGGATCGATATACTTTTACAATTTGTACTTATATTCGTTATACATTTTTATGGATACATTTTTGGTGATTTGCTTACCTTTCCTACACTGCAATCGCTTTTTGTGCTGTTTGCTGTTGTAACTTTCTGAACCCACCTCTACCAGACATCTGTGAAAAAGACCTTCATAGCTCACCAGGTTTCTCCAGGATAAATAAAGATTCTGATTTTGATCTGGCTGCTGGATAGGCTAGTGGTCAGCACGATCGCAATTTTGCATGCGGTCAAGCTGTTCCCATGTGTCTTCACAAGGTTGCACTGCGCTGCATGTTGTTCGGCAAGATGCCTGATGTTTAACTCCATGTGCTGGGAGTTGCGATGTTTAAACATTTATTTTCAGTTCACGAATAAACTCCCAGAACGTGGAGCGAAACGTTGGACGCCAGGCGGAACACGCGGCATAAGCCAAAAACGCTTGAGAGAGAGAGAGAGACACGACACGACCCCCCAAAACCTACGCTGTTGCACGGAGTCAGTTCACAAGGAGTTGACAAAGTGATCAATTTCCGGGGTGGAATTACCAAAGGGCCCTTTGCTGTACATAAAAAATATGTGTTTGCAATAAATCGCAAGTGAATATTATTGCGCCCGGGCTCTACCCGATTGGGAAGAGTTGCCCACTGCGCACGGACTAACTACAACGATGACGAAACGGGAACGAGGGGATCATAAATTAGGGCAGGGGGGGAAACTTTCCCACCCCGTGAGCAGGTGCATCAAGGCCATCGCCGTACCCCATAAACAATCTTCAAGGGGCCTCCGTGGCTAATTGACACGGGCCCCAGTGGCTGCTCCCCATCCCGCAACTGCGAAATTGTTCCCACGCGCCTGAAGGGAGGGGAAGTGTCTCCAGTGCCTCCAGATTGAAGTGGAAATGACAGCAGCGCGGGAGAGCGGGAGAGAACCGAAAATAGCTTCACCTTCTGTTCCATGTTTCACAAAAGAGTCACCATTGTTTACGTTGAAGGGCTATTAACCGTTCTTGGTGATGAGCATTCATTTCAAGGATGCATCCACAGGGGGGGGGGGGGGGGGGGTTGGGGGGGGGGTGGGTGGGGGGTGTTGGGGGGAATGAAGGCGAAAATCTGTGAGCTGTGTTCCCCAAGCAGCGTGGGGTTTTTCGGCTTTAAACGCATTTCTCGGTGTCGAGGGCCGATGCTCGACACGAACTCGCGTGCGGTGGGCCCCGTCTAAGCGGTGTCCTTTCCCCCGAGCGTGCGTTTCACCGTAAGACGTCACGCGCGCGCGAACTTCACAAAGTGAGCTGCCATCTCTGAAGGGGTCGAAGATCCCACGCCGCATCTTAGCGGCGTCTCCTTTTATGAGTTGTTTGCTTTAGTTTTTTTTTGTGATCGTTTTCCGAAGGCACAGGCTTAAGCTGTGGGAACGTGGAGCCACTTTTCGTGTAACTGACGCTTGTTTGCCCAAGAAGGCCTCTCTGAGCTTTATGCTTTCTTTTTAGGGGGGGGGGGTCCTCCAAGTTTTCACAGTCGGGGGTGATGATGATTGCAATGTATGATCCCAATCGAGTAATTTGCGTGTCATTTTTCACATTCGGACCATCGATACAGGCGCACAAAGGCTTACTCTTTGCAAACGACGTCACGGGGTCGTTTAACATCCACTGCGAAGCGCGTGGCGCGTACATTGTTTTTACGGCGAACATACACTGCGCAGTAATAGCCAGGGCGGCCACTGGACATCGGACCGTGAACCTCTGCAGCAAACGGTAAACGCGCGCTACCGCTGGGCCACATCACCACCCTGACTTAGCACCGGGAGGTTAAATTTCAAGTCACTGCGTGACACGGGGGAGTCTTTAGGTGAGGCCACGGTCAGTCACAGGTGAAGCGACATCTCTGGCTTGGGGGCGAGCGAAGCTCGCCAGACACGCAGAGCAACCGTAGAGAGCATGCAGCGTCTTTGCACGTTTTGGCCTTAGACTATAATAATTATATTAATTATATTGTACAACTGCCAATTCGATTTATTGCAATATTTCATGTGCTCTTGCAATGGTGCACTATCCACATCAGAAAATGTATATTTTTTTACAAGCCTTGACCAGACGAACATGTTCATGAATTAAATTAATAATTATTGTCATTAGTTTAAATCAAATCAAAGAACCTCTATATATCGTTTAGAAAACGTTTAAATTTACTGGATTTACAAATGTACTGTACTTACATTCAAATGGAATGTTTCATTTTAAGGCTAAAGGGTTAACATTGGTATGCGCTATATTAAGCCGCAAAAAATTGGAAAGTGTGAGAAAATTTAAATTGCCCCTCACAAATCACTTCCTGTAATTGTCTGCATAGACTTAAGTTTCTGATGACTGGATTAAACCTCTCAAATTTATATATTTTAGAAAACCGTCCCAATACATTAAGCACACAACACAAGACTCCTAATTAGCACGCACAAAAACACTCAAGGATAAATCATGCTAAGTTGTTTAGCATGTTCTAAAAATAAGCATTGTTTTGAAAAATTATCTTCGTGTTATTGTGTGGTCCTGGGTGGAAGAATGGACGCTCTGTATCCAGTTTGGTCGCTGCACATTTAATCGTTTTAGAGACAGTGTATGCCAGCGGAGCCGGATGTCGGCACGTGCACAACGGTGGAATTGGAGACTTCGTTCAGGTCGGTTCACGTTTTATTCTCAAACTGCAACTCGAAACCTGTACCCAAGAGGCGTCACACTCGGCCTCTAGGTCCACACGGTGCACAAACATGTGGCGGTCCCTTTGCGGCTCCCAACTGGTACGAACTGGTTGTAGGATGCCCTTATCGACCGAGAAAAGCTGTGCCCAGGAATCAAACTGTGCCAGGTTCATTGCACAGTGCGCCAACCACCACTTGCACCACCACTTCTCCTGTTCATTACAGAGCTGTGAGGGCTCTGGATTGCTAGAGGACACTTTCATCCGCAGCTGTTCGAAATGGATTTTAATTATTTAAGGAATAATGGCACTGTGGTTAACATGCTTGAATCACGATTGGAAGGTCACAAGTTCAAATCCCGTTCAGGGGTCAACTCGGTTCATCATCCGTCTGGGGTAAACAAAGTGAGTACCACACTCTGATAAGTTCTATACAGAGACTTAAGAGTCCACTGTGGGAATGGGAAATTGAGGGCCACCAGCGGGCCACCAAGTGGAGATAAGCATCACTCATTCACTCATCTGAGCAATGAGGAGACACCAATTTGATTTGACTTGGGACTAAGGGCACATGATTACAGTAAAACCTTGTGTTTTGCAAGACGAGCTAAATTTTTAAATAAATATTAATTTGATAAACGAGCGAGGTCTTGCAATACGAGCAGTACGTATACGCTTTGCCGAGAGTCACGTGATCACAACTGATATACGAGGGCTTTGATATACGAGTGCTTTGGATAACAAACACGTTTCCGGAACGAATTATGCTCTCAATCCAAGGTTTTACTGTATCTAGAAAGAAAGTGGAAGCCCCCCCCGCCCCCTCCCTGCCCACCCTCACCCGGTTTGCTGGTGTCTGTGGTGGACGGCTCACCCTGGATGATGGCGAGGAGGATGACGATAACGAAAAAGAAGAAGGTGATGTCGAAGACCATGCGCCACAGCTCGTAGGGGTCCCCGGCCGGGTCCTCGATCTCATCGCCAATCCCACCGCCCGCCCGCACGCCCACGTACATGTGGAAGATGTAGCACTGCAAGCGGTGTGAGGTGGGAGCAGGAAGATGTGAGCAGTGTTATTTGACATTATATCGTTGTCTCCATCGTCATCATCATCAGCAGCAGCAGACATTATAAATCCGCAGCGGGGTTGAAGGTCTCTCCACAAGCCGTCGGGGTGTCTCTCACGGTCCTGTGGTGTAACAATTAACCTCGCACCTGCATGTCTCAAGCTAAGTAAACTGAATTAAAACTATTGCATTGTAAAAAATATATATGAAAAAAAGAAAAAAAAACAGTAAATAAAAATAACCTCAGTGAGAGCCCAACTCACGCACGTGTCACCGAGAAGGAATTCCATCAATGTCTGGCACTGCTCTTTCTGGACCACTTAACTGTTTCCCACCAATTTTAAGAAGCAACAGAGTCGCGAGCGAACTGTAAAATTGTTGTTATAGATCAAAGTACAGTTTTTATATATATAAAAACAACATGTAAAAAAAATGGGGGTTTGTAAATTTATAAAATAAACATTGCTGAATTCATCAATCTGTGGGTGATTCCCATTGGCATGGGTTTCAACGTGACCACCCTCGCAATACATAGCCCGAATGAATATCACGCATTCTTGATAAAGTTTCCTTGCCAAGTCAGAGGCCATCTGTCAAGTCTTTTGCACAAACACAGTTAGAGCAACTCGACTTGTGCAATCAATGTGACTCGTACAGAGAAGATAAAAGTACGTGCCACGAAATAAATGTTCTAATTATTTGTACATTTCTTAAAATACGTTTTAAGATCCTGAGGTAATTCTTGAAAACACTCTTTGTTGTTTTGACAGAAAAATTGTGAAATGTGGTAGTATTCTTGCTAACTTTGAGCAAAGGAGTTATTTGTTTATCTGCGCAAGTCGTGAAAAAGAGGCTCGAAATACACGCGGGAAGGAGGAGGTGCAACACTGGCTGTTGTGAGTCAGGCCTACATAAGCCTCCATTGGGTAGGGTAGTGACCTAAGAGGTACCAAAAAAAACCAACATGTCGCGGGAAGAATATCTCACAATACCGGCAGAGGGGAGAACTACAATGGCAACTGACAAAAAGACAGGAATTTTACATTTCTGGGGAGACTTACAAATTTCGCAGAATAATTCCCTAAAAAAAGGACATCGTGGGAAAACCAGTACTTGTGGGCACCCTATCTGAGGACCTGAATGAGCCTGTCCAGTAGTGAGAAGCAATAACCACAAGAAACCAACTTGCGCGGAACCATTAAATTTGATCGCCCTCCACGAACTCACAATCTACACTCACCTTACTGTGGCGGCCCTTAGTCACAGAAGGACACCCTTTCAGACGACAGTTAAAAGAGTGACATCATTTTGACTACATTAGTGGCTTTAAGGTCAGGTTGATTACATTAGCGTGCCGACTTGGCCTAATCAAGGGGCTCTGTCAGTCGGAGGCGTGCAGGCAGAAAGCAGGGATTTCTACGGCTTAGTTGGGAAGCGGGAAAAGCGGTGGATTTGCTGGGATTAGGCCCTGGTGGATTTGATTGTTTGCCAGCCTGCAAATGTTAAACACAAAAGCCAATGCCAGAAAAAATAACTATTTTATAAAGCATTTTGATGGTTGATAATAAAAAAATACTGTGCCGTTTAAAAAAAACCCAACACTTTTGCTCTATCTTAATTCCCTTGGTAACACATAAAAAAGCAATTATATGGAAACATGTAATGCTACATAAGTGAACATTAGAAATACGTTGTTCCGTGGAATAATTTTTTTTATAGAGAAATGCACGGCCAGTTTATTTATGGTCCTTGTAAATACATTTTAGTCTCTTGTGTATATTTGTGTTACAAATGTAAAAATGTAAATTACGTGAATATGCACACACTTAAAATTAAAGCATAGGAAAGGCAACAGGCAGAATGAAAACAATTTAAAGGCACACAATTCTCTCTCCATAATAATAAAGATGTTTGGGTTAGATTGCATAACTATGAATGTGTCGTAACCCTCCACCACCCGACGCACCTAATTAGTAAGGGATTTGTCACCTAAACAAAACGCCAAATAGTTACTACTTCAACCCACCAGTGTGTTGGAGAGTAAATCCACAACATTTACAACTGATGTGTAAATCCATCGGTCGGCTGAAGTAGCAACTATTTGGCATTTTGTTTACGTGACAAATCTCTTACTTATTGGCCATGTCGGGTGGTGGAGGGTTACGACACATCTATACTGACGCGATCTAACCTAAAAACCTTTATTATGAATAATATTGGTCGCGAAAGCCTACGTGTTAAACTGAGATTTATCTCTCTTATACACTTGCATATTTTTAAAGACCGTGTGTGTTAATGCACCAAGTGCATGGTGCCCGTAAAAGTTATGACCCATTAGAACATAAAATAACTATTATTACAGCAGTTCAAGCTGGGTTTTACAACAATAGACTTATTAAATTATACTGCAAGAAAGGAATACGTCGTCGACAACGCAGGTCAAACAATGCTGTCCAATTTAAATATTTCATAACGGATGATACCTTTATGGGCAGCCCGCAGTTCAATAATGATTGCTGTACGGAGAATGAGACTTGAAATGCCAAGTCTCGTAATGATTGCAAGCGCAGTGCCCGCGTGAGAAGCCGTTGGGGCCAAGAAGCGGTCGTCGTGAAGTCTCCGAGTGTAAGTCACCAATCTCTCCTCGCTGGAGTTATGTACAGTGAGGGAAAAAAGTATTTGATCCCCTGCTGATTTTGAACGTTTGCCCACTGACAAATAAATGATCAGTCTATAATTTTAATGGTAGGTTTATTTGAACGGTGAGAGACAGAATAACAACAACAAAATCCAGAAAAATGCATGTCAAAAATGTTATAAATTGATTTGCATTTTAATGAGGGAAATAAGTATTTGACTCCTCTGCAAAACATGACTTAGTACTTGGTGGCAAAACCCTTGTTGGCAATCACAGAGGTCAGACGTTTCTTGTAGTTGGCCACCAGGTTTGCACACATCTCAGGAGGGATTTTGTCCCACTCCTCTTTGCAGATCTTCTCCAAGTCATTAAGGTTTCGAGGCTGACGTTTGGCAACTCGAACCTTCAGCTCCCTCCACAGATTTTCTATGGGATTAAGGTCTGGAGACTGACTAGGCCACTCCAGGACCTTAATGTACTTCTTCTTGAGCCACTCCTTTGTTGCCTTGGCCGTGTGTTTTGGGCCATTGTCATGCTGGAATTCCCATCCACGACCCATTTTCAATGCCCTGGCTGAGGGAAGGAGGTTCTCACCCAAGATTTGACGGTACATGACCCCGTCCATCGTCCCTTTGATGCGGTGAAGTTGTCCTGTCCCCTTAGCAGAAAAACACCCCCAAAGCATAATGTTTCCACCTCCATGTTTGACGGTGGGGATGGTGTTCTTGGGGTCATAGGCAGCATTCCTCCTCCTCCAAACACGTCGAGTTAAGTTGATGCCATAGAGCTCCATTTTGGTCTAATCTGACCACAACACTTTCACCCAGTTGTCCTCTGAATCATTCAGATGTTCATTGGCAAACTTCTGACGGGCATGTATATGTGCTTTCTTGAGCAGGGGGACCTTGCGAGCGCTGCAGGATTTCAGTTCTTCACGGCGTAGTGTGTTACCAATTGTTTTCTTGGTGACTATGGTCCCAGCTGCCATGAGATCATTGACAAGATCCTCCCGTGTAGTTCTGGGCTGATTCCTCACCGTTCTCATGATCATTGCAACTCCACGAGGTGAGATCTTGCATGGAGCCCCAGGCCGAGGTAGATTGACAGTTCTTTTGTGTTTCTTCCATTTGCGAATAATCGCACCAACTGTTGTCACCTTCTCACCAAGCTGCTTGGCAATGGTCTTGTAGCCCATTCCAGCCTTGTGTAGGTCTACAATCTTGTCCCTGACATCCTTAGAGAGCTCTTTGGTCTTGGAATCTGATTGATTGATTGCTTCTGTGGACAGATGTCTTTTATACAGGTAACAAGCTGAGATTAGGAGCACTCCCTTTAAGAGTGTGCTCCTAATCTCAGCTCGTTACCTGTATAAAAGACACCTGGGAGCCAGAAATCTTTCTGATTGAGAGGGGGTCAAATATTTATTTCCCTCATTAAAATGCAAATCAATTTATAACATTTTTGACATGCGTTTTTCTGGATTTTCTTGTTGTTATTCTGTCTCTTACTGTTCAAATAAACCTACCATTAAAATTATAGACTGATCATTTCTTTGTCAGTGGGCAAATGTACAAAATCAGCAGGGGATAAAATACTTTTTTCCCTCACTGTGGCTCAGTGGGCCTTACCTGGTAAAATCTATAGTTTTATAAGCGTTTAGATTAAGAACTCAGACTGGTTCCAATGCCTTCTCTTGCGCAGCACCCACTTGTAGGAATGTCCTCAAAACCAATCTTAATATTCCAAAGATACCTTCTTTAGCCATGCGTGTTAAGGCCATGAAGCAGGATCACTTCTGCCACAACTGTGATTGCTGTAACCAAGCCCCATAATGTCTGAGGCTGCATACACAGTTTATATTTACATAGATCTGCGATGGATTTTTTTACAGCGTTTCCGATTTGTATTTAAGCCCTATTTATTGTCTATTCTGTCGGCAGTCATTTCTGGCGTGGGTTTCGTGTAAATAAAATAGCTTTCCGTTCTTGTTAGTTCGATTGCTAATTCCCTCCCTATGTTCTGTAACTGCCCCATGGTGTAGGTCTGTGGACGTTCTCGCAACACAAAGCTGATTGGCTCAATGTGAGCCCTTAGCAGCTGAAATAAACGGCGCGAATTAAAACGGCCAATCTTGATGCCATTATCTTATCACGGCAAGTAGGAGAGGCGCGTTTACCTCATTACAGCAGTACATCATCTTAAACGGCACAGCCACTCAGGTGTATGCGCTATGCACTACATCTTTCTCTTATTATAGAGACCGACACTCAAAGGCAGTGTTGTGCCCATGCTCGAATGAGCAATGTGACAGGTCTCATCATCTGCTGACCGACCTGAAATAATTATGGAAATTCCACATTCCCATTGCATGGGCCAGTCTCCGCCATACGGAATTGACCACTGTTTACTTCCCATTCAGCGGTGGAACTAATTTCATTAACACCAGCCAAGGAACTTATCGCTGTTCGACAGTGATTCAAGCATTCTACCTGCAGCAACTCTTTGAAAGACATTGCACGAAGATCTTTACGCTGTTATTATAACGGAGAACATATCTGAACATTTTCACAGTTTTATTCGGTAAAGTCACGTAGGTAAGATAAAATAAAACAATTAAATCACGACGTTTCGGAGGCAACACAAGCTTCCGTCTTCAGGTGGAACAGTCACAGCAGAATATCTGTGTCAAGCGCACAGCAGAACATCTGTGTCAAGCGCACAGCAGAACATCTGTGTCAAGCGCACTTGACACAGATATTCTGCTGTGACTGTTCCACCTGAAGACGGAAGCTTGTGTTGCCTCCGAAACGTCGTGATTTAATTGTTTTATTTTGTTTTATTTTATCTACGTGACTTTACCGAATAAAACCAAAGAGTATGAATCCTTGCAGTCACGAAAGCTTCAAATCTAGAATTTTCACAGTTCACCGTTAATATCATTATTGCAACGGTCATAAAGGCTTTGTTACACACAACATCTTGGCATAGATCTGCTATTCTTTTTGACACTGTGCGAGCGCACACTCCAGCTCCTAATTAATGCACCTTCACTTGTGTTGACTCCGTACTGAAGGACGCAGGTTAAATCTTGCTTCACCACATGAATCGTTCCTCGACTGCTCTTCTCAGCTCGAGCGTTCCACTCTCACACCCGCTTACTCTTTTCCCCTTCACCCTTCCGCGCGACTCTCCTTTTTCCTCAGCCTGCCTGGAGAGTTCCCTCGGCTGAAATCGTTGGTCAACGCGTTATCACAGAACGCACCCCCCCCACCCACTCCAACAACCCCGAGCCACCACCCTCCTCTCGCTGCCACCCACTCTCGTTGCCCCCGGCAATGAGAGATAAATTGGAGACAAAGTGTTGACGTAATCAGTTGCAGGGTAGACAGATACATCGAGGCAAAATTATTCACTGTGGCAAGTGTAATGCCCCCGAGTGGACATTACTTTTAAATGTCATGCCACCCACTGCTATCATTCCCGGTTCATTTTCTATCCCAGCAGACTTGAACTCAGCGGAGCTGCAAATAAATTGGTCTATCAACCCTGGTGCTGCTTATCCACTCTGCCATTTACAATAGCTGGACAAATGCACAATTTCAAAATCGTACACCATTTGGGGATGGGTGTGTGCTGGGAGCAGGAGGAATTATTGAAAACTCAACGAGTTGCCCGCTATTATACGATATATATTTATACATTTTAACCGTATATACTGGGCTGGGCTAAATTATGTGAAAAAAAAGAAGTAGCTCTTTGTGTTTTTTTTTTTTGCACGAAGTCGTTTGTGGCCACACCGAGATAAGTAGCTCAACTGCCCTCGAGAACAAGGTATCCTGAGAGGTCGCCAACATCCGGTTTTTGATCTCCATAGGTTCTGGCTCAGCGATCACAAGTAATTACGGAGCTCAGTCGCCTACCTTCTCAGATACCCCCCCCCCCTCCACCAAGTAGTTTTAAATCCGGTGCAATGTCCATCTTCCTGACCCCCTAATGCGCTGTCCCCCCCGCCCCCCCCTCCTCGCTCAGCCGAGCGGGACGCAATCCTCGGTGGCGGCGGCGACTCACGGTGAGCATGTCGTTACACTTCATGTCGGGAACGTCCTCATCCTCGCTCTTGTTGTAGAACTTGCGGAAGAAGTTGAAAGCCACGACGGTGTAGAGGTACACGACCACGGCCAGGAGCCCCACCGTCAGCACCAGCTGCTCCCGACAGGGCCCCACACACAAACACATTCGTTTGTTCATTCATTCGTTCGTTCGTTCGTTGCTTCATTCATTAATCTGGCATCCATGTTGGCCTTGTAACTGAATTGAAGAAGGGGAGCCAACAGAACTGAGCACAACGTTTTTCAGGAAGCATACAATGGAGAGGGCCTCATTGCACATTTTCGCTTGAGGCAAAAGGTAAAACAAACAAACAAACCTCCAAGTGACCCGGCAATGGGGAGGCCTTAATCCTGCAGTGGATTGACAAAGGGCTTCAATTATTCAATTACGGAAGGCTTTTATTACATGGCCGTGTGGGTCACTTAATCCCCCACCCCACCGAGTGAACAATTATCTCGGGTAAGATTTTCGCGGCGTCGCTTTTGTGAACGCGACACGATGACCCGATGCGGAAAACGTGTAAGTGTTGCCTCGTTTGAATTAGCTGAATTCATTTCACCTCAACCTGTCATCAGAGAGCGCCACGTGTCTCACCTGCTTGCCGTTGTGTGTGACGGACGAAAGGATCGTGCGCAGGGTCTTGAAGCCCATGGCGATGTCCAAGAGATGGGCGGCGAAGAAAAAGTTGTTGTAGTGTCCCAGCCCTGACATGGTCATGTACCAGGCCAGGTAGAGGAATGACTGCAGCGAGAAACGGACGCGGACGGACGCACGCCTCCGCTCAGACACGCAGACCCTGTTGGCGCAAGTGCTGTTGGAAGGGCACCTACTGAGAGGCTGACGAGGCACGCTAGGGGGAAGATGTGTCGCTGGCATCGGGCACGTTCGCCCGCCGCACTGGCTACTCGTTCCGAGACAAACGATAAGATTGACATTGCGCATGGGCAGGAATCGAACCCAGGCCTCTTGGGTTATGGCGCAGTTGCTCTGACGACGGCGTCACTGCTCTCACCCCCAACACGAATGCACACACGCACGCGCAAACATCTCATTTGACCCCGGTTACTCTTAGGTCAAGGACGCCATGGTGTAGATGCAGCACGCTGGACTCGCAGTCCAGAGGTACTGAGTTTGATGGTTGCAACCTTCACCCAAGTGACTCTATTAGACATTGTCTCTGTTCAACCATTAAATTACTTGCAATGAGATTGTGCTTGGCACCACTACTTCCTCCAAATCAACACAGCCAAGGTGCAAGTCATCCGACTGCAGGGGCATGAGCACCTATAAAAGCCAGCAAAGATAATGTTGGGACCAGCACCGTCATGCACCCATTTTGGCTGCCACTCATTTTGGGCATAATCAACCAAAGGCAACGATAACTTTTACGAGTTCTACATCGGTGGCTTGGAGTCAAACCTGGTTCGATAAAGGTGTGGTGCGGAGTAGACTTAACCATCGCGGCAGCACTTCGAGATGCACGCACGCACACACACGCACACGCGCGCGTGCGTGTGCGTGCACGTGCACGTGCAAAGGGGGCGTTTATTGCTTTAAAAGGAAAGCTGTGCATATGGAACCACTACTTAAGAGAGTTTACGGTGCCATTTAAGATGAAAGCTTATTTAACAAAGGCATCCGATAAATCAATGGGGCATGCACGCGTTCTCGTAAGAGGCGCACGATGTGTTACTTACGTTGTCCGTGAACACGACACCCAGCTTCCAGATCTGGTATTTGACATCAATTGAGTTGAGCCTTTGAGATGAGGATAGTGAAAGAAAAAAAAAACAACACGCACATTAAAATTAGAGGGCGCCTGAAAAGCGACCGTAACATTTTTTGAAAATAAATACGAGGAAGAACTCTGGCAAAAACATTTATCTGGATTTCTTATCGGCATCTACAGGGTACGAGGCCCACTCAACCACTCATGCACTCACACACACTCAACAACTTACATGGACACACTCACACTCACATACACTCCACTCAGACGCACCCACACAGACATACACGCATGCCCTCAATCTTCAATTCGAAAAATGGAACCAAAACCTAATTTACGTGCAGACTTTTATGAGCAAATGTTGCCGGGGCCAGGTGTTTTCTTTCAGCAGAGTGCACAATGGGCACGCTGCTTACTCACAGTTTCATTTCACAAAGTCACGCCGGTACAAGAAGCAAAATGCTCTCTCATCATGGGACCAATGTCCTGATAGTGCATTGTCTTTGTGCTATTCGCCTTTTGGCGTCCTCTGGTCTAACACTGGTTGAGACTAGGCTCTAGTTTTTTGTTTGCATGTTCACCACAAGTTTGTGCGGTTAATGCAGACATGATTCCTTGCAGAAGGTTTGATGTTTTAACATCTCAGCACATGTTTTATTGCCAGAAAGGGTAAAAACGTATTGTTATATTCTGACAAAATGCTCTGTCTGCACCACTTGGTGATGACTGCATTGCCCTTGTGGGACAGAGGGGTGGGGGTCCTGAAGGGGCCTCAGAAGGACGCTATGCCAATTGAGTTACAAAGTGTACACAATGCAAACCGCACCTCAAGGTACCCCAGAGCGGTGGGTGATGGGCATCACTGGAGGAAAGGCGGAATACTTATTTCATAGAGCAAAACGGACCGTCGGAGGGAGAGGGAAATGGAATATCTTGAGTGTGGACTTGGATAGGGGCAGGGAGTCGAAAGTGCAGGTGGCTCAGGGAAAGGGAGTTCAAGACAATGGGGGCAACAGCGGCGAAAGGGTGACCCCCCTCCTACTGAGCAAAGGTTGATTTGGGGCTTCGACAGAAAGCCTTTGGTTTCTGGAGTTGATAGTGGGTGGATAGGAGGAGAGCGAGATGAGAGGAGAAAGGTAGGAGAGTGCGTGGAGGGAAGTGCAGTGAGCTGAGAGGCGGAGAGGTAGGAGAGTGCGGGAAGGTGAGTGGAGTGAGATGAGAGGGGAGAGGTAGGAGAGTGCATGGAGGGGAGTGGAGTGAGATGAACACGGAGAGGAAAGCAGGGGTGAGTCCATGGAGGATCCTGAAAAGGATGAGCGAGAGACCTTAAAACTGGTCCGGTAATGGATTTAGAACCCAAAGTGAGGTCTATTCTGGTGTCTTTCTCCCATCGTGACATGCGACTCTACTGTGTGCAGGGTTCTGGAGTAGTCCGATTTGCTTTTTCAGCAGAAACATGTTTGATGTGCAGTCTTGAGAGGGAGACATTTAATAAACAGGCAAGGGGGTTTGTTTAATTCGCTAATGAAATTCACATTTCAGCAGCTGACCAGTAGTTCTTGTGGATAAATGTTTTCGCAAGTGGCATGTGTGAAATAACAAAGCAAACCGCGGGCTGGTTTTTGACTTTCCCGAGTCTCATCATTAGACTGTAGCATCTCAAACTAATGCCACGGAGTAACCCAGCGTTTTGTCCAAGAGCTATGACCCACTGCGTAGCCCAAGTCTACAAATCAACAAGTCATTCAAAATACACCTCCAGTAATAAGGGGTAAAGATGAATAAAAATGACAATAACAGCAAACCTTGCATGGCTATTCATTTTTAATAAAACAAAATTTTCCCGGGTAGGGCTTAATTAACTTTGTATATTTATAAGTCACACAGGGTATGTCCCCTGCAGTCATGAATGCGAATTTGCCAGGTACACCTTAGCTCACCGGCAATTCCCCACTGGTGCTCGGCGATTTCCACCTTCATCACAAACGAACCCACGCGGCTTCCCAATCCGTCGTCACCCGCTGGCTCGGGGAGGTTTAACCCTGGCGACTCGAAGCGGCGGCGACGACGACAAGGCTGGACATCCGTGAACAAGAGCTTTATAGCTCATCGGATTCCTCCAGTATAAATAAACATTCTGATTCTGGACGCAAGCGACGCGAGCGCCTCGGTTATCTCTCTCTCCTCACGGCGTCATTTTTGCCCGCCCAGTCGTCTCCTCTTGCCCCCCCCCCACCAAAACCTCCCCCCGGCGGTTGTTTTGGTTTTCCTTAACAAGGCCGGTGTCAAATCGCCGCCGTAAACACGGCGCGGGGGAAAACAGCGGCGCTGCCAGGGCGAGCTGGCGTCACTTCGCCTGGACAACCCTGGACGCGCGCACCGTGACGAAAGGGCCCAGTCGCGCCACGGAGCCGCCGAAAAAGCAGCCACTCCATTTCCCGCGTTGCTAAGTGCTATCCACGTCATCTCGTTAACAAGACGAGCCTGCACTGCGTCCATAACCTCGCTTTTCAGAGCACCGCTATTTGGTGATTGTGATATTCTGTGCTCTGCTTCAGTCACTGTTCTGATGACATAGCGGCCTTCGCCAAGGAAGTGTGGAATTGGAGGTGCCCAGTAAATATGGAACGCTGGCCCAACGGCTCCGACCATATGCCAAGGTTGACCTCTGATCGCTTGAGCAGGGAAATACCTTGACTGACTCCACTCGTTCTTAGTAGTGTTCTAACGATTCGTGGTGTACAATCATGTTTTGCATAAAATAGTATCTTGCTCACTATCATTGCTGTGGAAATTCTGGACGCTCATTATTTTAATTTCCGCGCTATAATTTGATAACCTGATGTTTCTTGACATAGCCTGCACTCATTGAGTGCACCCATGCCATTGTAATTAATTTCAGAGTTAATACTGCAGCACCTTCTCCGCGATGTGCACCGTGTATCATACAGTATCAGGCTGTGATGAAGAGGCCGGCGTGTTCGACTGGAAAAATGTGCGTATGTATGTTGAACTTCTTTATGTACGTATGTATGTTGAACTTCTTTTGCGCCGTATGTAGCCAACCATGAAATAAAAAAAAAATATCATGTTTCCTTCTCAGCCGAGGTAACTGAAGCCTTCAACCTAAGATTATTTTAATTCCAGTCCTTGTTACCTCACACCGTGGATAGACTTTGCACAATCACTAATCATCTTTGCTAAAATATAAACGCCGTCGCTACACCGTTAATGCATTCGTCAAGGTAAGAGGTAAAGGTGCAACCCTGAAATTTCTTGCTCACACTACTACAGGGAGCTCTCAAGAGAGCGTCTCTGAAATATATATTTGGCCTACTCCTCCACGCTAGAAAGCAGACAACTGTAAATCTCTATGGTAATTGGCTTGAAGCACCGGCGTTTAGGAAAACTGGTGTTGGAAAATATTATGAATTTAACATTTTGCCTACGCCCATTCAGAAATGAATGGATGTAATTGAATTGTGGTGAGGTAAAATATTGGCATCACAAAGATTATAGGTTTGTAAATTACAAAATTACCACCTCTCATCTCATCTTTATGAAGTTTCTCAGTCATTTTTTAAACCACAGATGAGGGATGTAAAAGATAATTTACAGGCTTTTGTATGGTGTCATTAAGTAACTATCTAAAAAAACTCACCACTATCCTTAATGCACACTGCCAATATACTGCGTGGAACACTTCCGACAGCTATTACGCAACATATTTTCATGTGTACACTCTATTCATTGACTTTTTCAACGGCTGGCAACGGCTCTTGTGGGCTAACATCAAATCCACCACTGAGGTTTTTTGCGGTCGCGATGTCCCTCTCTCTCGGGTGTTTTCAGGTTGTACTGCGAGCTGTTTGGCATCAGGTCCCAACATCTGGAAGCTAAACGGTAAACAAAAAAAACTGCTCCACTATTGCAGCCCCCTACTGACAGCCGGACAGAGGAAATAGCACCTGTCTTCAACGGAGCAACCTTTAACACAATACACCCAAAGGCTTCCTCTTCATGTCTCAATGAATCAATGTCTCTTCCTGTCTCTTACCTGCCCAGTAGAAGGAGGTTTTTTTCAGTTATTTCTAGAGGCATTTTTACTGTCCTCCACAAGCATAAAACTGAGCTTTTCTAAATTATTATTTACAAATAAACATTTATTGACAGACTGTTTCACTTTACAGAATGTGCATCGTCGTACAGGACCAAATAATTTTGCCCATTTTCAGGTGTGATGCCCTCACACATTGTGGATGACCTGATGGTCACTGCGTTAATCCTTTCGGTGTGTAAGGGGTCTATATCTGAGACAACCACACAGACTCGCGGTGCCTTTAGCTGTGTGAATGAGTGACCGCCTTCGCTGTTTGGCTAAATTATCACAAAAAAAGTCCTCAAGAACATGGCCCCCGAGTGATTAGGGAGCACAATCCTCCCGATTAGCACGGTCGGCTACGTGCGGTGCGAAGGAGCATCAACGCACATGCAAATAGTGACCAGGGCTATTTATACACAATCACTCTTGGCAAGTCATGTGATGGCTCAGCGCATTGACCCCCCCCCGTGGTCCACAAAACTAAGTACCACTTTACGGTAAGTCAATAGAGAGTGTAATCTGGTGACCCTGGCCCCAACCGTAGTAATGTGGAATTTTTCACCACTAGCTGAAGACCATAATAGAGATTTATTTGGGTTGGATCACGTAAAAATATAAATGCGTTGTTAAACTCGCCACCACCTGACGCAGCCAATTAGTAACGTTTGTTACTTAAACAAAACATCCCAATTCGTTACTAGTTCAGCACACGGAGTGTTGGAGAGTAAACCCACAATATTTACAATTTAAATACGATGTTTCGCCGGTAATTACAACCAGCCTCATCAGGCGACAGCCAGAGTTGAGGTTGGTTGTAATTACCAACATCACCGGTGTGCTGAGCCGGTAACGAACTGACATGTTTTGTTTACGTGACAAGCCTTACTAATTGGCTGTGTCAGGTGGTGGCCGGTTTAACGACACATTTATATTTACACAATGTAATCCAAAAAACCTCTATTGTGGATAATATTGGTCGCGAAAGCCTATGTGTTAAACTAGCTGAAGACCACCTATGGTGACCGTTTATTTATATAATCTTGAGATGCAGGCATATTTAGACACTATTTAAATCGGTATTATAATTGAGTTGAGTCTTCCCAGTGCTCATTTGTGCTTGCAAATGCTTTTTGGACTTTTATAACTTGACTGAACTGAGACCATAAAAGTGACTATGTAAAATATATAAATTCCATCCTTGGATGGAAGTCCAGGATTGGAACTTAGAATCTCAACAGTGTTGGCTAAATTATATCAACGAGAGCAGACATCCACCGGAAATACTGGCGAAAAATTACAGTCTTCAGTTTAATTCACCAACGGAGTGCAAGGTAATAATTTTACAACTTCCTTGTGTGTGAGTGTGCATGCGTGTGTATATGGGGAGCGGTAGTGTAGCGGCTTGCGCACTGCGTTACGAATTCGGTGGCACGAGTTCCATTCTCGCTCGTGGCCAACACCAGTGACGATTATCTGAACCGGTCCTGGGCCTCCCCTGGGTCAACGCAGCCTCAATTGAGGACCTAGTGCGATGTGTAAAAACATTTCCACGAGGGAGACAAAGGCGCCCGGGGGTGGTGTCTGCCCTCATGTGTCGTGCCGGCCTTCACAGGTGCTCGCTAACAGCACTTACCCCAATGGTCTGTTAAAGGCTGCACGGGCAATCTTTGTTTTATATGTACATGTTTCATACGTAAACAAAAATTTGTACAATTAAAAGCTGACAGTGAAAATCCGACTGCTGCTTACAGTGCGAAGATGGAGCTTTCTTTCTTGGGCTTCTCATTTCTCCTGCTGAAGTCCAGCGCGGCCATGTCAAGCCCGAGCAGTTCGCTGATGCGGTCACGGCCATAAAATTCACCATACTTGTCCATAACCTAGAATAAAAAAAAAAATACTTTGAGAAAAAGCGCTACATCCCCCTTATCACAATAAATATCCGTCCGGGCGGCACTGTAATCAAAGCGGGACTATTCATAAGTACAAGGTTGCGAGTTCAAATCTCAGTCATGGCTCAAGCTCAACTTGGCGCGTCATCTCCCCCGGAGTCAATAAAATGAGCGCCAAGCCAAGAGAAGACAACCAACAGTGGTCGTCCCACAAAGAGGCTGGCTCACGCCATGGGAAAGTGGAATTTCCCGCCACTGACTCAGGGCTGCCAACGTTGGTTGGACGAACACGGTCCCATCGCTTGTTTGACTCGACTTGGATTGAAATTATTCACCGGTGTGGTCTAATTGTGAGGTATTCTGTGCAAAGTTCTATCTCGTCACATCGTGCTCAGGGCTTTAAGGCACCGAGTTCAGCAGCACTCACCTTTCGTTTCACAAACTTGTCCCAGTAGTTATTTGGGAAGGACCTGAAATGCAGAGGGAGCGGCATGGTAAAACCATCCCACAATAGCAGAATCGCCAAGTAATTTCCACGCACAAGCAAAAAGCGCAACAGCTGTGCAAGGGAGATAATAGCTACGAGACGAGCCCTAAGTCTGTCAGCGGGAGGGAGAAGAATGGCAGATGGGCTTTCACAGACTGCCACCCTCGCTTGCCAGCAAGTGGCACAGTGCCAAACCTATCAGCCAGCCCCCACAAGCAGCCAATGGGAGTGATTGATACTGTGGGCATTGATATTTAATTCCAATTCCTTTGTCAAAATCCACACACATTGGCTGTTCCTGAATGCCTTCCTATGAGCTAGTTTCAATCGCCCACAACGGCCACGAGTGAAAACACCTTCCGAAGCACTGCAGCAGCTTTGGAAGATGTTTTCTAGATGTTTTAAAATCTTTCTTTGTTCGCGTAGGGCTGGACAACACCTGAAGGCATCTTATACCAAAACGTCAACGCGGTGGTCTGGTCAAACAACCTCTGTGACCGGCAAAGCCACGGAGAGGCCCTTATCTTGCAGTGGATTGGCAAAAAGCTGTAAATTATTGCATAGAAATGGTGCATGCAACACTGCATGTGGATTACTAAACTATTTTTTTTATTTTAGTCAGGTAAGGCCCACTGAGAGCTCTTTTCAGAAGTGACCTGGCCACAACCGATAGCTCAACAAAGTGGCTTATCACGTGGAAATGTATAGCAGCCAAATACTCTAAACGCGTGATGTTAATTCTAAATGTGGAGGGAAAAACCAGAGGACCCGGAGAAAAATCCACATGACCACGGGAAGAGAGACAGGCAAACTCCAAATATACAGCAGGCATCAGGGTCGAGTTCGAACCCCTGACCTCCTGTATACCAAGCGAGGTAGTTAACATCTCGCCACCGCGGCACCCCCGTCGTTTCGTTGACCACCCCCACCGCAATTTCTGCCGATGATCGTGCTGGGGTGGGCGGCGCACGCGCGCGCAATCACAGGGATGGGGGTGGCCCTCACGGCGTGTTGATGACGAGGCGGTCCCACTGCCCCTTGATGTCGTCCTCAGATGGCTGCTCTGTGATGTAAAGGCCATCAAACTCCAGTTTGCGCGCCACCTCCTTCTCCCGCTTGAATATCACGAGCGGGACCTGGCGGGGTAGGACACGAGTCATGGCCTCTGAGCTCGGGATTCGTGGATTCAAAAGTCAACGGCGACACCGCGGGCAGGCAGCTCGGCTCACAATCCAGAGGGGGCACGCATTCGAATCCTGTTCAGGAGGTCCACTCGGTCCATCATCGCAACCAGGGTCAATAAAATGACACCGCTGCGCAGGTTCGTCGGGGGTTTTGCTGCAACAAATCTCCTACGTGTTTTCGGAAAGTACCCGCGATCGTTAGTTTGGCGTGATGTCCGATGTTTCACTCCACGTGCCGAAAGCTTCCTCAGGAACGGAGTTCAATTCCTGAAAAGAATAGGAGCTAAGACGATATGGGGTACACTCTGAAATCCGATGGCAAGTCAAATCCTGTTAAATATCAGCCATATTTAACAGGGTTTAACGGGTACAAATTCACAAAAACACTTGAGAAATAACAAAAGCTCCATGCCAAATCACATCGGAAACCGGACTGACCCTGTTCAAATGTGTCGGGAGATGCGTCGTAAATCAAGTTCCTGAGTCTTAAACCGATCCATGGTGGCGTTATATGAACGTCGTAAATGTGGACCACTGTAAATCGGACCGTCGTCAACTGGAGACCGCCTCTAACCGATAATCATGGAATTGCAAATGACAAAAACCAAAAGAGTTTGCACGTAAGCATACTGGCACTCCCGCGAGCGGCATCCCGTGCCCTGCGGATCGCAACTCGGCTAAACTACGTGCAAATGTGAAGTCAGAGACCGTGCCCAATGCCATTCCAAGGAAAAAGGGTTTTGATAAGATGCTCGTCTGCTGTAAGATAGGCATGACAGTTGTGTCCTATCCACTCACGGTAATTCTTCAAAACCAATGCAATCTCGTTTTCTCAAGGGGCACTCGGCCGGTTTGCAAATAAATTTTGCATCGGAAGAAAAACGTTCACTGCCACCATAGAATCATGGCCAGAAATGTTTCCACCATCTCATTTGTATTCCATAAATCAACACGCACGTACGTGTAAATCAAATTTTGATGGATTGAAAGGCACCACTGGGAACAAGACAGGGCGATCAAAGAAGAGAAGCAATGTAGAAATTGGGGAAGGGAGGGCACAAAGGGAGGTGAATTTGAGATTGCATTTGCAGAAGAATGAACAACATGGCTTACGTTGACAATGATGCTGATGATGTCGTGAATGCCGTACTCGCACTCAAGTGGGGTTGTGAGTTGACAACTCGGTTTGTCACATTTATGCAATAGAGAGTTTGCAGTACAACTTACAAAACGTGACTAGACAAGGAGTTGTAGAGGGATGAGGTAGGTACAGTAAAACCTTGGATTGCGAGCATAATTCGTTCCGGAAACGTGTTTGTAATCCAAAGCACTCGCATATCAAAGCACTCGTATATCAGTTGTGATCACGTGACGCTCGGCAGTACAAAGCGTATACGTACTGCTCGTATTGCAAGACCTCGCGCTCGTTTATCAAATTCATATTTATTAAAAAATTTTGCTTGTCTTGCAAAACACTCGCAGACCAAGTTACTCGCAATCCAAGGTTTTACTGTATTTTATATTTACTCTGTTAAAATTCTATAAGGGACACATTTTTTTTCTTTCAGAAAATCAAGACAACTCCAGAGAAGACATTCTCAAGACTTCCGTGGCTGCATGCTGTAGTTTAAATTAGTTCTTTCATTGATTTTTCAACTGTGCAACTGCCCCCTCGATCACTTTTGCGGGTGACCAAAAAAGGAATGAACAGGGGCCCCCTGTAGAGTGGTAAAGGGAGCCTGGAGTCTGCGGAGATTTGGCACTGGATGATTCCAGACATCTCGGTCGGGTAAAGGAAGACGAGCGTGAGCTTCCACGTATTCCCTGGAGGGTGCGTTTACGTGGCTGGATTATACAACGGCCCGCGTGCTTGCCACCGGACTCACTTCGCGCGCAATCGATGGTTCGACGCCCACCGGGTAATTTCTTCAGGGGAATGAGCAGAGTGTGTACCACATGCGCGCAAATCACATTTCTGCCACTGTCATTGAACGAGCTGTGTGCGTGGGTGTAGGATAGCGGTTAGCACGCTGTGCTACGAACCTGGCGACCCGAGTTCGATTCCCGCTCATGGCCAACACCAGTGATGATTATCTGAACCGGTCCTGGGCCTCCCCTAGGTCGAATCAGCCTCAATTGAGGACCTAGTGCGGTGTGTAAACATCGCCACTGGGGAGACAAAGGCGGCTGAGCGTGGTGCTGGCCACCCACCCCCTTGTGTGCCGTTTTGGCCTTCATAGGTGCTCGCTAACAGCACTTGTCCCAACAGTCTGTTAAGGCTATAGAGGGGATCTTTGTCTTTGTTTTGGTGGGGGGGGGGGAGAGCGTGAATGGTGGCGTTTGGCCAAGTGGGATGGCGGTGCACGTAATCGAGTCGGAAATTTGGAGGCGAGTTGGTGGACTCCTTGTATGCACCAGTTTTTGTTCGAGGCACTCTCTGTCAACACACATGGAAAAAAAATTATTGGCCAAACACCCCAAGCAGAAACCTTCCTCAAAGGATACCCATGCCACGTTTCAACAAACACTTCAAACTGGACAGGCCTGGTTCGCGAACTGGGCTCAGCTTGGCCACGTGACCCAGCCACAGCAAGCTGTTACCCGGCTGTGTCGCAGCGCTTGGACATCCCGCTTTACGAAGGGAGCTGCCCCCGCTTTCAGCTGGGCCTTTCTAGAAATCCTTACGTCACGAGGTCAACGTGGGAGAGGCGAGCACTGTTAACGGCGTCACTGGCATAGGTCAGCTTCAGGTCCATGTGGTTCGTGAAAAAATGACAGGATTGGCCTAGTGCCTGCATTGGAATGTGAACCTCCTCGCAACTCTACGGTTGCGAGTAAAGCACACTCGAACCTTCGATTAGCATGGTTGGCTACGTACGGTGCGAAAGATATGTACGCACACTAGCCTCACCATCACAATCCTTTGACATTTCTGAGTTGAGTAAAGAAGTTACGGGTGATATTGGCACACCTTGAGGCAGTAGTATCCAATGATGCACAGGAAGGAGATGAGCGTGTGCACGATGGCGAGCATCCGGAGCGCCGGCTCCATGTAGCCCGTACTCTCCTCCAGCACAAAGTGCACCAGGGCATCCTCATCCTCCTCCTCCGCCACCACCACATCCTCCACCTCCCCAGCCACCTCGTCGCCCCCACCCTCGTCGCCTCCATCCATTGACGACACCTGCGTGTGCACATTTGCCCGTTATTACATTCGGACGTCCGGATAAGCCGACGAAACCATGTTTATACCAGGAGAGGGCCCATTGAGCCTCTTGCAATGGATACCAGCGGTGAAAACGAGCAGTGGCGCAGCGGTTAGCGCACCACGCGATGAACCCAGCGATTGGTCCTGGGCACCCCTGTCCCTTAACTAACCAGCACCGACCGGTATGGTGAAGTGTGGTCAAACAACTTCCATGACCAACACGGCATGGGAGGAGTGGGGTCCTTAATGTACCAGTTTATTGATAAAAGAGGCTGGAGCTTATTTTATTTGTTCTTTACCACTGGTAAATCAAAAAGCCACAGCATCTCCTTCGCAAGTGAAATATGGGGCAATGATCATCACTTCCGGTGCCACAATCCAGTGGTGGAGATTTCACATTCTTCTGGCATGGGCCAGTTTGTCCATATAATGACCAACGTTGACTATTAACTGCCATTCCATAATCACAAACCAACAGTGGTCAGCTTAGCAAAGGACAGATGTCATTCCATTCTTTGTTTTAAAAGGATTATTTCATATTTAACCATCAGTTCCACTCAAGAATTTGACTCACTGCTGCCACACAATTGCCGACTGCTGCAGACAGAAAGGTCGATTGCTCCCGCCCTACAGCAGACTTGGTGTCTGAAAATTCCCTTTTAAAAATGTGCCAGGTGCTGGAAATCATTATTCACAAGCATTGCTACTTACAGGCAATGGGTTCGCTGTGTATGTAACATATACGTATCAATCTGTTGTGTACGTGAGTGCATTGTTAAGATGGTGTATTGGAGCAGTAGCGAACAAACTGCACTACGGGCACAGTCACCTGAATTTGATTTCAGGCCATGGCAACGATCTTTGGCGAGTGACATCTGAACTTAAACCAGGTGGGGGGGGGACCCCCTGGCCAGCCGGGTAAAGTATGTATGCTAACCCCCTCCCCAAGACCAACACTGCATGGGGGTAACCTGCATGCAGCATGTGGATTTACAAAGGGCTGTAATATTTTTTTCATGAATTGCAGCTCTGTTCTTACTTTGGCTGAGAAATGTAAAACTATGATTTCAGATCACGAGTCACGTAAATTATTAATATGTCCAAGGACGCACTATGCACACATTACACGGTTACCTTGTAGAAGAGAAGGATGAAATTAATTGCAAATGCCATCACCAATGCCAGCATCCTCATGTTGTAAAAATTCCTTGCAAAAGAGTTCTGAAAGAGTGTAAACACAATTCAATTTGATATTAATGAAGATGACTTATTAAGTCTCCATAATAGCTTTGAACAGCAGGGTTACTGAGTGTTCCACGTGATGAGAGAATCAATTGCAAATTTAATTTTGTGGCTAATATTAAGCCCTAAACATACTCCAAAGTGCAGTAACAACGCATTGCACATGAGTACGGTAAATCAACGGGTGCCATGGCAAAAAAAAAACCGCAGTGTTGTATAACAGGATAAAATATATATTTTAAAAATGGTTATTAAAGTACACTTAAAATTGGCTCATTAAATATAAGATGGAGTCAAGTAGTGAAACATCATGACGGAGTAACCAGCAAGTTAGAAATGTGTGTGCGAGGCAGTATCTCCAAGTACTACACTCATGACAAAGGACAACTCTCGAAGGAGTCTTAAGACAGAGTAAGCCGCTCCTGAATTAAACATAACTGTAATAAATGTGAAAGTTTTATACATTTTCATCTCAATTAAAACTATGTAAAACTAATTTTATTTCACCAGGTAAGGCCCACTGAGGTATTTGGCTCTTTTTCAGAAGCGACCTGGCCACAAATGATAGCCCAATGAAGTGGCTTATCACGTGGACATTTATAGCAGCCAAATACTATAAACGTGTGATGTTAATTCTAAATGTGGAGGGAAAAACCGGAGGACCCGGAGAAAAATCGACGCGGACACAGGGAGAAAGACACGTAAACTCCAAATATACAGGCGCCAAGGTCGGGATCGAACCCGCGACCTTCTATATCCCAGGCGAGGGAGATTACATCTCGCCTCCGTGGTGTCCCAGTTGCATTAAAATACCAAACATTGCAATCGCAATATAATTCAATGTTAACACAACGGAGAGTGCTTTTGTCAAAAATGACTATCGTCAGCCAGGATCTTGTACGTTTCCTTCCTGGTCCAGGTTTCACGCCATGTTGCTGGAGGCTTCTTCAGCTCCTAGCATGTGCAGCGATAGGTTGGAGATCAAAACAACGCGGTGCAGCCCGAAAAAAAACATCGGAGAGCTGGGAAGGCGCACACATTGTTTATGCTCCTTGGTTAATCAAGCGGACGTGTGTACACACAATCTCTCAATCCATTCATTACGTCGGCACATCCAATCAACACGAATTGTCTTCCGTTTCACTCTTTTTACTTCGCATCTCAGATTAGCCCCGCCAGCGCCAAGGCACCAACATTCTCTCCCCCGTACCACACCGGGCAGTGCACATAATCAAACGCTACTGTGTGACAGCGCGTTGCAATTGCGGACAAGAGGCAACCGATCGTACGTTGAACGTCTTCCGCACCGCACGTAACCAATCGGAGGTGCGGGGGGAGCGACGGACGGACGGACGACCGTGACCGGCGATTATCATCGCGGTCACAAAAAGTTGCGCCTCGACGGAGTGTTCCCTCACCAGCAGCTTCTGCTGGTACGCCGTTATCTTCTTCCAGAAGTCCGACTCGGCACCTTCCAGGTCGTCGTGCCTGCATCCAAAGTGCCTCTTTTTCTTTTTCTTCTTCTGCGGAGCCTCCTGGGACTCCTTGTCCTCCTTCTCTCCATATTCTCCACTGTCGGGGGAGAGAGCGGCCCAACTTTTTAGCGATGGCCCCGGGGGTGAGGGGGAACTCAAGAGCGTGGCGTCGCAAGCGACCTGCTTTGGGAAAAATCAGAGACGAATGGTAAAAGTCTTCCGAGTTAGACAAATTGCTTACTCAGCTTTCTCCACCTCCGTTTTCACTTCCATATGTCCATCTTCACCTTTCTTTGCCTGCAGCAGCCCAACATGCAAAAAGCAAAACGTTAATTATGTAACAGCCAGAGCGATTTCCTGCTCAAAATAGCAATGGGGTGGGATGCACACGTCTCCTATTTATCGCCCTCAGGAAGTGCTGGAAATTACGCATTCCCACGTCAGGGGCGAGTCTATCCAAAGGACAACCACTCTTGGCTTCCCCACAAGTTGTCAAGTATTTTATCGACCCCCCAGACGGATGATGGGCTGAGTCAACGTTTGGTCATCTTGTCTGTATTTTATCGTCATTTTTTGTGGGGTGTCTATACATGTATCAAACTGTACAATGAAACGTGAGAAGTGTCTCCCTGCTCACATGAGCAACGGGATGCCAGTCATGTCCCGTTCGTGGCCCAGAGCCCAACGGTTGACATTTCATATCCCCATGAAATTTGTACCGCAGATGTGGCAACCTTCCACTTAGGACATCAGTCCCCACACTTGATATGGAGATGAGGCCTTCGTAGGCTATGCTACCCCTCTGCCACCATCCCCACCAGGGTGTCGAGTCCATAAGGCGGGAAGATCACTCTCAGGCTTTCTGTGGAGTGCCAACTCACCATTGGACTCGACCCCTGACCAGAATTGTATTTTGTATTGTTCGCTATGGTAACTTGCTGACCCGCCCATACTGGACATCTGTGAACAATGAGATTCATACTATTGATTTTATTTGACAAGATAAGGCCCACTGAGCTATATAGCTCTTTTTCAGAAGCAACTTGGCCACAAATGATAGCTCAACAAAGTGGCTTAATCATGTCGAAATGTATAGCAGGCAAACACTCTAAACGCATGTTTCTAAATGTGGAGGGAAAAACTGGAGGAGAGCCGGAGAAAAAAACAAAATCCACGTGACCACTAAGCTCATCGGATTCCTCCAGTCTAAACAAGACTCCGATTCCAAGAAGCATCTGAACTCGTCGATTACGAACGTCCTAGACGTCGCCACGACGCCCCGAGCCCGGCGAGGCACGGCCGCACGTACGTCCGCGCCGGCCGGATCGTGCGCCGCGTCGTCTCCGTGGGCCGTGTGCACGAGGTCGCCGAGGTCGTGCGTGAGCAGCTTGAACTGGCCACCCTCGCGCTTCAGGTCGAGGCCGAGCACGCCCGTGAAGAACTCCTTCTCAGCGTCCTCGCGGTTGACGAGCGCCAGCGCCGAGTTCTGCAGGTCGTCGTCACTGCCGTCGAACTCCTTGCGGTCGTGCATGTCGCTGGTGCCGTCCGCGCGCACGCCGTCCTGCGTCGGGTCCGGCATGCCGCCCAGCAGGTCGGTCACCGTCATCTTCTTGGCGTTCTCCACCATGCTGCCGCCCCCGCCGAAGGTGATCCTCCAAAAGCCACGGCCGACGGTGAAGCCCACGACGAGCAGCCCCACCGCGAGGCTCCACATGCCGGAGAAGAGCGCCACCACCATCTCCTTGGCCGTCATCTTCTTCGCCTTCTTCAGCTGCTTCTTCAGGTTCTTCACGGTGAACAGCTTGGCAACCGATGTGCTGTTATTCTTCAGGGAGCCCACGGCCATTTTCACCGTCGTCACGGAGAAGAAGCTCGACTCTAGCTCCTCCTCCTCCGTGTTCTCCTCCTCCTCCTCGCCCCGCGCCCCCGCGCGCTCAGCCATGTCCGACTCGGAGATCTTGGCGGCCAGCTGCATTTCGAAAATGGTGTCCTCGCAGAAGTTCACGAACAGCTCCATCTTCTCCTTCTCGCCACCCTCGTTGACGACGTCGAAGATAAACTGCCGCTTCGACTCCTTCACCTGCGGCTTCTCCCACTGCGTGCGGCTCGACTCGGTGATCTCGAAGTAAATGCGCTCGATGCGCTTGGCGCTTCCCATGATCTCGATGCGCCCCAGGAAGGGCTGGAAGTAGTTGAGGACGCTTTCAGCGAGCTCCAGGAAGGTCTGCAGGCGCGTGTCGTGTGGCATGTGCTCCGACAGGTTGGTCAGCAGCACGGCCACGTTGAAGCCGATGTCCTTGGCGGGCTCGTGGAAGCGCTCCGTGAACTCCTCGTAGTCCAGCTGCTCGCTCTCGTCCGTCTCAGCGCACGACAGCAGGAATTCTATCTCGGACGGGCTGTAGGTCTTCTGGCTCTCCATGGCCTTCTGGAAGTCCCGCTTGGAGATGACGCCCTTGCTGTCCGGGTCGTGCTCCTTGAAGGTGTCCGATGACGTGAGGTCCTTGAGCTTGAGGAACATGTCGAAGAACTTGAGGATCATTTCCACGTTGCTCGATGACTCCACCAACATGTCCACCATCTGCTTGCCGATGGTGCCGTTCACAACATTGCCTGGCAAAATAAATGAATGTTAGAAAGGTTTGCGTGACAGTAACGAGACAAACCCACGTTGGAAATTATAACCCGCGTGAGAAGTGGTGGCGTTACCTTCAAGAAGAGAGAGCAGCATCACCACCATGTCCTTCTGCAAGTCCAGCAGCTCCTTGAGGAGCTCAATCTGGCTGGCATCCTGTAGAGATCCAGAGGTTTGGGAGGAAAGCGAGCGGAGGAGCAAGAGGCATTGCCATTAAGAACATTCTGCTGAAATGGCGGTTCAATGCATAAGAGTGTGACTCTCTCTCTCTGCACGAGCATGTGTGAGTGTGTGTGAGCATGAGCGTGTGTGAGCACAACCGAGGCTGGTGCTTGTGTGCATGAGCTTGTGGCATTAGTGGTTAGCGTGCCGCGCTATGAATCTGGTGACCCGAGTTTGATTCCCGCTGATGGCCAATACCAGTGACGAAATATCTGAACCGATACTGGGCCTCCCCTAGGTCGGCTCACCCTCAAATGTGTACCTGATGCAGTGTGTAAAACATCCCCACTGGAAAGACAAAGCTGGTCGGGCGTGGTGCTGCCCACCCACCCCCTCGTGTGCCGTGCCGGTCTTCATAGGTGCTCGCTCACAGCACTTGCCCCAACAATCTGTTACAGGCTATACGGGGGGATATTTGTCTTTATGTCATGCACGTGATGGTAACTGCTGTGTCAGGTCCAGTGGGAGCATGTGTGCGTGCATGCGCGTGTGTGCACAACAACCCCCTACCTCCTCGCGGTGCCGGACGGGCAACTCTGTCGTGGACAGTGCTGTGGGGGGAGGGCCCATTCCGATTGGCCTCTCCCCTCATGGCGTCTGTGACCACCACAGTGGCTAAACGGGGGCTCTGGACGGGTGCGAGGGGCTGGTAACCCCTCCACCTTCAATTAATTACCACTAAACCACGAGTTAAAACTTATATATGTAACTAATAAGCTTGTGCCAGAGGCCCCGGGGGGACAAGCATCTATGACGTCTCCTGGCCAAACGCCAATTGGCGGAGCCAGGAGATTGAATCTCTACCCTCGGGGCTCCTCCAGAAACAACAAAAAGCCACTTCGTGTGGCCACGTGGAATGTTCGAACGCTCACTGCGGAGGAGAGGCTGCCACTCCTCTGTTGGGAGCTGGACCGGTACCGCCTGGATTTCTGTGGAATTCAGGAGGTCCGGTGGACCGGTTCTGGCTCTTGCCACCATGAGGGGTGGACAGTCCTCTACTCGGGTTAGCAGACTGCCAAACAACAGGGTGTGGCTCTACTTTTGAACAAAAGAATGAAGGGGGCGTGGGAGCGTGGCGGTGAGGTGTGGGAAGTTGTAAGCCCCAGGCTACTTTGGGCTCGCCTTCCCATCAACCGGAGGCGAGGAGTGGTGGTCGTGGTTACTTATGCCCCCACCGAAGACGAACATCCGTGGAGGGATGCAGGCAAAGCCGATGAGACAGATGCCTTCTATGACCTCCTGTCACAGGTGCTGGCTAAAGTGGCCCCTCGGGATAGAGTCATCAATGCCCGAGTTGGTCATGATGCTGGCACCTGGTCTGGAGTTATTGGAGGGCATGGGCCAGATCAGCTCAATAACAACGGTAAGAGGCTGCTAGATTTTTGTGCAGCCCATGGGCTTGTAATTACCAACACGCTGTTCCGGCATAAGCGCATCCACACAACATCATGGATGCATGCCGGGTCCAAGCAAGAACATCTGCTGGACTACATAGTGACGGACCAGCGGATGCGAGCCCATGTCCTTGACACCAGGACCTACCGTGGAGCTGATCTGCCCTCTGACCATCGACTAGTCATCTGTAAGATGCGCCTGCCATTCTTCCACTCCAGTGGTGGGTGTACACCCAGGACCCCATTCCAACCTAAAGTGGCCTGGTCTCAGTTAGCTGATGAAAGTTGCAAGTGAGAATTTCATCATCGCTTGCGGCTGGGGTTGGCATCGTCCCCCTTCTGATGTCGAGGGTAAATGGGCGGGGTTTAACCAGGCTGGATTGTGTGAGGAGCTCACAAATCCTTGAAAGATCTGGGCAAGGTCTCATCGGTGAGCTCCTCCGGCAGGCAAGGCTGCGTTGGCTGGGTCATGTAGCCCGCATGCCCAGCCACCGCATGCCGAAACAGCTTTTCTTTTGTTCGTCACCGCCAATTAGTGGCGAATGGCGGTTGTTGTTGTGCGTGTGGGCGATGTCCGTGTGGGGGGTGCGCGTGTGAGTGTGTGCAGTGATTGCGTGCAGTGCGTGCATCGCACCTGCGACAGCTTCATCTGCATGTGCGCGAAGACGTGCAGGAAGCCCACAACGGCGTCCCACAGGCGGCTGTGTGCCAGACTCTGCTGGTTCCCCGTGCACGGGCCCTGTGTGGGAGAACACATGCAAGCGCTCACGTGCAATGCATTGCACCGGCAGTTCCCCATTGGAGGGCTGAGGGCCTCTGTGAAGGCACAGGTAGCAATCAAGGCCATATGCACGAAGTTATGTGGAAGTGCAGAGGGTCCGGGATTATGGAACCAAGTCTTTTACCGGAGGGATTTAGAATTTCAACCCCATTGGCAGAAGGCTACCAATGGAGATGAACGTAGCCCATTACTCTTTTGAGCAGGCTTATACATTCATATTGACATTCATGGATGAGATTGGTATGTTAATAACACACTTTGGGCAAAAAATAAACTGAGGAGGCAAAAAAATTATGAAGGGATGGACAGAGGCTCCTCTTGTATTTGGACTGTTCTCATGGTCACTTGGAACCAAGCTTGCCCTGGGCCGGGCCGAAGGGCCATCTGTTCCCATGGTAACCTGCTTTGACAGAATGATTCATGATCGGGTGGACTCCAGGCCCTGATAGAGAAGAGCGATATCCATTTCCAACCAGGCTGCAAACTGGAACCAGCAAAGATGTTATGGAGTCAAAAATGAGAACAGAACATTGGGCCAAAATGTTACTTGTTTCACTCAATCGTCTGGCCTTGTTAGTTAAGAAAAAAATAGATAAAAAAATAAACACTACATAAACTATGCATCCGTTAAATTTTGTATTACATTTTTTTTTTAATACTGTTTTCCAAACAACAGGTAATTTTACAGGGCTTTGTCACTAGGCCCCAGGAGGTCATGTCAGCTAAGGGTGGGCATGTCGAGTTGGTGGAAGAGGGGCAGGGTAGCCTACAAAGGCCTCATCTCGACAGAAAGTGGAGGGACTGATAGCCTGGGCGTAGGGTTTCCACCTCTGAGGTACAAAAACGGGATCTGTCATGGGAAGATGAATATCGCACAAAACCAACAGAGCGAAGAACTGCAGTAAATGCCATGACTCGGGGGGGGGGGGGGGGTGTATTATGATAATACTGACAAAGAGAACAAAACGAGACATTTAATGCCTCAAAAAGGAGTACGATCTTGGCAAACACCGGGAAGAGTGAAAATCTCACCCAGGCGTGGTGTTGGGCCCAAGGCCATTCGCAGGCCAGCAGAGTGAGGGTTCCAAGTAGTCGTGGACGGGAAGTGATAGTGAGGGGTAGGGCAGGAGGGTGAGAGGAACGGAGAGGGCAGACTCACCTGGATGTACTCGGTGAGCGAGTTGAACACCTGCTTGGCCACCTTGATCGCCTTGGAGAAGTTGCGCTGGCCCTGCTCATCGATGATATCCTTGCCAGAGTAGTACCAGTAGAAGTCGCTTATCGACTCCTGGGGACACCAAGGCCAACCCACCGAGCAAGATTGGGAGCAATGATGGGATAATGTGATACAATTAAGTTTGTGTGTTTATGTGTGGAAGATGGTGTATATGCAGAGTGGTTAGCCTATAATGTATTTTAATATTGGTGACAGGTTAAAATCCCGGACTTCTAAGTCAGTGGAAAATGGTGTATGTATAGGATACAGGCCTCCCTAAAGTTGAGTTGGCCTACATATTATAGTGTATGAACTCTCAAAACAAAAGCAGGGGAGATGTAAAGTCAGCCAACAATGGTTCTGGCCTCTGTAGGCCCTAACAATACTCGCCACAAGCAGTGCAGTATAACCTGGTAATAAAAAAAAACCCACGTGTGAATGCGTCTGTGCGATGCGTGTGAAAGTAAAGTAGTGTGTATTGATGTGAGATGTGGTAAAAAACACGTGTGTTTGTTGGCTCGATGTACTGTATTAAAGAGGGCGGCCAATTTCAGGTTTTCCATCATGGAGTTTACTCAATATCACAACGGTAAACAACAACAAAGACCCCCGTATAGCCTTAATAGACCGTTGGGGCAAGTGCTGTTAGCGAGCACCTATGAAGGCGGGCACGGCACACGAGGGGGTGGTTGATCAGCACCACACCCGACCGCCTTCATCTCCCCAGTGGCGATGTTTACACACCGCAACATAGGCGCACACCAACTGGTACACGGACGTAGAGCAGGGGGCTCGAGTAGCCAACCGAGATGGCTGAGTGTGGAGACACATTTGGCTCGATTAATTTTATCCGATTTCAAGCTTTCGTGACTGCAAGAATTCATATTCTTGGTTCTTTCGGTAAAGTCACATAGAAGGGAAATAATAAAATAATAAAAATCTAAAACAATAAAATTCTCACGACGTTCCACAGCAAGAAAATAAAAAAATTCTTGCTGTGGTTTTCACACCTGATGATGATTGCTTGCGTTGCAGTCGAAACGTCGTGAGAATTTGATTGTTTTATATATTTATTATTTTATTGTTTCCCTTCTACGTGACTTTACCGAAAGAACCAAGAATATAATTTATCTGATTTATGGAAAACAAAAGTGCGTAATTGCATTCCCAACATTTGGGCACATACTCAAGGTGATGCGTTTCAGGTCGTTTCATAAAAATGTGAGTGAACTTATTTGACACCTAGAGGTTTACAACGCTGCCGAGTGAACGTGGTGTTGTGCTTGTATGGCTCAAAGAGGTAACCTGCGTGGGGTTCACACCTGTAACCTCAGCAGGTAGTCCACTGTGGAGATGATGATGTTCACCGTGGTGTTATTCCCAGTCTGTGTCCGGAGATAATTCTGGAAATCTACGGTTGAAAAGTTAACAAAATTAATATGCTTCTGCTAGTAAGCTACCAACAGCTGGGTCATAGAGTGTTGTGCATAACTCTATTATACATGCGTGTATAATGTTGTTGATGTCACGGTGGTTGTCAAACTACACTATGGACCCAGTAACCTGACTTTAATTGCTAGCCAGTGGCAATTAATATCTGAACAGGCCCCGAGTCCCCTCTTTACCAACCTGCACTGACCAGTGCCGTGAATTATGGCTAAACAATCCCCATAAATCAAAATGCGTGGGGAGGCCTTGACCCAGCGGTGGATTGACAAACGGTTGTAATTTGTATTAATTATCCAGGAAATTCTCTCAGAGTATCAAGACATTTTAATTTGGGTCAATGATTTTCCCTTACCTTCTTGAGTATTTTGTATATGGCAGGATGATTACATTGAGTACATCAACACATGTCCACGAGCAGTACACAAAGGATGAAAATACTAAATGTATGCAATTACAGGGAAGAATTCAGTGCACTGCCACCTACTGGCCACAGCTGAACAAGCTGGAAGTCTTGTGCGATTAAAAAAAATATACGTTAACCACCAACTCCACTTCCAAATGTCTGGGTCTAAGGTGTTCAATATATTTATAACCACGCTGGTCAGTGTGGGTTGCTAAAGGGGCGAGGCGTAAAACCAGTTCGGCTATCACTCCTACCCATTGATGTTAGCCATGGCTCGGAATCCAACTCAGTTGGCCAAGTTCACAGTGCAGTGTGTGCCGTGTGCACCACTCTACTAACACCCCCCTGCCCCCCCCCCCAGATGATTAAATAATCTTGCCAATGAAGGATGACAAACTTATCCGAATCCAATCATACAAGTTACGAGTTTAAATTCCAGTTGAGTTGTTAACTTCTCAACCTTTCTGGGCTCGTAGACCACTTAAGGCTCAACGCATTTTCACCACGCACCAATAACCTATGAAGAACATCACAACTATTCGAAAGGTGCCAAAATCTTGTAAATAAAAAAACCCATCAAAACAATTCACTTGCTTTCTATCGACTCACATAATGAGAATGCTGCCAGCGCAATAACACAAATATCTGGTTTCAGAAAAGAAAGTTGTTTTCAACAGTTCCACGGACCACCTCCTTGGGCTTTGTGAACCATCAGTGGTCCACACATCACAGGTTGCCAACCACTGCCCAAGGCAACTTAATATGTATACACAAATCCTAACCAATAAAAACGTACATTATTTTTCAAATGGTAATTAAAATCAGGCAATTAAAATCTACCGCCGATGCACCGAAGAGGTGGGTTTTGTGTTAAAAACAAAAAAAATAGGGATGCCTAAGCGCGGCGTCAAAAACAAAGCGTCGACTGACAGGTGAACTCCGCAGCGAGAGCGCAACCCCCGACAGCGTCACCTGAATTGTGGCCTTCGCACAGCAGCTGCAGGAAGCGGAAGAGGTCGCAGGTGAACTCCACGTCCTGCATCGCCTTGTCGGCTGCACGGACACACAAGAGGGCAACGGCACGGCCGCGGTCCGACGTCACTCGCGCGGGAGTGGGGGATCGCGCAAAGCGCGGCCGCCCGGTTCGAACCTGAGCACGTGTTCCGCTTCAAGGCGAGCCCCAGCCTCGTCGTCCGTCGTGCGAAACTCACTCGGGTCTAACGGATGCCAACAAGGTGCCGCTGCATTAACAGTAAATGCAATGCACAGAAGAGTTTCACTTAATTATCAATAAACCACACTGTTCAAATGGGTAATCTGGGCTATAAATGGTTCTGCCTTAAGATATAAAGTCCGATGTTAATCTTTCATAGAAAGATGAACTCTGATGGTTTAATGGTCGTTAATAATAATTATAATAATACACATTATTGTTCTGTGGTTTTTGTTCATGGCAAGTTATATTTCTTCAGTATTTATGCCACGGTTATTCAAGGTTAAATTCACAAGAATATAATCTTGTTGGGTAGAAAGTCATATATAAAATCTCGTAGGACAGACTGTCTTCCTTTCTTTATAGTTTACATTTTTTATTATTTGTCCAGTATAAAACTTAACAATTCAAACAGTCCCGCTATATATATTAATTATACCACTAAACAAAAATATTGGCAGCAAGAAAAATCATAAATATGGAGACAAATATTGAACTTAAATTTTCATTCATTTTTTAAAAAATATAATAACTGGCTTCATTGATTTAATTACAAATTCTGAAAATGATAAATTCCATCAAAATACAAACCTCCAGGCAAATTGAGTAGCGTCCCTATTCTGGAATAAACCCAACGACAATAAACCCAACGTAACTGACATTCCGTCAATAAAAATATATTTGCTGGCTGTTTTTTAATGGTGGTAAGTATGGTTTACCAGTAGAAAAAAAATGTGGTTTAACATTACATTCTGGTGGTTGTAGCAAACTCCCCACCGATATTTTATTGGTGTTGATCGTCCTTCACGTTGCCACCTGCTCTGTTTACTTTTACGGAACTTTTCCTCAGTGTTCAAGAACTTGAATTTGCTCCAATTCACCAAATCTTTTGTTTAAACAATGTGGAAGAAACAATGTCAACCAAATGTGCAAGAATGTAATTAGTTAATGCTTCCCAACTGTCAACATAAAATAAGTGACACTTTGTAAATCATAGCATCCCAAGATAGCAATAAAACAGGAGATTTGGCTCTATATAGCATCCAAAATGGGATTTGGGGAACGGTGGCACAATGGATAGCACACTGCGCAATGAACCCGGCGACCCCAAGCTCCTTTGCTGGTCGTAGAAACGTGCGTTTAGAGTATTTGGCTGCTATCAACGTCATCGGGATACGCCACTTCGTTGAGCGATATGGCTCAGTGAGTCTAACCTGGTAAAATAAGAACAATTTGTTTAAAAAAAAATTGTTTGGGTTGAGGGAGTAATTTCATTATTGTGGAAGAAAAGGGCCAGCGAGAGACTCAAACTAAAACCGTATTAAACCTGCAATGCAGATATTCACTGCAATGCACGTGCCTGACAGAACTTACAAAAAAGACAAACCATAAGGAAAAGTTCCGTCAAAAGAGAACTTGGGTGGTAACTCTGTCTTACCCACCTAAATGATCCCAACTCTGCAAGGTATTGCACACACAGATCCACGAGTGCACCCGGTGTGCGTGCAATAACGGGTGAGGAGCTCAAGTCCGACGCTTTTTTGCGCAGAGCGGCAGCTGACGTTTCCTGATGGGGAGCCATTAGCGGTGTCCTTTGAAGCGGCGCAAACGACTTGACCGAGGGCGCAGGGGCGGCCGGTGGCCGCATTCCGAGCGGGCCCCACAAGTCCCGCCCGCACCCTCAACGGAACGCCACGGCGCGGACAACGCACACGACGGCGCGACAGCGCGACGCCCCGCAAACAGCAGGCACATGACGGCAAGCACGGCACGACACCGGGGGGGGGGAGGGCAACGGCGGTACATCCTGACGCCCACGGCAAACTCATGACACCTACAGCAGCGCACGGGACGGCACAGGAAGGCGACACGGCTACGGCGGAAGAACCACGGCACGCGCGGCACGCGGCCACACAAACGGCACGACCACACAGAGCAAGAGGTCGTCGAGGCAAGCGGGGCCACTTAAGCATCAGGGGTGGTCTTGAGCTTTGTTGGGCGGACTCTTGAAAGCAATGATGAGGCCGGTATTGACCTATTAATTGTACTCTGAAGGGGTAATTGGTGGCGCTGTGGGCGGTGCACTGCACTATGCACCTGCGCGACTAAGTGTGATTCCCGGCTGTGGCTAACGTCAGTGGAAAGTGATACCTGAACCAGTCCGGGACCCCAACTCGTGACTCGCTTACCGTTTCTTTATTATGCACTCCCATTGTGTTTTTTTGTTTGTACTTCCTGCTGTTGTACCATGCTGACCCGCCCCTACCGCACATCTTGTGAAAAAAAAAGAGACCTTGGTAGCTCATCGGATACAATAAATATTCTGATTCTGAATTCCCAGGAATCAAACGCAGATGACCGGGCTCATAGCGCAGAGTAGCTATCCATTGTGTTGCCACCAGAAGGGAAGCGGTTGGTGTATTCGGTTCACGTTTCTTGCCTGGAAACTTAAATGCACACAAGACGTTTGTTTTGGGGAGGACAATTTAGAGGCTGGTCGAGCGCTTTATGGGATTTTTTTGAGACACAGAATCTCATCGGGCTTCATGACCTTCCAATCAATGCATTTCTTCTCCATCAAAGCCTCGGGACATGCTTAGTTAAACGTGCATGGGATAAGTGTGTGCCCGTCGGTTATTCCAGCTCATCGTTCAGGAGGCTGGGTGAAATTTTCGCTGCCGCGTTCACCGTCAATAGCCGAGACCACCTCCGATGAAACGAAAACAAGGACAAAAAAACCGCCAAAAACCACACCACCACACACACGCACAACCACGCAAGTGCAACACAGCAAACGCAGCGCACGTCGTGGTGTCGTGCCGCACGCACGACTATTGAGAAGGGTTGCTCCGGAAAGCGGCGCGTCTGACGATTGGCCAAACTGCAAAAGCTTGGGGCAGTCCAATGAGCGGCACTGCAACCAAAGTGCTTTGCATCGGTGCCAACAGACCGGTGTGTTTGAACGGAGCTCGTTTCGCTGACTGTTTAAACGATTTAACCACGACGTACTTGCATGGCAGGTTCAACGGTGGTGTGGCTATAGCGCGTGCAGGCCTGCAACCAGGCCCCACAAGCCGGAGCGGCCCAAGGCACTAGGCTATGAAGATTTGTAGGAAATTGGACAGAGGGCCCAATGTCAATCCTTGCATCAGGACCCATGCGAACCACGCTACACCACTGGTCATAAACTAAGTGCACAGATTTAAAGTCTTGTTCTATTTTGATGTTCTTTTGTTTTGCGAGCTTCTCACCCTTGTAATTTACGTGACAAAATCACGAACATTAAGGAACAAGCATAAACTTAACCCTAATCTCATGAGAATACAGACACATCTGAGAAAATATGAAGACGACTGGTTGCTACAGCTCATACCAATGAGAGGACTGACCAGAATCCCCACCTCCATTTGCCCAAAATACCAGTCCGTGTTTGTTTTTCTTCCAGAGAACACAAATCAGTCCCGTTCATTCTCTGCTAATGTCACGTGATGTGAAGGACAACGCTTACACCTGAGAAAATGTTATTTCTAACTGGATGAGAGCCCATTGAGACGAGATCCTTTAGCAAGGGAAAAGAAGTAAGATATTAAAATAAGAAATGATATAAAAACATTTATCATAGGAAAATCAACACAAAAAGGAGCTGGCACCACAGGCCAACGCGTGTGGAGCGAGCGGTCGCCCACCGCAAGCCTCTCGTTCTCACGGGCGTCAAATTTGATCATTACCTGTTTAGCATCGATAGCTCAATGTGAATGTCCCATTGTATTGATGAGGGACTACTGCTGTGTTGTGTTATCTTGGTGTGGTCTGGGATTGTCTTGTTGCCGTTTGTGTTGCCTTGCCCAATCTAACATGTGCAATGAACTTATTTATTTACATTTTCTCTATTTTGCACTCCTTTAGTGTTGTCGTATTGTTTGCCATTGTAACTTGCTGACCCGCCCATACCGGACATCTGTGAAAAAGAGCTTCATAGCTCATCAGATTCCTCCTCCAGTCTGAAGTATACGGATTCCTTCTCCACTTTATATTAAATAATTCTGATTCTGAAATGCCAACTGCCCAGGGGCAGTAGGGGCTGGACAGTGGAGTTTGGACCTGACCACTGAAAACAATTCCAGACTGGGATTCCAAAACAACCTGAGATTCGTTCAAATAGATGGTGTGGGAAGGCAGGGTAAGGTTCATTTTGTGCATACTTGGAAGAATGGATTGGTTTCTAGATGCTGTATTTTAATGAAGTCCATTGAGATTCGTTAGCTCCTTTTTTGCAAGGGATACCCCTTGTTGTATCCAATAATTTGAAGCAACATTCATTTGAAAACAATTGGGGTGAAACTTTGAGTGGGAAATAGTTTTTGTTTGACGTGGAAGGGGTTATAATAGCAACAACCCAGTTAAAGTTGAACGTTGGGCCAACATTGCAACGAATGCCAAAGTTGGCCCGGCATGGCATGTTTACTGGATGCAATGAGGCAGCAAGCCGACTCTCGTGAATGATGCACAGGCCTTAAAATGAGCACACTTGGGTAAACATCTCAAGAAAATATTTAAGGCGGTTACACGAATTAAGCTGTTCACCCCAAAGAATTTTCTCAGCGGGAACAGCTGATCGCGAGCTGCGCTCTCCAGCCAATTTATAGAACCATGCACGTTCAAAGTCAGTGGCAGGGCAATTTATCCCAGTTCATGCGGGTCATAATAATCTCGTAATTGATTAGCCATGAGGGTTGAGAGTTATACAGCATTCGGCACCGGTGGCAACGCTAGGCCGCAGCCCCGTGATGAATCGGACTGCTTCACGAATGCCAAAAATGAGGCCGATGAGGCCCGATCACATGCCCAGCCGCACCACCCCCCCCCCACCCCCCCAGCGCTCTTGCCTCCACCCGTACGGCAAATTCATAGCCGACTCCCGGAACAAAAGCTGGCATTCCTTGAGGTGCAGCACGCGTGCGCACGCACGCACGAACACGCGCGCGAGCTAACAAGCTACACAAAAAGCACACGATGGGCACAAACGCATGGCAGCATGGCAGCATGTAGTTACCCCGTTGATGTCTGGGAACTGGAGCGTGAGGACAGGGGAGAAACAACGAGGAAGGGGGCAGCCACACGGGTGAGGGGGATCAGCCACACGGGTGAGGGGGATCAGCCACACGGGTGAGGGGGATCAGCCACACGGGTGAGGGGGATCAGCCACACGGGTGAGGGGGATCAGCCACACACGGAGCAGGTTTGGAGGGGGGCCAGGGTGCCGGGGTTGGGTGGGAGGGGCGGGAGAGGGAAAGACAGAGACGTGAAAATTTGCTTGAAAATTCAAAGTAAATACAGCAGCTGAGTTGAGGTATTGGATTAGTAAAATAATATATGCGAGGAGAAGGGGAGTTCCTCCACAGACGTTGTTGTTAAAAGGGTATGTAGCACGTTGATGGGTGGCATTCATATTTTTTTTGTATTCTCTCATTGTTAAAAAAAAAACAAGTTAAAGAAAAAAACACAGCTTTGTTTTAAATTTGGTGCCATATTAGTACGATGGACACAAACGTCACGGCAAGGTGAAACATCGACGACACGTAAGAGGTAAGGGAAGGGACAGGGCCGCGATTCGCAAGCTAAACATTTAGACACGAGCTGCGGGAAACACGGGCGAGCCGTACGCGCCGCTGCGTCACTTGAGTCGTGATGTCAATCTCTTTTCTTTCGGGCGAAAGAGTGAATCACATTCGTAGACGCTTCAAGTGAATCGCAACCATGGGCTCTCTCGCTGGAAGTGAATGATGAGCAAATTCTGCAGCGCGGGATGGAGCGGCGTAGTGTTCAGCCTCGACCGTCTGTTTGTTTTGTCTTTGCCTCGGTTAGATTAAATATTCGCAAAAGGCATGCTGCTTCTGTTGATAAATATTCTGAGATTATGACAGCTCTAAAATATTTTGGAGGTTTACTTTATTCGTGTTATACCTCGGATAGATATAGTTTGCAGACAGAAGGATAACGCTGGGAATAAGTTGTTATTTTTGCGTACGTTTTCTAGTTAAAAAAAAAACCTCACCTCTCCAGCCAGTCGAAAACACATCCCTCCCCTTAGAAAGCCGACACAATTCTCACTTTGTCTGTCCACCACGAGGTTTAAGAAGACGTCGTCGTGATTTCATTTTTACAAAATTGCCATCTTGCATCCTTTTAAAACACAGATGCTCTAAACGGTGGGCATCCTCGCTGGGTGGCACAGAGGTAGTCAACATTAGCAGCTCACAATCGGGAAGGTAAAGAGTTTAAATCTTGGTTGGGGGTCGGTAAACTCACCTGTTTGTGATGTCCTCTGATAAAATGGAAAGTCAATTTTTGTTGTCCGATGATAGTATTTGCCCCCATGAAAGGAATCTAGATTTAAATATCATGTCTTTAGAACCACTTTTTGTGTTTAGTTTTTTGTCCTCCCCCCCCCCCGCCCACACCTCTGATTAGCGTGGCTGGCTACGTGCGGTGCGAAAGAAGTTCAACATACATACAAAGTAGACTTCCCACCATCGATTCAGGGATGTACACACTGCAGAACAGCACTTGCTCCCTGCTCATTCTATCTGGAAATCACTTTTACTTTGTCTCATTTATTTAAAAGCGTAACCTTCTAAAAGATGCTCAACAAAGGCTCACTCCTTTTGCATTTAAACCCCTCTAAGAAATAGTTAATATTGTCAGTTTAACATGTAGGCTTTCGCGACCAATATTATTCATTATGAGTTAATATTGTATTCAGGAATTTGTGACTCATAGTTGGAAACAGCATTTCACAATACAGTGCCTTGAAACGGTTCTTTCTTTGATGATTTTTGTTTTCATTTCTAGATATTTGTTCATGAAAAAACCTCGGAAGGTACAACAATAGGACATTTTTATTTAAATGCAACTCCCTCTGAATGGACTTTATTTAAGTGAGGGCCAACTTTCGAAAAGAAGGTGAAGTGGGAAGAGGGTGGGGGGGGGGCAAGGGAGAGGGGAGAGCACGTGACAGCACTAAAAATTACAAATTGAATCATAAAAACACAAAATCCTGTCCGCATACATTTAATACGAGCTGATTGTGCATTCAGCTCGTTTGTGCACCCAGATGTTATCGAAAGATTTGATTAGCCGATCGTTTTTTTTTCTTTCCAAACGTTATTATTTCCAAGGCACCGCCAGTGTAAAACTCTCTGTTGTCAACTGAGAAGTCACAATCTTTTGCCTTCGACCGCTGCTGTCCATCAAAGAGCGCAACGATAAATATTATGGAGTCTGAATGACGAGGGAGTATTTGTCAGAGACCCGTAGGCAAACCAAGTGATCTTGTTATTCTAGACCAGTGGCCACCAAAGTCCCCTGAAATATTACTCTTAGCAACTGGTTCTCAACGTCAAGAAATTGATACTTAACATTATCTTACCATCCATTAGCACTCCTGCTAACACTGATATGATTAGGCAACCACGACCTTGACCTTTCTATCTTCATCATTCCTAGCACACGGCAGAATATACATCCATGTCGGGTTACATAATGGCCATGTCTGTCTGTGGTAATGCCCCTGACCGGTTGGAGAAACCTGCCTACTCGTTCAAGACATTAATATTCACTCTGCAGCACTTTACCATTCGCCAGTCGTAGCCGGGCTATAACGACATTGGCGACAGCTGCATGAGCGTGTACGTGCGTGCTCCCACGTGTCTGTGTGTAGCCGAGCTTCTGTACGTGTGTATGTGTGTGTTTGTGCATTCACTGGTACCAATAGTCAATGAAAATATGGAATTACACGATTACATACTCAAAGTGCGCCAAGAGCTTCACGTTTTTTCTGTCTACATATCATCTTGAAGATTTTTTTTGCAAGTGGAAACACTTCTGACCTTGGTTTATTTCAAGTATTTTTTTTATATAAAAGGTCAAAGAAGTAATAAAATAAAACCGAAGTTTATGATCGCACTGGAGAAGCAGGAAGGAACCTAAACTTAAAAGCACAGGGCAATCAATTGACATGCAAACATTTTCACGAATTTAAAACCACTTCACGAATTCTTTATCCGACGAGCGGATTACAACACTTCGGCTTTTCCGTAAAGGTTTTCCACTGAACAAATACATATGATAGTGAACAAATGGCACAGTTAATAACTAATACACTGATTAAGAACACGCGAGAGAGCCCATTAAAGTATAATACCTTCCACACAAGAGATACATGTGTTAATATTAAGAGACGGTGTGTGTGTGTGTGTATGTGTGCATTGCGATGAAAGAATAAGACCTTACCGGATCCCTCCTCGGTCACCATGCCAAGGCCCTCTGCTTTGTTCTGCCTCTCAAACGCATTCAAGTCCAGCACACTGCACAAAGAGAAAAGGTAAAATGTCAGCATGCAACGAGACAAGCAAAAAGTAATGAGTATGGGACCTTTTTGCCAGTATCAAAATGATGAAAAACAAGAATAGATTTACCCTTTCTGGCAACAAAACAGATGTTAAGATGTTCAAACACCAAATAGATATCTTTTGCAAGGCAACAAGTCTGCATCAACCACACGTACTTGTGGCAAAAAACACGCAAAGAAACATGCTCTGATAAATATATGCGTTGTCTTTGAAACTGATGGCCTACACCAGAGGCAACCTTCTTTATGGCCTTGCCTCACCATTGTTAGGCGACAGAACGCCAAACAGGCGAACATCTTCTTAACACCTGTTTTATTGCCCGAAAGGGTGAAAACTTATTCTTATTTTTCATCAAAGTGTAACGATGTCACAACTGGGTGGCTGTGCTCCCATTCGTTCAGATGCGGCAGGAGAAAGGATGCTGTAACGTAGGTTATACAGTCCAGGGAAAACCAAGACAGTTGGTGGACCTTGATGGAACTATTTTGAAACCAGGTGAACAGTTCCTCCACCTTCACCGAATCCCTTCCTGCCAAGCCCCCCAATGGGAAGCTGTTAACCTGGGTTGTACCTCACCTGCAGGACTGCATGAGGCCTGCGACGCTCTGGAAAAACCCAACGTCCTTCTTCTCCTTCAGGTAGTCCAACATTTTCTGGAAACAAATTTACGTCAAGAGAAAAACACAAGTCTCGGTAAAATAAACACTGCCGAGTGCTTGCCTCGCAGATAGATAGTGGTGAGTTTAAATCCTGGTTGGAGGTTAACTCGGAAAATCACCCCTACAGCAGGGTTGATGAAGTGACTATTATTTTGTGGGATCTCAACAATGAATATTCTGAGATGATGATAGTCCCCTCTGTCGGAATGGGATTATGTGGAATGTTTTTTAACTCTCTCAAGGTCGCTAGTAGAAACGAGCACTGCCCTATTGCTCGTTAGAGCAAAGGAGACATTTCACTTGGGTCTTCAATTGTGAAGGGATAGCTGTTGGGCAGCAGGGCATTGGGCTAGGAGGTTCAAGCCGATTTAGTGTGAGACCAGGTGAGAACTCAAAAAACCAGGCGACTCTCATTGGCAGGAGTGGCTCGGGCTACCCACAATGACAAAAGCCATAACCTAAAAAGAGACACAAGGAATTAAAATATAAATTAGAGCAAAAAACAACCAAATGGACAAGGAAAAGAAGAGGCAAAGAAGACTCCACTACAGGACGGCCAACAAAAGAGCACCACCCAGTGATTGTTTGAGCGGGCAAATATTTTGAAGACGCTGATGCCAATAACATCTGGCTTTGCTTCCTTCAACTGACACTGAACCTCAAAAGGTCAACTTATACAGTCTCGTCCGAGTATTTTGTCTCAGGGATACTCTAATATCTAAACAGGATCAATGTAACAACCACGGCCGTTATCCAGGGAAGCCTCAATTAGTTGTTGGATCATTTTGGGATCGTCGAATGACTGTTTGAACATCTCTGTTTCAAGAGCAAGGAAACCAGAGCGCCCAGAGAAAACGGAATCACCGTGCAAAGTTTTTTCCTAGCCGAGACCCTGGTTGATATGCATGGGCAGGCCCTGGCCTAGACACCTTACCTGCTGCACCGTGGTGTTGCCTCCGTTGAGTATGGCGATGCCCAGCTTCAGGGTGGCAGTCACCATAGGTCCAGTACTCCCTGCAGGAGTCACACACACCTTAGTCACCAGATTCACCACCACCATCGTCATCAGCCACCGGTGGTTGAAGACCTCCACAAGCTCCTGGCATCTCCCACGATGCAGCGATGTAACAATCCACGCAGCACCTGCACACGAGTTGATCCTATCGCTCCATCTCCCCGTTGGATGTTCTCTTGGTCGCATTCCATTCCTTGGCTGCCACTCGATCACTATTCTGCACCATCGGCCATCATCACTTCTCGCGATGTGTCCTGCCCAAGCCCACTTTTTTTCTTGACATATTGAGTTTTGTCTTGAGCCTGCGTAATGTTACCTAATTCAAATGCTCCTCTATCTTTCTATGTAATTACAAGAATGCATCCCTCCATGCTTCTTTGTAGTCTTTTTTTTACATTCTGATCTGTTAGTGTGGGGGAATTGGTGGTCGTGGGTACTGGTGGGGTGCCAAGTGAGGATTTCTGTTGTGCTCGACTGTGGCACCGTAGGGGTGCATCAGAGTTGGTGTGGCTGACCGCACTGCAAAAATAATAGTTGGTGGGGACATGCACACCAGGACCAGCTGTGCCATCTGCATTTGAAGCTACAGAGAGTGGCATTGTTTTAATTCCTCAGCAAAGACACACTCAGCAGAATTTAAAACATTTCTGTTATGATATATTTTCAGTCACTAACATTATTGAAAGATGGATTTATTCCATAGATTACATCCCAGCTGTGTTTTATTGAGTATGAAATCACAAAACTGCAGCACTTGAACAATATTTTTTGTACTGTCGGCACCAGATGTAAATTTCAAAGCAGATGTAATGCACAAATGTTGAGAAGAACACTTGACCCGTGCAGCAGAAAGGTTCCGAGTTCATATTCTAGTCAGGGTGCGACTTAGCCCATCATTTAATTCCTCCCAGGGGAGTATAAAGTGAAAACCACTTTGTGGCGAGTGAATAAGCAGCTGTGCTGACGAGGGACCAGTCAGTCTCTGCCGTAGGAATAAGGAATCTCACCGCTGGCAATGGAGCTGAGCACCGCCCAGTGCTCATTCAAGTGTGGAGACACTGCTTTATAAAGATTCTGGCAGCCTCAAATAAAATGACTGTTTGTGAATGTCAGTTCAGTTACCCCTATCTACTCATGAGTAACGGGTTCATATGCCATTTTAAGGCTGTTCATCTAGAAACAACATTAAAACTACATTTCTCGCAGGGCGCCACGGTGCATTAGTGCAGTCTCCAACCTTTATTCACTAAATCTCTGGCCTCTCGATCTCAACGCCGTACAGTACGGCCATTTCCCGAAATGCCACCCATTATATAGCGTTTAATTTTTGGGAGTGTTATTAAATGAATGTGACATTTTTTTTTATTTGTGCTTGTACGCCACCTCGGGTGCCACTGTGCCAACTCCTACCCTTGCTGGCGCTGATCATTTGCAGCACCATTTCGGCCGCTCCGCGGTCGTGCAGCCGCGCCTGCTGGTACAGCAGCTTCTGCTTCTCCATCTCTTTCTCCTGCGGTCACGGGGAAAACAGGCGGGGCAAAGTGAGGGTGGGCAGGTGGACGTACAGCCACTTTGCCAAGCAATGCAGTGGTTGGCTCGTTTGCCACTGCTTCCGTTGGGATGGGATGTGGAAAAGAAAAATGTGATTGCCGCAACCGTTACTTCTGCAGATTTACATTGTTTAAACACTGCATTGTTTAAACAATGGAGTGGTTAAACAATGCATTGGTTAATCACCGAATTGTTTAACCACCTCCAAAATGGGTTCCAATAGCGGCAATTAAAATTGTGAATTCCATGCAGCCTGAAGACGAGCCTATTTTCCACTGTGATACAGGTTTCGGCAGAATAAATTCCACAGTCAGAGAAGTAAACAATGAAGGCATGAATGTATGTGTGCATACTGAACTTCTTTCGCACCGTACTTAGCCAACCGTGCAAATCGGAGGTGCGGGGAATGTAACCTCTCAGCCTCGTTGTAAATGCGGCTCACAGTGAGAAGTGTCAGCGAGACTCACTTCAAACGACTTCACTTCCTCCTCTCCCTCTTCATCCTCCTCCTGCGCATGGCAGCTCTGCAATGGCAAGAGGCAACGTCGCGTGTTTTTAAGCTGAATAAAGATTTGTGTGTGATTGTTCGTGACGTGTAATTTTTTTTTATTTTGTCAGCGTGATTTTACTGCATCGATCTACCATTGTATCAAATAGTGCAACGCTTACATTTTTACGTCATATCGACTTTTGCATGTAATTTATATGCACACAACCCATGGACAATTGCGAGTTTAACGTCACGTATCTATTCATATGTCCGTTCACTCACACCTCTACAATCTGCCGAATAATTACGGTTTCGTGACAGTGGGGTTATAAATGGATACAACGAGGTGGGAGCATGGTGGGAAAAAGCGTTTGATAATATAATTACGAACGCAGAGATATAATTAAATGGTGCTCGCAATTAATTACAAATTGCACAAACACAGTTGGAATTGATCCCAGGTGCGAAGGCAACAGTTTGTTGGGGTTGTCGGCGGCTGACCTTGCCAGGAAGGGGCAGAAAGATTATTGGTGGGGCAGCGGACGAACTGTGAACTTTTTCACAGGCAGGGCCGAGACAAAGTATACTTGTGTGCAGGAAAATGTGTTTTTTATGTATGTATGTAAGCGGATGGGCTCGTATGGTGACAATGGCAGAGGTGGCACCCACCTTGGCCATGATGTCTGCGTAGGCGATGTACAGGAAATCCTCCTCGAGTTTGCTGGAAAGATAAAGCGTGTTCCGGCGTGCACAAATACTGAAGCGGGCACGCAATGGGCTAAAAACAGCATACATTACTCAAACTAAAAACTAAATTAAATATTTTTTTCTTTTACCAGGTAAGGCCCACGGAGCTACGTAGCTCTTTTTCAAAAGGGACCTGACCACAAATGATAGCTCAACGAAGTGGCTTATCACGTGGAAATTTGTCGCAGCCAAATACTCTAAACGCATGTTGATTCTAAACGTGGAGGGAAGGACTGGAGGACCGCGGAGGAAAATCCACACGGCCACAGGGAGAACATGTAAACTCCAAATATATCCAGGCGTCAGGGCTGGGATCGAACCCACGACCTCCTGTATACTAGGCGAGGTAGTTAACATCTCACCATCGTCGCCTCCCAATGTACGAACCACACATACTGAATGTACGAACCACGCTTTTAAACGTCTTAATTGGTCAACAACCATCATTTCCCGGAATCAAAAACGACAGATATTCAAATGTTTAAGTCAATGATACATAAACAAAAAAATATATGCATAAAATAGTAAGAGGGGTGGCGCTGCGTTTAGCATACTGTGCTATAAACCCAGCATGATGAGCTCGATTCCCAGCGATGGCTTGGACCCCCATTACTGGAATGATATGCAGGAGACAAGTCATGCCAAAGTGGGCTGAAAAAATAATTCAGATAGTTTAATTCTTATGAGTAAACCAGTTTAAAAGGTAACTTACAGTGAGGGAAAAACAGTATTTGATCCCCTGAAGATTTTGTACGTTTGCCCACTGACAAAGAAATGATCAGTCTATAATTTTAATGGTAGGTTCATTTGAACAGTGAGAGACAGAATAACAACAAAAAAATCCAGAAAAACGCATGTCAAAAATGTTATAAATTGACTTGCATTTTAATGAGGGAAATAAGTATTTGACCCCTCTGCAAAACATGACTTAGTACTTGGTGGCAAAAACCTTGTTGGCAATCACAGAGGTCAGACGTTTCTTGTAGTTGGCCACCAGGTTTGCACACATCTCAGGAGGGATTTTGTCCCACTCCTCTTTGCAGATCTTCTCCAAGTCATTAAGGTTTCGAGGCTGACGTTTGGCAACTCGAACCTTCAGCTCCCTCCACAGATTTTCTATGCGATTAAGGTCTGGAGACTGGCTAGGCCACTCCAGGTCCTTAATGTGCTTCTTCTTGAGCCACTCCTTTGTTGCCTTGGCCGTGTGTTTTGGGTCATTGTCATGCTGGAATACCCATCCACGACCCATTTTCAATGCCCTGGCTGAGGGAAGGAGGTTCTCACCCAAGACTTGACGGTACATGGCCCCGTCCATCGTCCATTTGATGCGTTGAAGTTGTCCTGTCCCCTTAGCAGAAAGCACCCCCAAAGCATAATGTTTCCACCTCCATGTTTGACGGTGGGGATGATGTTATTGGGGTCATAGGCAGCATTCCTCCTCCTCCAAACACGGCGAGTTGAGTTGATGCCAAAGAGCTCCATTTTGGTCTTATCTGACCACAACACTTTCACCCAGTTGTCCTCTGAATCATTCAGATGTTCATTGGCAAACTTCAGACGGGCATGTATATGTGCTTTCTTGAACACATATCCTGCGCGCGCTGCAGGATTTCAGTCCTTCACGGCGTAGTGTGTTACCAATTGTTTTCTTGGTGACTATGGTCCCAGCTGCCTTGAGATAATTGACAATATCCTCCTGTGTAGTTCTGGGCTGATTCCTCACCGTTCTCATGATCATTGCAACCCCACGAGGTGAGATCTTGCATGGAGCCCCAGGTCGAGGGACATTGACAGTTCTTTTGTGTTTCTTCCATTTGCGAATAATCGCACCAACTGTTGTCACCTTCTCACCAAGCTGCTTGGCAATGGTCTTGTAGCCAATTCCAGCCTTGTGTAGGTCTACAATCTTGTCCCTGACATCCTTGGAGAGCTCTTTGGTCTTGGCCATAGTGGAGAGTTTGGAATCTGATTCATTGATTGCTTTGGTGGACAGGTGTCTTTATACAGGTAACAAGCTGAGATTAGGAGCACTCCCTTTAAGAGTGTGCTCTTAATCTCAGTTCATTACTTGTATAAAAGACACCTGGGAGCCAGAAATCTTTCTGATTGAGAGGGGGTCAAATACTTATTTCCTTCATTAAAATGCAAATCAATTTATAACATTTTTGACATGCGTTTTTCCGTATTTTCTTGTTATTCTGTCTCTCACTGTTCAAATAAACCTACCATTAAAATTATAGACTGATCATTTCTTTGTCAGTGGGCAAACGTACAAAGTCAGCAGGGGATCAAATACTTTTTTCCCTCACTGTATATCATTTCAGTCTAAGTATTATTTACGTCATAAATATTAACAAAAATTGTAATGGTAACTTACAACCACTTTTACTGCTAGATGAAGGAATCCCTATGCTGTGTTGGTTGTGGGGGTTGTTTGTGTATACTTCACAGTACTCTTCAGTGCAAGTTGTTGAATGGGGAGACCCAGAACAAGGCGAGATATAACTTGCGCCATCACTACCACCCGTAACACAAGCTGTCACTGCAACAAAAATACAGCTGCAGGCTGGTGCCTCAAAACAAGCCAAAGCGTCTCTCTGCTCAAGCAATTATCGACTCCAGACGACTTTAGACGAACGGTGGGTTGTGTCCATTCCTGAATGGGATTTGCACTGAAAACCTTCCAATCGTAAGTCTACTCTACCGTTACGTATACTCTCATACATTAATTTAATGTCCTGTTGGGTAGCAGAGTGCAGAATTCGCAACTGGAAGGTTGAAAAATTCAAATCCCGGTCAGGAGTTGACATGTCCCATCTTCGTTCTCAGTTCGATTTACAAGTCAATTGTTCAGCGGGGACAATGAACTGAGTCTTAAGGAATGTGGACGTTCCATCACTTGCTTTGGACGATCAACAGAAATGAGAAATGCCCCGTATTCACTGGAGTGGGGGGGGGAATGCCTTCCAATAGCAGCAGATGAGACTCAAAACCAAAGCACCGCAAATCTCAAATCCAATCGACACCTGTTTCTTCCGCGGCACCTTTTCTCGGTGAGTGCCGTGTGACTGAAGTGCAGGATGAGCTGGTGGAGCGGGTCTCGCCGCTTCCCACCGTCCTCGCTCTCTCCGTCCTCCTCTCCGCCTGAGAGCTGCGCACACGCACACAGCGCGTGCCGCACGAGCGGCGTCGGGCGCCTTGACCACCCGCTCTGGCCCGTCAATCACCCCATTTGTGGCCTCAGATCCACAGGCCAACGTCTCAATCTTAGGAGCATTCTGCAGATAGCCAATGCCTTGAGATTCAGAATCAGAATATGTATTTACACTGGAGGAATCCGCTGAGCCATGAAGCTCTTTTTCACAGATGTCCGGTAGGGGCGGGTCAGAACGTTACAACAAACAATACAGAAACACGATAGGAGTGCAACGTCTAGGAAAGGTAAGCAAATTACAAAAAAAGACTAAAACAATATAAAAAATATATTTTGCCAGGTGAAGCCCACGGAGCAATCAGCTTCTTTTTGGGAAGCGGCCCGGCCACAAATGACAGCTCGACGAAGTCGCTTGTCATGTGCTTATGTTGAACTTCTTCCACACCATACGTAGCCAACCGTGCTTCTCCTACGTGCGATTATTTGATATTATCCTCTCTGCGCAGTAAACATTTATAAATCAATATTGCAGAAGGGGGCTTTAAGGAAATATGTTGCTTGTCGTCTCGGATGCATTCCATCCCTTGGCAGCCACTCCGTCATTATTCTTGACCATTGGTAATCATCCCTTCAAGCGACGTGTCCTGCCCAAGTCCACTTACTTTTCAGTTCCAATTATGACCAACCATTGATGATATGGCTGGCACTGTGCTCATTTCTACTGGCAGCCCAGGAACCAGTGGTGAAATGTCCCCATTACTATGGCAGGGGCCAGTAATCCATAGAATAAGTCATCAACACATTCGTCAATAACACTGCTTGAAAAGAAAAAAATATATCAACTCTTCCTAGCACGTGATCCGTTCTTCGTAGACCTTTGTTTGTGTGCTGTAAAGAACGGCCATTGCCCGATATGTCAGATTATATTTTTTTTCTTTTAAGGCCGCGTTTATTGACGAACGTGTTGGTAGCATTTTTGTGAATTGTGCTTGTCCACCCCGCTGCCAACGTGGTAGTCGTGAGAACCATTTGTCATGTACCGAGTCTTTGGTTTTATCATGCAACCTCATACAGCTACCGACTTCACAACTCAACTGCCCCCCGCCTGCATCGACTCACAGCCAAATCCTCGATCAGCCGGTCCTCGAAACTGTGCTCTTCCGTCTCAATCCACGTCCGCTGATAGCCGCTGAGGAAGAGGTTGATGGCTCGATGCCTGCGGGAGAGATGATTGGTCTCACAATCATATAATTTACAAACACCAGAGCCCGGAATGTTGGCCATGCTGAACAAATCCAGTATACATTATCCTCCACAGTTCAACAGCTGCAAGGGTTTATATCAACATTGATATTTCCTATTACTCTAAAGGACTGCGCAGCAGTTGGGAGGAGGGGGGAGGTTCAAGAAAATATCTTCACGACGGCGGTAGGGAGCCACGGCAGCACCTGGGCAAGTTGTAGAGCGGCGCCATGCGGAAGCAAGCGACGACCGCGCGCCGCCGCTGCTTGGACAGGATCTTGTGCCACACGGCCTTCTTGGACTTGTAGGGCAGCTCCACCTGCTCGAGGTGGTAGAGCACGGAGGAGATCTCGAGCAGGCGCGTCACGCTGCGCTCGGGGTCGCCGTTCTCCTCCCTGCGGTGCGGCAGCTCCTTGTAGAGGCTCATCTGCCAGCGCACCGTCGGGGAGTCGGCCTGGACGGTGCGGGGGGTGGGGTTCGTGAGGGGACAGCACGCACCGCCGCCGAGATGCGAGTCAGCGCGACCGGCACCGCCGACCGCCATCGCCGGTGCGGAGATGGCACGGCGCGCGGCTCCACGAAACCTCCGCGGTGAAAGCTGCGTCCGACGTGATACGAGGTCACGGGAGAAGCCTGTTACGGGCCGGGCTGGAGGAAGACGCATCCCAAAAGAAAATGGCTCTTGCCTATATGCGCACAGAGCGCGAGTGTGTCCTGGGCTGTCCAACAGGAGATTTACGTTTTCGTGATTGAGTAAAAAAGCATTTAAAGTTATGGTCATGTCACACCAGTGCAGTGTTACTCATACACGTTTTAGTGTATCACAGTAGCTACTGTATGACAGGCGTGCCTAATTGTGCATGACTTTAAATTATTTTCCCTCATTAACAAGAATTTAAACTTGTTTCAGACAGCACAGGATAATGTTGTGTGTGTAACTACGAGAGCTATTTGTATGTTGTTTTTAGTGATTTTATACTGAAAAGTACCTGAAGGGCAATCGATTGTGAAAGGCACTATATAAGCTTTTAAACCAAAAATCCGTTCGATTTTACTTTGACTTTTTGTGTTAACATCAAACCACACTCAAGACTAATAAAGAAATGAGGTTCCTGCACCCATCACATTGCTAAATCCTGATGACTAAAGATGTTTGCAGCATTACAGCCAGTAAAGCACACAAATAATACTGCGAAAAAATACACACTGATCGCACACACGAGGAGAGGCCAAAATCTTGAAAAAAAATAGGTTTTGAAAAGTATTACAGCTGCCCGATAAGCTTACGTATCGTTAAATGTTTTAGGGAGAAATGCACCGTGGTCGTATATCTTGACAGTCCTTTCCCAGTTGTAGAAAGTCCACATTGTGAGGGTGGGGCGAGTCTTCACATAGGATGACGACCAAAATGCCCCCACAGAACAAGTCTCCCTTGCAAAATTAAGTCATAGTCTCACTGGGGTCTTACCTGGTCATAAAAAGATACCAATTTGTCGCAAAAATATTCATAAAAATTAAGGTGATGCATTTGCGGTGGTGGAGCAATGAAGAATTGATTTAGCTTTCGAAACATCAGTCTTTCTACATATTTTTCTACATATTTTATTAAGCAATGAACATGGTAATTAATGCATTTGGAGGGTTTATTTTACTTTGTCACAAATGCAAACTTGTGCAGGCTAGTCACAGTATAATGAGCAATAATTTATTAAGCACAAGCTTGACCATACTTTTTTAGTATCATTCAATGTCGTCTTGGTATGATAACTTGACCAGGTGACAGCCATCTGAGACAATTGTTTATTTTGCAAGTGGAAACATAATCTGGCTTGCTAAGCTCTCATACACAAAAAAAACTTTGACCACTTCTCATACCGTACAAACACACGATACTAACGAAAACCATCTCAAGTGAACATAATCTAAAAGCTGGTGACAGAGCGAGCGCGGACACAATTCCACACTCGAGGAGGATCAGAAGCAGCAGCAGCGATGAGGCCCCACGCATCTAGGCACAAGCAGCGACAGGACCCCGCTAACCTAGGCACAGCGGCACGGGGCGCCGGTAGTGGCGCGCGCACTCACGCGCTCGGGCAACGCTCGTCTGGGTGGCTCGTTAACCGGGGTCAACGCTCCGCGCGGCATCGGCAGGGTCTCGTCCCTCTCGGCCCTTTTCACCACCGCCAGGAGGTGCTGCTCCTGGGGCCTAGCCGGCGGTTTCGGAAGCCTCGCCATCACCGTAAACCCCACGGGGGCCGGCTTCCTGAGCGGGCGGGCGGCCTGCCTCGGGCCCCTGCGCGTCAGAGGGGCCCTCACTGGTGACGACGGCGGCAACACCGTGGCATTGTCGGCGAAAGCCCGGATTTGTTTGGTGGCCCGGCACGTGGTCCGTGGCGGCGCTGTGCAGGAAGTGCCAGGTCTTGAGCCATTTGAGCGCTACGCGGAGCTTCTTGGCGAGTCTTTCGAAGTAAAACCCTGTGTACTTTTGGCGAGGTGGGTAGGGGGGGGCAACGCGAGCGGCGGTTGTGGCAGGAGGCGGGTGGCCAGGCAGGTGGGGACGGCGGCTTGCGCAGCGTGCAGGCGGACGACAAGGCACGCAGCGGACGAAGGGGTTAGGCTGTGAGGTGCGCGTCGGCCGTAGCGAGCCACACGCCGCCAGGGAGCAAAAGACAACGGCCTCCAACACTCACCCCTTTTGAATTCACATTCGGAGAAAGAAGGGTAACGTTGCTTTTTGGCAGATGTAATTTTTGGATAGGTTACATGGAACGGTTATGACGTTTATACAACGGTGCTGAAAGTGCTTGATCTCATTAGAATAGGGAGGGGGGGGGGGAAACATTACACAGTGATAATGACTTTAGTGTTAATATATCTGTTTCACACATCAATTGCGTGATGAAGACCGGTGGTAATGTTCATCAAATTCATATTTTCTCGACCACATCTGATTGCATTACCAATTTTCAAAAAGGGGATATACAGAAGCCAAGCTTATTAAACATGATACGTGGACATTTGGCTCGGTGTCACGTGTACACAGGTGCACACACAGTACATTGTTGTCCTGGTGCGGCCAGTTACCAATAGCGGTTGACTTTCTCTCCCCAAATATAGTACGTTACTTGTGCCCAATTAGTGGGGCCCTAAGTCAAACACAGATGTATATTTCCGATTGGTAGTATTGGTGAAGGAATTGCTTTTTGCGGACTAGGACCCATATCTTATAAAGAGGTTCCTTATTCTTGGTTCTTTCGGTAAAGTCACGTAGAAGGGAAACAATAAAATAATAAAAAACTAAAACAATAAAATTCTCACGACGTTTCGACTGCAACACAAGCAATCATCATCAGGTATGAAAAACACAGCAAGAAAATTTTCATGCTTGTGTTGCAGTCGAAACGTCGTGAGAATTTTATTGTTTTATATTTTTATTATTTTATTGTTTCCCTTCTACGTGACTTTACCGAAAGAACCAAGAATATGAATCCCTGCAGTCACGAAAGCTTTAAATCAAAATTTAAGAGGTTCCTTGTCTGCGAGATTCAGCAGTTCATTAAAATGATTGAAGCAAGCCTGACTCTGCTCCTGAGTTTGTTTGTCTTGAATCAACGCAGCTGGAATTACGCACTCCCAGAAGGCTGTGCGGATGATGAGTTGTGTCAAAAATACTTTTTCTTTTCTTGTGGAGATGAGTATATGAAGGAGGCATAGTCTGCTTATTCATTGTTATGTTACCAATCGTATGCTTTGCCAAGTATTGATCCTATTTTCACTTCACCACTCACACAAACCACTCATAGGTGTCTACACGTTTATGTGAACGTGCACTCACGAACACACACACGCACACACACCAGGCACATGTATACAAGCCATCAGCGGGTGATATACTGAGACCGGCTTACTTTTCCTTGAAGGTGCAGATTGTTGCGAATGAAATCGCGAACTTCGTCATCCGTGTCTTTCTAATGGTCAAGGAAAGGAGAGAACAAAGATAACAATTTGATTGTTCAAGTATTTTAGAGAAACGTAGAGGCAATGATTTGACACGAAAGGTAAAAGTTAAAATTGTTCTGGTTTATGAGCAACGTGAGAGATGGCGCTGACTTGGGGAAGCCTTCATCCAGCAGTGGATTTAGCACGGATGATGACTAAGAGCTAACGAAGCAAATATTCTTTTAAAACACTGACGAACTTCACTGTGTAATGAAATTGTAAAGAGGGCATTTTCTGACATGAAACGTATTAGATCCTCATATAACGGTTATTGTATTATAGTATATAGTACTGCATATACAATAACTTATCAATGTAGACTGGACTGCACACCATTTGTTTAACACGTAGGCAACTAGTAAGGGTCACGTGACAACACTTACTAGTTGGGTGTGTCGGTTGGTGGCGAGTTTAAACGACACATTTATATATTTACGCGATCTAACCCAAAAACCTCTATTATGGATGCACACAATCGGTATGCAAGCACATATACTATATTTTGCAAGGTTGACGGAGGACTGTCTTTCATGTTTTATCAACAAATTAAGTCAATCTTGATTTGAAGCTTTCGTGACTGCAGGAATCCATACTCTTTGGTTCTTTCGGTAAAGTCACGTGGGTAGAGATACTAATAATATATCACGACGTTTCGATCGCCTCAGGTGAGGACGACCGCTTGGTGTGGCGATCGGAACATCGTGATCTACGTCGTTATCTATTATTATTATTATTATTTTTCGACGAGACATTACCAAAAGAACCAAAGAGTCAACATCAACACATTAGGCCAGGAACTTGAATCAATATTCTGGTTGACCAAAACAACTGCAGTGTTCACCTTATATATAAACACCCATGTTTGGACATTAGTCTTAAAATTCAGGTTGTTTTTGTGAAAGTGCATGGACGTAATAAAGCAAATGTTTAATATTCCCACATTTCAAGTTAATTTTGTTCAACTCGGTGACAACTCAAGAGACCATCGGAGTCTCATTTGCGAGAGTGGCCTGGGTGACCAAAACGACAAAAGCAATAACATAAAACACAAGTACAACAATGAAGGAATAGAGATCGGATTGAGATGGAAAAAAAAAGACATCTGCTTCCATATTTCTAAATATCGGTTCCTAGAGGGAACAATATTCGTTCTTGGGGAAACAAAGGCGTATTCAGTCCGCTTCACAATGGGACGTTAAAGATCCCTGGACGTAATTCAAGAAGAGTAAGGCCAGTGTCCCTCAGGAAAGGTCTAAATTTATTCAAATACCTGCAAAGTACTCAATTGGGATTTCACATAGCAACATTTGGCTTTTGTCAAGTGCTCTTTAGAGCTGCTTTTTGTGTTTATTTGTTTGTCCATCCCCGCACGTCCGATTAGCACGGTTGGCTACGTATGGTGCGAATTAAGTTCAACACATACATACATATCATGGGACCTTGTCAGTATCAAAGTATGAAAAATCAGAATAGGTTTGACCCCTTCTGGAAACAAAACAGGTGTTAGGATGTTCAAACACCAAATAGAAACCTTTTTGCAAGGAATCAAGTCCGTATTAACCACACGTACTTGTGGTGAACATGCATGCATACATGTAAACATACATGCATACATACATCTCCACCTACTGTCAAACTACTGCGGACGACGTCGGTGAAACGGAGCGCCTTCACAATAACCTTGCGCTTTTAATATTGGAGGGAATACCAAATGTCATCGTCGTCATCATTATTGTGACTGGCACGAGGCGGGAGGGGCTGACCATGGCGAAGCGGTTTTTGGCAAGGGAGATGAGCTCCTGGTCGCCGGGCGCGCAGATGTTGAGTCCGATGGGCAGCATGCGCTTGAGGGCGGCCACGATGAGCGACGTCTGCACCGTGTAGCGCTCGCCGCGCTTCTTCGATTTCTTCCTCTCGCGGTCGCCGCCCGCCTGGCACACGGACCGAGCGGGGAGGGAGGGCGGTGCGCGGGTTGGGGGGAAATTGCACGGGGAAGGGGGGGGGTGTGCCGGGGGGGGGGCGCACGGGGAGGGGGGGGAATTGCATGGGGGGGGGGGCACAGCGGGGGGGGGGGGTCACACCGCATGACCGTTAGAAGAGTCACACGCTAGCGATACACGCGGTGTGACTGCACCAACCTCCTCACCGTGTTAGTATTCAAGAGACAGAGCCGGGAGACGTGAACACACAGGTATTGCGCAACACGCCATGGACGGTTATTTGTCCAGGGTGTTAACGCATTCAAAAATTGCGTCTTTATACTGAAGTGAGAGCCGTGGGGAAGGGCCCATGTCTGTTGCGTGGCCCAGATTCCACATTCTCATGGCGGGGGCCATTATCGCCATATTGCGGGTACTAGTTTTAATCATCCAAGAAGGATGATGGGCTGGGTCGATTCTTAGCTCATTAATATTCAGTGCATCTTTCGTCAAGGCGACTTGTGTATCTGCAGACTATCAGTATTTTATTTATTTTCTCTGTTCAATGTCTGTGTCATTTGCCAATTTAGATTTGGACTTATAACATCAACACCCACTTTGTCCATCTCTGCAAACTTTGTCAGGAGATAGTTAATGCCCTCTTCGTGGAAGATTCCGCATGTCGGGATTTCCCAGCGGAAAATTGATGGATTGCTGCAGGAATCGAACCATCTGACTCTGGGGAAATTGGCCGAGTGACACACAGACTTATCGCGATAGGGTTATGCATCTGCCTAACACGGTCTGCGTGCAGCGGAAATTAATGCAACTGTTACTGTTCGTGCGCTCTGCAATATGAGATTAAGCGTTTTCAGATAAACATAAACTACTTTGCATCCCCCCCACATCCCCCCACGCAGTATTTGCTAAAAATCACAGTTTTGAAGGAAACGTGGTTGTACAGAGATACATGAATACTGAAGAAATTGAATGCATGTTGTGCAGAAAGTGAAGGTTTTTCTTTTGCACAAGATCGCGCTTGTTAGTCAGTAGGTTCTCAAAGATTAACGGGTGTTCGACGCTCAATAGATTTCTCCAAACCACTCGATGCAGTAACACGGGGCCTAAGCATGCTTGGAAAATCCATCTCCCTTCGCGGGTATTACAGCACCATAACCAAAAATCAATGATATATTCCGACACCCCTAATAATCACATTATTCATCATCACCGAAAGCACTGAAAAATCTACACACGCACATACACACAAGTATAGGGTGACGGTTTGAGTAAAACAGGCCAACTAGGTTGAACGCAACAAAATAATAAAGTTTTACGTGAATATGTAAGTACGACGCCAAATGTTATTTTCATGCAGCTGTCACGATATCAGTGTTGTCCCGTCACACCAACTTAGGGTGAGCCACCAAATCTTGATCGAAAACAACAACAACACGGGCACCAGACAGAGTGCAGAATAAGTCAGAAAAAAAGCAAATCCACAATGACCTTGGGTGGTGGCAGTCCGAATGCTACGGGAGCCTACTTTTCCCGGGAAATTCCGGATGAATTTGTGCACTAGGGGGCGGTGTTGCTGCGGTGTTATGACCAATTAAGCAATTTGCTGTTAACTATCCTTGGTTCTTTCGGTAAAGTCACGTATAAGGGAAACAATAAAATAATAAAATTCGTTAGAATTTTATTGTTTTATATATTTTTTAAATTATTTTATTGTTTCCCTTCTACGTGACTTTACCGAAAGAACCAAGAATATGAATCCCTGCAGTCACGAAAGCTTTAAATCAGAATTTGCTGTTAACTGTTCAACATCGAGACGTTTGGCCAACACCAGTTACGTTGTTCGTTTATTTAGCTATAGGAGAAACATTGAAGAACCCCGGAGGAAACCCATGCTGAACAGGGGGAGAAAATAAAACATAAATCTACGGAGAAAAGCACCCGAGTCGGGAATTGGAACCCAGGAACGTCTTGCTATGAGTCACAAGAGTTACCACTGGGTCATCCTGCCACCCACATCTGGACAAAATTCGGTTTGATGTCCACTTTAAGACGAGGTATTTTTGTCTGTATGGTATTAAAATGTTCACCAGTGAATGTCAAAAAAATGTGTTGGGACTTAGATCCACCACCTTAGAATCAAAGTGAACTGGATTCACACACGATTTACAGACAAGTGGACACACACAGTCTTCACAACAACATAGCACACGAATCAAGACACATTTCGGCGGCTGTAATATTTAGAGAGGTTTGAAGGAAAACAGCACTTATGAGTTGTGCCGTGACAAGGTCAAGCCTATGATTTATCACCGCAGACCACACACGGTTTTCCAACAGTGATAATGGTGTTAAGTGAACCCTCATACACCCAACCATTCTGGCATCAACCATGCTACATCTCGGGTCCCAATGAAAGTGGACCCAACACCACACCCACTAAGATTTTAGCTCGCTCAATTTGCAAGACAACAAATGTCCCATTTGGCTGCAGTGGTTATGCCTTATTGGAATTAAAAAGTGTGTTTAGATGATTGAGTTGATCACTCACTCAATATAAAGCCCTGTGATCTCAAGAGCACACGGTTGTGATGATAATGACAGGTAGACATTTGCATCAAAGTGGCCCAGTCCACACTTTGTGGTTATTAATGAGGAAGACGGAATGAAACTTGTCCAAAGCGTTGCTCTCATCGCCACCGAAAGTGTCTTGGTGATCTCTTGAGAAAACACCGCAGAACAATGGAGTGACTTGTCGCAACTTTTTGCGCCGTCACTTCCTGAGGGCATGATGATATTATGTAAAAGCTATCGCTGGTTAGGCATCGACAAGGCCAGTTCTTTACAGGACTGTTGTTGTCCCCTTAAAAACAACCGGCGGCGGCGGCAAGCGTTATCGACAGAGCAACGGCTCGTTGCTCCGATTTCTACTCTGTAAAAATTCCGTGTGCAAACCGGGCTTTAGACTGCCTCCAACTTTGCGTTATCGTAAAAATCCCTGGGGGGGGGTTGAAGCCAGAATGCGGTGATGCGCGCTGTTACGTTACAAACACGTGGAGTTAACGGAGAAGTGAGTCGAGCTCCGGTGAAAACTAGCGTCTGCTCTGAACGCAGCAGCCGGGGTGATGCTGACCTTGGTCCATCTGAAGCCTCCACGCTTAGAGGGGATGCGTTTTTTTGTTTCGTTTAAGCGAATCGCATAAAAACACGAACACAGAAAACAGTAAAAAAGCAAAAACATCCGTGTTATTATGTGGCATGAAAATGGCATAATAATAACAGCAGGAGAATACGTGCTGATCGTACAACAAAATTGCACGTGCTTAGGTGATACGAAAAAGGAATCTAATAAAAAAGAAAGCACCAGTATGGAGGAAACATTTTCCTACATCATTATTGGTGGTTGTATTTAATTTAATTCTCAAACGAGGATATTACATTTTTACGTATGATTACCTGACCAAAGTGATATTATATGGAATCACCATATCCAAAATCCAATCGTCTTCAAAATTACGTATGCATTTGCCCTCACTTAATACTCGTGGAAAATGTCCATTTCTATCCTGCAACAATAATAACAGATTAATGCAAAGAGTTTTGTAAAAGCCACTCCTGTTTGGAGGCCTCTGTCATTGGGGGTTGTTTCACCCTACCCCACCACGCTGGTCAATGTTTTAATCTATCACGTGACTTAACCTGGATTGCACTGCATGCAGTCGCTGGTGACAAGGTTGAGAGCGTCAGCCTCACTCGTCATGAAAACTTTATCTCAGGTAGGAGACCAGGACTCGAACCCCCGGAGGTCCCGGACACATGCAAAGCACTGGCCTCCAAGAGCCACCAGACCCAACAGAAGTTGAATTCTACAGCCAGTTCCACACCTCATTTAACACGGCAGGTCACCTGCGGGCAATACATTTTTAAAATAAATCAACTTGTCCTTGGCATTCCCAGCGAAATGCTTGATAAATTAGCAGCCACGACCATGTCTTGTATATCATTGCTAATGTGCATATCAGAAATGCTACGAGTTTGAAAATGCATTGTGATATCGATTACATTTGTATATAACGGTTACCGTATTTATTTGATCCGCGACTATTTTTCGTATTTGTCTTTGTAAACATTGTTCGTGTGCCCGAAAATGACTTTACTATTTAATCTATCGCGATTACTTTACTTCACAAAATAACAATAAAACGTGCACATTTTGATCGAGCTCCCCCATGCACTCTACGCATGTTGGTGCGGAGCAACGACGCACAGTTCATAAGCCCAACGGGGGCACACGCGCACTGGGCCTGTTCCAACCGTGTTACGGTTACAATGGTAATAATGTCCTGGACACATCACCGAGAACAATGGAACATCAATTCGCGAGGAGGGAGGGGCGTCGCACCGAGCGGTTGCCTAAAATGACCTCTCAAGTCTTCGTCGCCCTTACAAGGTGGATCACTCGGACAGCGGCAGAACGTGAAGCACAAACTGTGCACGGTGCGTCTCGGGTGAACGGCTTTAACGCTGCAAAGCGTGAGGCTCTGCGCGAGTCATGTGAGACTCGCGCAGGAAGACCGCGTTTCTGTCGGCGCAGGAAGGGTGCATTGAGGGAGCAGTATCGACGGGTCATGAGTAAGACATTTCATTTCATGATTGTCATCCTCATGGACCACAGTGTGTTAACCGTAGCCGTAAGCTCACGGGGTGTTCAGTGGCCGTGTACAACTTGTTGCCTGTACATGTTTACGTAACCGGCATTATTAAAGTACAGTAAAACCTCGGATTGCGAGCATAATTCGTTCCGGAAACGTGTTTATAATCCAAAGCACTCGTATATCAAAGCACTCGTTGTATATCAGTTGTGATCACGTGACGCTCGGCAGACAAAGCGTATATACGTACTACTCGTATTGCAAGACCTCGCTCGTTTATCAAATTAATATTTAGTTACAAATTTTGTTCGTCTTGCAAAACACTCGCAGACCAAGTTACTCGCAATCCAAGGTTTTACTGTAATAATCATTTCAATAACTGTGTGAAGTCAGAAGGATGGTCTTGTACATACTCTGCTGAAGACACACCATGAAATCTTATAACCACGTGATTACATTGTTCAGTGGCAGCAATAAAATAGAAACTAGTTTTGATCTGTAGATTTGAGTCCTTTGTCAATCCATGACTGGATCAAGGCCTCCTTACGCTGTCGGTCATGGGGATTATTTGACCATACTTCACCATGCTAGTCAGTGCAAGCTTGTCGAATTGGTACCCGGGATCAGTTCAGACACAACTCACAACCGATATTAGCTTCGAATTGGAATTTAACTCAGGTCGGTGGGTTCGAAGTGCAGGGCGCCAAGCACTTTGACTTCTTCCCATCCCTAATGCATCCTTTAAATTCAGATCTCTCCCGGAGCAAAGCTCAAAGCTATTTATCCAAAACAACGATGCCATGCATTGCAACGGATAAAACCCGATCCCTGGACTGAGCCACATAAACAAACGAGGTGCCTTTGTCACGTGAAGAAAATCAATGAGGTCAATGAGTGGTTATATTTTGCATTGGCAGGCACCTGCTCACCTTTGACATTTTGCTCATGGTGTCAGAGATGAGGAAGGACATGTTGTTGATTTCATTGGAAACCACAAAGTTCTGCTCCTCCCGTTTGAAGTTCTGCAAAGACAGAAGCGTTTATACATGATTACATCTTGACGCCGAACATCTCGTAGTTTAAATTTTGATTTAAAGCTTTCGTGACTGCAGTAATTCATATTCTTAGCTCTTTCGGTAAAGTCACGTTGAGGGGAAACAATAAAATAATAAAATATATATATAAAACAATAGAAATTCTCACGACGTTTCGATTTTATTGTTTTATATATATTTTATTAATTTATTTTTTCCCTTCAACGTGACTTTACCGAAAGAGCTAAGAATATCTCGTAGTTTATCTCTGTTCCTTAAAATGTAGCTCACGCGACCGCACGAGGAGACAAGTATGAAGATGAATCATGAATCCAGCGCGACTTGTGTTTTTTCCCCTTAAAAGTCACTTGTAATAAATGAACGTCTAATTTCGTTGGGAAACTTAAAAAAAGAGGATCAAATATGATGGAAACATGGCAAGCGCAAATATTGAATGTATGAGTGATGAATGACAATGTCTTAACTTTCTCATACAAAAGCCCATTAAACTTGCTGAACATCACCTTCCTAATTGATCAAAAAGATAAATGCAGCATTCACAATCGTTTATTTTTGCGAGACATTCATTAGAAGAATCTCTGTGGACTCAAGAGGCATTCACCTCATTTGCTGGCCATGACCCAAGGGTTGCGATTCCACAGCTATACGACAGGGGTCAGTGTATCTACAGCACGACTCCTGGTGACATCACAACTACAACACATTTGGAGAGAGGGTCCCAAAATGAAACTGCATCTCAAAAAACGTGGTCCTCGTTTTATTGAGCCCCGGTAGAGATGGGGATGTGCTGATCCCCGAGCAGAATTTGAAGCTCATAACGCTTAACGCTCTGCTTGAGAATTTCGTGCCGATGCGGCCGCGCACACTTGAGGGGGGGAAAAGAACTAGTAATTAAATTGGGTAATGAAGAGTACAACAGCAAGAATGATGCATTTGCAACGCGGCGTGAATCCGCCGAGTGTGGAGGCGGGGCAACGGCCACTCACGGGCGACTTGGCCCACATCACGAACACGTCGGCCACCATGAAGAACAGCTGCTCCGCATCCGCATTGGGCTCCATCAGCCACTTGGCCCTGCAGGACAGAGCGTACGCAACTCACAGGGGCGTTGACGTAGCGACTAAGCGGATTTCAGGCCCAAAGCAGACTCGAGAGTCGGAAGTCTCTGAGGATTAAGAGGATGGATGGTCGGCTGGTTCAGGGGGGGGACTCCTTATGATCAATTCAGAGCACAATAGGAGCTGGCACCAGTGACATCCTGGGTTCAATCAAAGTCCCAGTCAGGCATCATTAAATCAGGTGCTCAAGCGCAATGAGCTTTTGGATTCAAGCGATTATTGCGTGAAAAGAAATAAACGATATCAAGTTTGGTTTTCACTACATTCGGCATATTTCAGCTCTCAGGACCAAACGTGCTGGAATGATTGCCACACGACAATCCTATGTGGAGTACATGGAAGCGACCTGAAATGTATTTCCGTGAGAATGTCTTCCAGGGGTTGTGTTCTTACACGAACGGACGCAACAACGCTCACTGTGAGAGTTCCGTATGGAAACGTCTTTGTCCCGTGACACGATACAAATAGCAACGTGACAAATATAACTGGGAAAAAATATTTGAAGGGAGATGAAAACATTTATTTCACTCCATTATAAAAAAAAATGTTGCTTCAAAATTGTATCTTAACACTCACAGTTATTATTATGTTTATCCAGTGCAATGACTTTATCAAGGCACTTAGAAAAAAAAATCTGGCCTGTTAATGTAGGAGCATGTGGATTATGCTGAGAATCTCTAGGCGTGACATGGCAGCAAACCTGAAAGTTTAGAATAGATCATGGTAGGAAAACAACACAGAGCGAATGTTCTATTGAGGGAAGCACAGAGAGAATGCTGTGATGATTGGGTGGGGCATGTGCGCAGGATTTACGAGCGCTAGTTACCGACACAGGAATTGAGAGTGGCATCCGGGCGTTGGCAGCCATGGGGGAGGCCTAAAGCATTGTGACTGGGGTGAGACTAAAAGCAGATTTTTTTTAGGTCAAGTGTCGACCACACAACAGCTGTGGCATCGGGCAAAACAAAGTGGAGAAGTAAGGTGTCGCGGCAGTGACGGCAATGGCCATAAACACTTCATGACCTCCGGGCCATCACTGGGCACCACACAGCACCCGCCATACCTCCCGCAGTCCACGAAGCGTACGAGCAGCGGGTAGAAGGCGTAGAGGTCTCGCGCCAGGATGGCGAACTCGTCCAGCACGAGCAGCTCGTCCTCGGACATATCGCCCTTGGCCTCGGCGCGCACCCGATCTTCCTCCGCCACCACCTTGCCCGTCTTGCGTTTCAGCTTCTCCATTGTGGGCAGGAAGTGGCTCCTCAGCAGCTCCGGCTTCGCCTTGCCAATGATGGGCTGGGCGAAGACTGCAGCCGTGACAGCAACGCAGACGGTAGGGAGGGTCACAAAGAGACTGTAGGCAATCTAATCTAGATTTTAAGTTTTCGTGACTGCGGGGGGGGGGAGCCATGGAGGAGAGATAGAGATGGGGGGGGGGGTGTGGGGTAGGGGAGCGCTGCTGGAGGGATTAGGAGCAAGGCAAAATGCCTATATAGCCTCTTGCCCACTTCAGCATTGGTTTCTTGCTGTGGTTGTCCCACCTGATGACGGACGCTTGTGTTGCGCCCGAAACGTCGTGATTTAATTTATTTAATTTTATACCCACGTGACTTTACCGAAAGAACCATAGAGTATAGACTGTAGGCAGCTCGAGATGTGCGAGTTAACAGACGTGTGTGTGAGTGTGTGTGCACGTGTGCACGTGTGCACGTGTGTGTGAGTGTGTGTGAGTGTGTGCGAGTTAACGGACGTGTGCATGTATGCACGTGTGTGTGACTGTGCCACAGTGTAGCGGCTAGCGCACTGCACTACGAACCCAGCGACCCGAGATTGATTCCCGCTCATGGCCACCGCCAGTGAAGATTATCTGAACTGGTGCGGGGGCGGCCCGAGGTAGATTCGGCCTGACGTGGTTGCTGGCCGCACCAACCCCTCAAGTGCCATGTTGGCTTTCATAGGTGCTCACAAACAGCACTTGCATGTGTTTTTAGATTCTCCCAAAGGGAGATTCCCATGTGTGAGGCCAGGGATCCAAGATACATGTTCTATATGCTGATCTCCTTCGTCCACACAGCATCCAGAGAAGTACGGTGCAGTTATGCTGTGCCGAAGTTCAAATCGCTGGCACACGTGCTCTTTCTAAGATAGTAAAAGATGCTGAAAAACAAAAGGGAAAATGTTTCCACATGGACGTACAGAAAGCGATTACTGCGAGATGCACCGAGCAAGAGAGCCAATGGCATGTAAAAGATAAGACATGAGCACGTGAGTACCATTACTGCTACGTAACCACGTTATTTTTTTTTCAATAAAATAGCTACCGGTATTTGTGAAAAATGCGGATTGCTGCAAGTTGCCCAAGTCACACCAGACCACGTTTAGGGATTCTCTTAAGATTCAGTGTAAACGCGCCAAAGGGCTCCGGCAGCCAAACTAAAAGCGACGTATTTAAGATCCCAGGAGCCAAGCGGCGGGAGAAACGTCCTTAGAGCCACTCAGCCCGGCTCCCTTGCCGGACGGCGTGGCGCAACACACCGGCGATGCGCTTCATCCAGGCGGCCTCGCTGATGCCCAGGTTGTTGACGATGATCTTGAGGATGTTGCCGAGCAGGGCGTTCATGTGCTCCGAGGTGGTGGCCGTGCACACGGGCTCCTCGAGGGCGCGCCGGGGGTCCTCCTCGGCGCCGTGCTCCCACCAGCGCGACAGGTAGCTGCACAGCATGGGCAGCACCACCTCGATGACGTGCGGCATCTCCGTGTAGCGGGCACCCGACTCGGCCAGATCGCCGATCTCCTGCAGCAGCTTGTCCAGCGACGGGATGTCCTTGCACACGTCCTCCACGTGCACCGGCAGCCCCATCACTGCGAGCGAGCACGTGCGCGTGCGTGTGGTTGTGGGTTTGTACGTGTGTGTGTGTGTGTGAGCGTGAGTGAAGTTGCATTGTGCGTATGTGTGTATGTGTGTAAATGAGTGCGCGTGTATGCATTGCACAGGACGATCATTATTGAGTCAGATGTGTGAATAATTAGCGGACAAAATGAACGAGGTTTCCCCGGCATGAACACAATTCATTCTTCTACAATAATTTTACATTAGAGGGGGCGTCCTACAAAGAAAAGTGGATAACCCCCAAAGTTCGTCGTCCAGAAAATAGGGTTTTGTTGAGAGTGGGTGGTGGAATGATCAAGTTAAAAAAATAAAAACTATCAAAAGTTAATTGATTTCTCATGTCTTCCAACGAAGCCAGTGTGTATTATGTAAATATAAGTTAACACCTGAGTGGGCTTTGTCTGGTAGGATGGGGATGGTTCAGTGTTGTGTTTGTATGTGTTTGGGTGATTTCTCTAACTTTCTTGTACTTTGCACTCCTATCGTGTTTTTGTACTGTGTGTTGTTGAAACGTTCTTACCCGCCCAGACTGGACATGTGTGAAAAAGAGCTTTATATCTCATCGGATTCTTCCAGCATGAATAAATATTCTGATTCTCTATTTGTGGGTTGACGGGATTTTGCAGGACACCCCTCGTTGAGAAGCCAGCAGTGAAGCAGTCGACGACACGGGGCGGTCCGGACACGCGGCCACACGCGTAGCCGTGCGCGCTACTCACTGGCGCGCTCGCGTGCCGTCTTGGTGTTGAACACAGAGTGGGGATTGAACTTGTTGAGCTCCGGCTCCAGGAAGGCGACCGGGAAGGCGGTGGCCAGCGCCGACAGGCACTCGCCCAGAGCAGGCCGCTGCCTGCGCACATGCACATGTACGTCATCCTCATCAGCCGTGTACTATCCACTGCCTGATGAAGGCCTTCCCAAGGCCGTCGCCACATCTCACACGCGGTCCCGCGATGCAACAATCCATCTAGATCCTGCACATCAGCCGCATTTATTGTTACATCTCTGCAGTGGGGACCGCCTCTTCGGTACATTCCCTCCCTTGGCTGCCAATTGCTCATCCGTTCTTGGGCCACCGGCCATCGTTCTTTATAGTGACGTGTTCAGCCCATGCATATGCTTGACTTTTTTATGTTATCCCTTGTTAATATTATTGGATATACACTCCACCACATACTCCGATTAGCACGGTTGGCTATATATGGTGCGAAAAAAAGTTCAACATATGTACATTTAAGGTTTCAATCACACTGGTAGAGGCCCAGGACCAGTTCTAAAAATCACTCCCCGATGTCCTTAACCATGGCTGGGAATTAAAATCAGGTCACCGGGTTTTTGCGGAGCAGCGCATTGACCACGCTGCCATCAATGGGACTCTACTGGACATCTGTGAAAAAGCGCTTCACAGCTCATTGGATTCCTCCAGTCTAAATAAAGATTCTGATATACACAAGGACAACGCAATCGCAATGACACACACGCAAACACTCAGTGGCCCCTTATCGGCATATGTACTGGGCGGACGGGTCCAGGGAATCAAACGTCAACCGCCTTTGTTGTCTGCAGGGGTTATCGCTTTGTTCTACTCACTTTCATGCATGGAAGAAGTCACAGCGGCTACTTCTCGATTTGTGCCCTGCAGGGCGAATTCCATGCGACCACGTGCCGCGCCGCTTACCTCTCCACATAGATGTTCTTTCCCGTTCCAAGTGCGAAAAGGCTGGACAGGATCCGGTAGCAGGACACCTGCACGTCATCCACTGCCCAGGAGGATTCACGTGGGAACATGAAATTGCAGTGTTTTAAATAGGGTGCCGGTTGGACAATGGAACGATGTCCCGGACAGCATGAGACTCAATGGCATATGGAATTACATACGCAAATGTCTGTCGCTTTAGTGATACGTTAAGAACAACTTATGTCTGTCCTCCCCGGTTGCCAGGGCGAAAAGCGGACCACGTGTTTGCGCAATCCTGGCAAGGCGGCTCACAACTCAAATAACCGGATTGAAACCTGCAACAGCTGTAGTAAAGATGAGTGGCAGCCCACCCACCGAGTATCGTCACGCACCTTTGTGAAACAGCAGCAGCAGCGGCGGATGAGGACACCACGCTGCTGTGAAACACCTAAAACGCTTGGGTGACGAGGTGGCCCAGCATACGAGCGAGATTTTGAGTATTATCTGTTTGCATGTGTAGGTTTTTTTTAATTGTTCTGGGGTGCTTCACCTTGTGATTTTCGTTCTGTCCCGTGGTATGGTTCAAACTTATTTAGGCAGAAATTCGACTTTAAATTTTACTGACGTCTATTCAAATGAGACGGATCTATGATGAATGGGACTTCACACACATTTTTAAATGAACACAATAATATCGTAATTAAATGCATTAAGACATCCAAGAATACGACAATAAAGACAAGCGCATGGTACACTGAAATGCTACTCATGTCACTCATCCACTTTATGGCTAAAATTATATTGGTGACCCTAGGCAAGTGGTGGAAATTCCACAATTCTATGGCAGTGGCTATTTTCCGCATTTAAATCCACTATTTAACCTTCTGCAAAGTGTTACTCAATTTATTGACCTCCGAGGGATGGATGGACTGCATTCACCCTTGGCTAGGATTTTTGATTCGCAATCTCCCAATTGTGAGTTGAGCATTCTACCAGTGTCATCTGGCCAGTCGCCAAATATCACTTTCATGCACGTACCAAAACAACTTAGTCAGCCACCGAGCTTTCCAATCAAAATGATAATGCTGGCTGTTCATCAGAAACAACTTGGCTGACATTCTACATCATGATCTGCAACCGATATAAGTGTAAAACCAGAAGTGAGTCTGACTTATTTCTTAAAACCTACTTATTGCCTGTGATATGTTAGGTAAACTGTTTTTGCAAAAAATGTTACTGTACGGCGGCGCTCTGAAGCCCTTTGTTGGGTCTGCTGCGCATTATAAAAAAGTAAAGAAAAATAATAACTACTTCTATGTTTAGCTTGTTGTCCTTCCCCGCACCTCTGATTAGCACGGCTGGCTACGTATGGTGCATACAAAGTTCAACATTACATGCACACATACAAATAACAATAATAAACAATTTTACGGTGCCTTCCGTGAGCATCCAATGAGCCCGGGGGACAAGGGCCGCAAAGGCTGGCAACGGAGTGGAGGGTCACCTACGTATGAGGTCAACGCCAAACTGGTGCTGCCCGATGTGGTCGAAGAGCGAGCAGAGCAGCGGCAGCAGGGCCACGGACGTGTAGTTGATGGTCTGCGCCACGCCCTTGAGCGCGCTCCGCGAGTGTGTGAAGCGGCCCTGCTTCAGGTTCTCCATCGTCTTCTCCAGGTCTTCGGCGGCGCTCTCGAAGAACGCGCGAAGCGCTGCCTTCACGCTGTCGGGCCCCACCTTCATCACCGTTCTGGGGGAGGGGGGGGGGGGTCGGCGAGGTCGGTGGCCGGCTCGTTGGGTTGTGACGTTTCTCACGAGCGAAGGAATCCAAGGGATTTGGGATCGGACTCAAAACAACTGAACGAGAAGCCCTACAGGGAGGATGCGCACTTGCTCGCTCGCTGCAAGGGTTTCCGGAACAAGTCGGCTGGACGCGACCAGGTGGCTCAGAGGTCAGAATGCTGATGTGTTATTCCTAAGATCTGTTGATCTGGGCTTGACCACCTGAGTGTGAAATTGTAGTTGTTGCTCTGCACCTACATCAGCCGTACGGAAGAAAAAAAAGACTCCTAAGATCCTGGGTGTGAATCCAGGTAGCTGGTTTCACACAAATTAGGTTCTTAAAGTTTCGCGGGCTGATATTCTCAGCCCAGTCATTAATGACTATACAAAGAAACACATAGAATTTGTTTCTACACTTACCTTGGTTAAATTCCAGCTGTGAGGCTTTACAATATCAGTTTGACTGTCATACGTTGAACATTTTCAGCAGCGGCAGAGTGGGTGGGAAAGTGCTGCCCTTACTTTGTGGAACATCAATCACTTGAGGGGATCTCAGATGTAGGTTTGTGATAGCTATAGAAGCCAGTATTGGTATTACTTTTTCAGGGATGCACACCTACTCATTGTTTCTTCCAGTGCTGACAACGTGCATTGGGGTGTAATTGTACATATGTGTGCGTTCTGCTTGTGTGTATACGTGTGTGTAATTGTACATGTGTGTTCTGCATGTGTGTTGGTGTCTAATTGTATGTATGTGTATTCTGTATGTGTGTTAGTGTGTGTGTGTGTGTCATTCGACAGGCGTGCGTGTTTAATGTAGACCATGGTGGGCACCTGCAGTCAAGCGATCCAGCCAAGATGTGTAGGCAGTTCACCATGGCAGTGGCGTCACTCCCTGCTCGCCACACATCACAGTAAGAGAAGTGTGTGTGTGTATGAGTGCGTGTGTGTGTGTATGTTAGTGTGTATGTGCCTGTGATATCAAATGCAGAAACACAAGAGAGCAGAAAAGGCAACCAGAATACAAAAGCAAGCGGGATACACAAAGGGTTCCTTAAAAAAAACCAGCGCAACGAGAAACAGCAACGCTAGGGAAAACTACACCCATGGTATAGAGGCTCTCCACCAAAACTACACCCATGGTGAGAATAGGTTTTCCCCTTTTTTCCGTCAACAAAACAGTTGTTAAGATGTTAAAACGCCAAACTAAAACCTTTTACAAGAAATTATGTCTGCATTAACCACAATACTTGTGGTCAGAATGCAAACAAAAAACATACTCTGATAATATATTCGCTGTACGCCTTTTGGCGTCCTCTGCTCCAACGCCATTTTGAGATTAGGCTCAAAAGAAAGCTGTATCTGGCGTGGACCAATCAGTTTCAAAGACAATGCATCATATTATCAGAGCATGTTTTTTGTTTGCATTCTGACCACAAGCATTGCGGTCAGAATGCAAACATGATTCCTTGTAAAAAGGTTTCAGTTTGGTGTTTTAACATCTTAACACCTGTTTTGTTGCCAGAAAAAAGGGGAAAATCGATTCTCAATGCTCGGGAATTATAATAATAATGGGAGCAGCTGCTACAGTTCTGTATGCAAAATTAAATCAGAAGCTAACGAAAATGCCGAAGAACTTGAATGCCACTCGGCTGCCAAGACTAAAACTGTCTCCAAACCCGAAAGAGCGTGAGTGGGGGGCAGTGCTCATCTGTGTTGACAGGCTCGAACCAGTGATGGAAATTCTGCATTTCCCATAACAGGAGCCAGTCTATCCATCGCATCATATCGGGAGTAATATATATGACATCTATACGTGCGGACTCATTTTAATGCGTGAAGAGATTTAAGCAATCAACAGCTTAGGGACACGTAATTGCCCACCACCGGCTCTGGCACACCAATGAAGACTACCACCGCCAACCAAACGGAGAGCAGGGAGACAGTTTGACGTGACGTGAACACTCTGCTACTCTGCGATCATCTGTATGTTGATAATGTACAACCCTTTGTCAATCCACTGATGGGTGAAGGCTTCCCCATAACACGTCAGTTGAGATTTTTTTTTTAACTACAATTCACCACCAAGCTGGTCAATGTGGGTTGTTGAAGTGAAGGGGAACAATGGTCCAAATATCATTCGCCGTGGGTGTTCAGCGCGGCTGGGAATTGAACTCAGGTCTTTCTGGGATTATAGTGCAATGGGATAACCATTATGCCACTGCCTCCCCCCCCCCCCACTCCACCATGGGCACATTAATTAACGTGTTCTTTTCTTGGTGAGAAAAGTCAAGACTTATGATCGGTAAAGTTAAATATCTTCCAGTCCTAAATCCTGTCCATTTTTTTATACATGTACATAAAACACCCTTAGATTAAACCCTGGATTCGCAAATAAGATGAAAGATTAAAGGTCGTTTGGTGGTTACAAAATGTGAGAGCGAAACAGATCCTGCCAATGGATGTTAGTATCGTGTAGCATGCAAACGTCTGGCACCACAACATGCATTTGAAGAAAAAAAAATACCCTCAACAACAACAACAACAACACTCCCGGCCAACACAACACAGAATACAAACCAGGATCCCAAAGACCACTCTTACCAAAGAGAGAAATCCTATGCCGGACAAGAACGGCCAATTTGCAGAAGAGGCTACAGAGGAAACGAGGAAGCGAGAGAGAAGAGGAAGAAATGGAAAAAAACATTTTGGTATTCTTCTTGAACGCATTAATTGTCATCGAACGAACTGCGAAACAACGGTCAGGTCATGAGGAAAATTGCTGACTGCGGTGATTGCTTACGAATGCTGTGCACATGTACAGCACTGTTGTCAATCCCCTACTGGAAGAGGAGCATCACCCGCAGGGCATGCTGGTTGTGGAGATGATTTTACTACACTTCGCTGCTTTGGTCAGTGCCAGTTGGTGTGGGCGGAGGAGTATAGATAGACATGGGATCATGTAAGTACAGTGCAACAATGGACTCTGCTGGCTAGAATGTGGTCCTGTAGCCCTAAACACCAGTTATTCAAGGCATTCGCCCATCCAAGCACTATCCTGGCCAGGCTCAAATCGGCTTAGCTTCAAAGAAATTATGGAAATGGATGTAACTGCAGGTGATTTTTTTACCATAGGCAATAAAGAATACGGCAGAAAATATAAATAAATCTACACCACATATCTACGTGTGTGAGTGAGTGGGTGCGTGTGTGTGCGTGTCAGCCTGAAATGAGTACCTGGTGCGGTGTGTAAACATCGCCACGGGGACAAAGGCGGTTACAAGGCGTGGTGCCGGCCACCCCCCCCCCCCCCCGCCCCCCCGTGTGCCTTGCAGGCCTTCACAGGTGCTGCCCGCTCACAGCACTTGCCCCAAAACTCTGTTAAGTCTAAATCTTGACTTAAAGCTTTTGTGACTGCAGGAATTCATATTCTTTGGGTCCTTCGGTAAAGCCACGTAGATAAGTCTATTCGTGGGGAACTTTGTCCTGGTCTCGTGCGTGTCAAAGGATTGTTCGAGGTCTTTGTGAAGCAAAAGCCACGTGCGGACATCCGCAAGGAACGATGGGGTTTGGAGGAATTTACAATGACCGTGACATCGATAGTTGAATATGTGAAACAACGTGTCATGTGATTGCGTTAACGGTCCTTCATTTTTGGCCTATTCTTCCACGCTAAATTGGGGCTCTGCGTGACGGTGGTGTGACGAGGAGTGGGGGAGGAGTGCAACGAACCTGGTGACCATCTCCTTCTCCTTGTTGGAGGCGTGGCCTCCGCTGCTCAGCAGGCTGCTGGGCGTCGACAGGAAGTACTGCCTGTGGTTCTGGAAGTACTGATCTATCAGGGGCAGCACCACCTGCGCAAAGACGTAGGGGAGAAAACGTTACGGTGTCACTGTGAGGATTGGGAGATTGGCTGTATTTTGTTTAGATGGTAAGAGAACTCTGCTAACCACTGTGATACCGCTTCACCATCCTACCAAGGAGTAGTTTTATCAGTGCCTCAGAGCTGCCAATGGCAATGTACAATGCTGCACAGGGAGGCACTTTGACTGCCACTGATACCGGCACGGCGAGGTGTGAGTTTACATTTACACCGCTGCGCCTGTCAGCGACACAATCCCAAACGGCGCTTCAAGTGCGTCCGCTGAGTCTCGCCACAAGGGACGAGCAATCAGAGGAGGGTTGGCGTTGTGAATGCGCGCGCGTGCTTTCATTACCTTGGCGAAGAATTTAATTTCCTGCTCGTGGGGATATTTGTTCGATGCTCTCTCTTCCTTCCTTTTGGTCATGGCGAAATCTGCAAGAATCCGGGATCTTAAATTACACGCTCACAGTAACAACGGACGAGACAATTCCTGGTCTGGCACGTCTCTGGTGTAGGCCAATCAGTTTCAAGGACAATGTATATATTAATTATCAGAGCGCGTGTTTACATGTTTTGCCACAAGTACGTGTGCTTAATGCAGACTTGCTGCATTATTTTTGGTGTGTTTGAACATCTTAACAGCCGTTTTATTGCCAGAAAGGGTAAAAAAAAAAAAAAACCTCTTCTCATTTTTCATCATTTTGATGCTTCCAAAAAAGGTCCCGTACGAAACAGAGGCCCCCGAGCTCACCAAGCTGCGTGATGTAGCCGTGGGCGCTCTCCACGTAGTTGATGAGCTGCTGCAGAATTCCATACGCAAAGCGCTTCTCGATGGACGAGGCGTCCATCTCCATGTCCTTGGCGCCTCTGTCTCACGTACCGTAAATAGTAAAGATGAAGATTCCCCCACCCACCCCCCAGCCTTTAACAGGCTGTTGGGGTGAGCGCTGTTGGCGAGCACCTATGAAGGCCGGCACGGCGCATGAGGGGCGTGGGGTGGCCAGCAACCACGCCCGGCGGAATTTGTCTCTCTAATGTCGATGTTTACACAGAGCACTCCTGTACTCATTTACGGCTGAGTCGACCTAGAGGAGGCCCAGGACCGGCTTATAATATTTGTCACGGATGCTGGCTGTGAGCAGGAAGCGAAACTAGTTCGTAGCGTAGCGAGTCTACCGATGGAGTACCACTCTCCACGTACCATAAGACAGGACAGAGATTCCCCGCATAGCCTCAATCGCTTTTGTGACGACAATAACCCCAATTCGCCACTAAGTGGGAGTCACGCCACTGCAACGCTTTAGCCAAAAGCGGTCCCCTCTGAGGCACCGTGCAGTGCGTGGAAGGCTCGCTGGCAGGAAGGAGGTCACGAGATGGATCCAGCTATTATGGGCTAATTGACTGTGGTGACTGGTAGAGGCAACACTTTGCCGACTCACTCGCTGCTTTTTAGTGGCCACTTGTACAGCACGCACACGCATGCGTGCACCCAAATGAGTAACACGCCTCTATGCCTGCACATTCAAAATTTGGAAACACGTGCAGGACACATACACAGGAACGCGTTCAAACCCCGACGTGCACACGCGGATGCACACACAAAGGGGTGCCCTTTTTTTGCCCATTGTTGCTGCATTTCCATAAGATTAAGAAATCAGCCATTTCTTGTCCCATTGCACGGCTACATTGTGAGAAGTTAACAGTAGCCATGACGTTGAGAGTCTGGCCTTACCATCGGAATGTGGATTTTCCCAACCACTATTCAGAGCCACCAATGAAAATAATTAACTACCCGTGCTAGTTTGAGTCGAGAGACACTTCAGCTTAGTAACACAACGGGACCGTGGGGCGATGCGTGCCTGGAGACAGTGTATCCGTTGATCTGCAAGAACTTGAAAAGTTCCTCAGCTTTTTCCAGGTCCTTGGATTTCTCCTTGGCGGTCAGCGTATCGTAGGGAACCAGCAGGGGATGGGTGCCACCCCCTGCTTGGGCGCACACACCCACACGCACGTATACACAGACACAAGCATGCACACACGCACACATACGTAGAATAATATGACAATGAGTCCATCGGGTTTTTTTTTCTTCAGAATGTGAGTTTGTTACCATCCCGATTTAAGCGGCAATTTTTATTTGCGTTCAAATTCATTCCAATACCTTGCTTTCTCAGAAAAGCATCCGAATCATTCAATTTAAAAAAATATTATACGATTTTTCTTTGTACCTTCTTAGCTTAACTTGGTTCAGTTAAAAGTTTAAATTACTTGCAATTATGAAGTTTATCGATGTGCACCGATGTATACAATCGTGCGTCTTAAGTAGTTCTAATTAGTCCATGGTTTTAACAGGAAACCCCTAGAACTTTTTATCAAGATTGTACTGCCGTATGCTGGCTGCCCAACAGTTTCAGAGGTGGAGAATCTGATTTCCGACTTGAAAAAAACAGACACTGATGAGCGCTTCTCTCGCTTTAACACGTTGGCTGTCGTGACCAAAGTTACGATTCATAAACTTATCTTTGGATCAGATCGCGTAAGTACAATGTGTCATAACCCCCCCCCCCCATCCACCCGGCACAGCCAATTAATACATTAATACATTTGTTATGTGAACAAAACATGTGGACCTGTTGATGAGATTTATAAAACAATTATTCTTATTTTAAATAGTATTTATGTTGTTTGTCTCCAGGTCCGATTCAATACAGTACACAAAATCCGTGATCTAATCCCATCTGTGAAGGAGGTCATTCCTGACATGCAATACCCTAGAGTCTACAAACTGAGTTGTACCTGCGATAACAGTTACATTGGGGAAACGAAACGACATGTCACGACAGATCTGAAACATGGCAGAACCAATGTCTCGGCAGATCTGAAACATGGCAGAACCAATACCTCTGCCGTGGCTGACCATTGTTATAACGCTGTGGGCTCGCATGATATTGTTTTTTCCGAGACCAAGGTACTCTGCAAACTTTCGGGCTACTATCAAAGGTTTGTTCATGAAGCCATCCAGATATATATAAACATAAACAAAACTTCAACCGAGAAGATGGATACAAATTGAACAATCATTGGAAGGATGTTATCAACCAGGTAATGCCTTAACTGGTTGTTGTTTCTATCGTACCTGCCGGTTTACTGCTAGCCCCGTCCACGTCCCCCCCCAGCCTCACGTCCTCTTCCCCTAGCGCTCACGCGGCCCCTCCCCCTACCCCCCCCTCTCTCCCCCCTTGCCTCCTCCCCCCTCTCTTACCTATATAACCTCTTGCCACGGCAGCTCTCCCGCCGACTTCAGCAATTTTTCTTGCTGTGGTTGTCCCACCTGATGAAGATCGCTTGTGTTGCGATCGAAACGTCGTCATTTGTTTTATTTTATTTTATTTCTACCTATGTGACTTTACCGAAAGAACCAAAGAGTATAGAGTTTGTAATTGCTAGTTTTAATGTTAGGTTAGTAACAACTTGCCTGTGCTCGCCAGTTGCCTGGGTGAAAGGTGGGCTAAGTTTTTTCCCCAATCCTGGCTCAGCTGGCTCAAAAATGTAACAAACTTAACGAAACGAATGACCATTGCTGAATGAGTGAGATGTTATTGTTGTATTTTATTTAGAACCAGGGGCAGGGCCTCACCTTTGGCTTCAATTTCCATCTTCTTCTTACTTGCCCAAGTGTTGTGGTAATTTTCAGCCAGAGTCTCTGACATGTTCTGGTGACAGAAGTAAGAATGTAAAAAAAAACCTCACTTGTAAAAAATATATATTTAATCAAAGCACACAGGGAATCCCACATCATTCTAATTTTTTTCACAATTATATCTCAAATGTGTGATCGTAGTCATGCATTAAGATTTTTTTTATCACTTTGTGTCAAACCATCGCCCTGGAATTGAATATCACACGTACTTATTAACTCCCTTCCCTAGGCCTCTTTGTCCATACGAGGGGCCTATCTTTTCTAGGCTCTATCAATGTTTGTTGAGTCTTTTTGTGACTTGGCTGAGACCAACAAACGCACCACACTTGAGAACTCGACGTAATAATTGTTGGATATTGTCCAGATTCGAACCCAGGAACTAATTTGTGGTAGCTACTCAGTGTTCTCACCAAGTGTTTGACATCTCGGTCATCTTCCAGTTTTGAAAATAAACCTCAGGTTGCAACAACATCCAAGAAAAAGAAGAATCATCGGCAGCAAAGACTGACCTGCAGATCCCGAGGCAGTGTTACGTTGGTCATGTCCAGGGGTCGTGGCGTGAAGCCGTGGGGAGATTCAAATGAGCTTTGCTGCAGAGAGGAACAGGGCGAGGAATTTTAACGAGCATGCGGCAAAATCTCTTGAGAGGTTAGCTCACAAAAGCTCCACATGTGAAAGGACAGGGTGTCGGCTGGAATATTAAGTTCTGCATTTAATTTAATGGCTTACCATCATAACTGGGCTTATTTACGATGATAGATAGGATATGCATAGGATATTGATTCAAAAACACACAGGTGATGCCTTTAAAACTATGCTGATATACTTCAGAATTTAAGTTGCAATACAGACTTTCCATTCTAGATTGTGAGGAGTTTAAATGTTGGGACTACAATGGCCGAACAAACAATTGAAATTTGCATCTGGAATAAATCTGAGAAGAAGCACAAAAGAAAATCACATTATTGACTTCTAATCAGGAGGACAAGACCATGGAATATGAAGCAAATCTTTTTTTTTGTCAGTGGCAGGATTTCATTGTGAAGCATAAGCGATCGCCGCATCCAGACTGTAAGAATTATTACGTGGGCTTCAGCAAATTCTAAAAGAGACGTTGTGAAATACCAATCTAACCTCCTGCAAAGAAATTTAACGCGTGCCGAAAATAAAATTGAAACTCAGTGTGTTAAATACTTTTAGCCAGAATTCATTTGACGCAAAAAAGCTTCAAGTCTCCATTATAAATATTAGACTGCAAGAAATTAAAGCACATCCATCTTGCAATCCTAAGAAACCATCTTATGGCTCAACCTCCGACAATTCCCATTCTTCGAACAACTATGCACCAAGAGTTCCCCGGAAAAAAAAAAAACCCAGAATAATACGTTTAAGCACAATTTTCAGATTAACCTTCATCAACACGACACGATCGAATAACCCAGCAATTAACCGTACATGCCGTATGAACCTCTTGGGGGAAAAAAAATGCCCTCGGGTCTACATTGTTCCCGGTCGTTATGTTGTTGGGATTAAACTTCGATTTACCGCTTCGATTGAAAAGGGACTAATTTGACAGGAAATGGTGCTCGACGATGTTGAGGTGAGTGGATGCGGTTGCCGAGAATATGCCCGGCATTGGGGGTCACAGCACAGTGCGACGAAAGGCGAGGCCACAATCCCGCCCACTGTTACAATCCCACCACCACAAAGCACCCGCCACAACAAACACGTTCACGCTCAGCGACCCGCGTGTAGAATTCAGCATGCATTATGTTCACGTGCCGGCTGATGTCGGCGAATTGATATCGGGCGCCGCCGCTCTGCGAGTTTTGCCACAGATGTGGTCGTACAATAGACGCAAGCGAATGAGAATACAGATGCGCACGCGTCACTGCAAAAGAAAGTGGAGTTAGATGGCGCTCGATGGCACGCGGCTGAGCACTACCGCTCGTCGGAACGCATGCGCCTGCCAACAACTTCGCTTTCACATTACGGCGGATGACGTGTGGGTCGTTTCCCCCCCCCCGAGGGCTTAAACTATACACAAGACGAAAAAATTTGAATGCTTGGTTATTACAAGTTACTCACCTCCCTTAGAGGTCTCAACTAGCCCAAGCAGTGAAAGCAAACAATTAAGACAACCGTTAAACAAAGTGCTTGAGCCCGGGTTAGTACACTATCTTCAAACGACTGCCAACCAATTAACGAGTGCAACTTAAACGCAAAGCATGTACAGGGTTGTCATAGCCATTCGCTCATCTGTTTGCTGAATGCAATGTCGCAGGGTGTGTCCTCAGGTCTTTCCACACACCATGGGGTTTCAACGGTGTCATACAGGAAACACCGACTTAAGGGCAAGTCCAGCTAGGCACTCGTGCGCTTAAATGTAAAAAGCAGTGCAGTCCTTCTAACAAACACAAGCACGCACTAGCGCACGTGAGAAGCAGTAAAAACATTTTAAGAATACAACAAATTTAATGTGCAGACTCAACCTGTGGTTATCACAAAAACGAGACTCAACAATAAGCCTAACGGTGTATCAGTAGTGTATGGTGTGCACAGCCCTGGGTAGAACGCAGACCTAACAGATGTAGGGAAAACGCCAGTCAGGATTAGACACCAAGTGGTACAAGTGTGCGTGGCCAGGAATTTATCCCAGGTGAATAGGATCCACAGCGCACTGGTTTCCTACGCTTGTTTTTGTTCCAATTTCTCTTTTGCCTCATTGCTTTACTTTTTTTGCTTTGGTCATTTTGGTGACCCAAGTAAATTTTGAAAACGCAACTATCCTGGTCTCTTGAGTTCTCACCTGGTTAACGAAATTAACTTTGAAACTACACCGGAGTTTATATACGCCCATTAGGCCATCCACACTGCCGGGAAAGTCACTGTCGGCAAGCACAGTTTAAGGTCAGCAGGGACACGCAGTAGGATGTCATAGCAAGCACCATGCTTGCCCGCCCGCCCGCCCGCCCGCCTTTACTTCTCCATGGCCTAAGTTCACATACTACACAATATTCTCATCGCTTAAGGATTAATTATAATCTGAGGAGAGATCCAGGCCAGGTTCATCCACCACCAGCGCCTCTGATGTTGTGTTTGGCCAGGAATCAAACTCACGTTGTGATCGTGGCGCAGTGCTCCGAACCACTTAGCCATTGCTCCCCACAAACACCCAAGCACACAAGCACACATGTAGTACATTCTGGGAGAGACACACACTCACGCATTCATACAAATTGACAACTAATTTCTTTAGAAATGCTTTTTGTGTTTAGTTCGTTGTCCTTCCCCCGCATCTCCGATTAGATACACTCGTACAAAAAGCACACGTGGACATATGCAACTGCAATGCCCCCCCCCCCCTGTCCTGCCCTGCAAAATGTAGATGCCCCCCTGCGCGTTGCTCACGCTGCTTGAGTGCGGGAGGCGCTGCGGCTTGGCCTGCATGGCGGCCGCCCCTCCGTCTCGTGTCCTCTCGATTGCCCAGCCCAGCATCAGCATGGTCTTCAGGGACTCCTTCACCGGCAGCTGGTAGACCTCCTTCTCCTGCGGCCACAACGCACGGCGTCTCACACTCAGCTCGGTTTACAGACACGCCCTGCGCCACCCTGCGTCACACCCTGCACCATCCTAACCCGGTTCACTCTCGCAAATGACACTACTATCCTGGCTCTCCGATAGGCACTACAAATGGCATTAGGGGCTGCTAGGTGGCTAGATGGTGGCAGTGCTAAGTGTAAACCCCTCATGTTCATGGATTTTCTACGGGTTTTCCAATTCCATTCTACATCCCAAATATTAATTCATGGTATTCGGCAAACATCCGAATGTAGGACCCTCTTCAAAAAAGTGCTTTGGGTTCAATGAGACTTTGCTCAGCATTATCTCTAGCTTATACTGGTAGGAACCTCCTGGTTACACCACCAGCCCACAGGGGATTATTGTGTCCGTCCGTCGTGCATCCAAAAATGGGAGGGGTGGAGCTGGGTGGAGAGGGGAGGGTGGGGAGGGGCTGGGTGGGGAGGGAGGGGCTGGGTGGGGAGAGGAGGGTGGGGAGGGGCTGGGTGGGAAGGGTGGGGCTGGGTGGGGAGGGGAGGGTGGGGAGGGGCTGGGTGGGGAGGGTGGGGCTGGGTGGGGGGTGGGAGGGGTGGGGTTAGGTGGGTAGGGGCTGGTCACCCCGTGGTGCCCTTATAAAACTCAACGTTTAACCTACTCACGCCGGCTTGTGCCCACCCTCACAGTCGGGCATATTTGCGGAATACACCACGTACCACCGTTGACCCTGGCCATTGACCGAGCAACCCAACGTTCCTACCAGCTCCCTCTGCAGGAATGTGTTTATGATTATGTAAGCTATTATCGAAGCCTCGCAATAAAATGAATGACGCAGGTGAATACAATGAATACAACGCCAACCCGATTTCATTACCTTGTCAGAAAAGAGTTTGAATGGCTTGAGGAGGGGGTGACTTTTGCTTTCTTCATTGAGGACCTCGCCATATGACCACCCTTCTGCATACTGTCAAACAGAGAGAGATAGACATACCTGTCAACCCCTTATCAGTGCCTACCTTATTGCAAAACAATTCAGACCTAATTGGTGACCCCGTGCTCTTAAACATCTAAACGTTCATCCTACAAAGCTGTATGCCGTGTGGACCTGAAAACTCAATTTCCTTGTACAAGCATATGGGTAAACCGTATGGGTTGACACGGTATGGAGAGAGGACTTTTCAATTGGCATTCAACATGCCAATTTCCGTTCCTATGATGCACGTGCACATCATCGCATCGGAATCGGAATAAAAACTAAAATAACTTTATCGGTACATCTTCAGGTCAGAAAGACGTCCCGAGGCTCCCACAAGGCCATGCGGAAGCGCACACGGCACAGTTTGGCGTCAGCTATCATAGAGTGTGGTCGTATCGCTGCAGTTCTCTGTGGTCAGTACAATGTTTATAAAAACAACGGCGCTACTTCGCCTCTCTAAATAAAATGTATGCTAACTGCTTGCGCGTTCCTAGATTCAGCGGCGAACGGGACAACCACCCTCGCAACTTGTAGAGACGTCTCGGAACGGGAAAGGGTTAAGAAAGCATCCAGCGGAGTGGGCCAGGTGGCTCAGGAGTGAGAGTGCTACGCCAGCACTGCGGAGACTCTGGATTACGCTCCACGCGGCCGCCCACTACCAAACCACATTACCAAGCGTGGTGAGATGATGGTCTCAGCCTGGTGATCAATGGGCTCTCACTGGCCACGCGCACACTCGTGCCGATCTGGGGTCTAATCCTGACTGGCGCTTTCCTTACCTCTGTTAGGTCTGCCTTCTATCCAGGGCTGTGTGGTAGGCCTATTGACGAGTCTCGTATTTGTCATAACCGCAGACTGAGTCTGCACATTTAATATTGCCTTATAATGAAAATGTTTGTACTGCCTCTCGTGTGTGCTAGTGCGTGCCTCTGTTAGGACTGCATCTGCATATTCCAGGTCTGTGACGTGTCGGCAAACACACTTTGCCTCGTTTAGATTCTGGATACTTTTTTTTTTTAGAAATGTACGATTACGTTTGCAAAGCAGATACCATGAGGTCTCAAACACGAATTGGCCATCCAACAGAAGTAACTGGTGTAAGGATACATACAAGAGTTGGTGCCCTTCTTCCATCGCTTCTGCTGTACACACACAATGAGGACGGACGTTCCAAAGCTGAGCCGTACCGCAAGCCCACCGAGGGGAGGGTCAGCCGTGAGGTGCCAGGCCTGGCTGCTGTGTGAACCCTACCTTTTCCATCGACCAGTGGTCATGGACGTGCTCTGCATACTTATTGATGAAAAAATCCAATTTCTCCGGGATGGTGATGCTGCAAAGATGCATGCAGACAAAACAAGCATGAGTGATGCAACGGAAGTGATTTTTTCTCACAAATATGAATTTTAACAAATGTCATGTTATTTTTTTTATCACAACGATGTTTTGGAGGTTTATAGTCAGGCTCTTTACCTGTGAGATATTAATGTAGTAGTTTCAAAACAGTGCCAAAATGATAAAACAGGTCTTAAGCTATACATCCAGAATATTTCCAGCGAGTCCCAAAGCTTTTAGAGGAAATTCCTGCACTGTGACGTAAAAGCCATTACCTGCAAACTCGATTGATATGACACTATACACCTTTATTTATAATTTTAACAGTAAATATCAGCAGACCTGATGACGGATGCTTGTGTTGCGCCCGAATGGGCAGACGTGATTTTAAATTCCAACGGTAGGCCAATTTACCCCATCCATTTAGCCGATCATCCATCCACGATTTCACAAAATAAAACGGGTACCACTTTGTAGACCGTCAACAGTGTCACGTCACGGGAAAGAAACAGGCGTGAGAACTGACGGCATGGGGGCATTGTCCTGCCGCTGGCTCAATGGCTCAGCGCTCCCGCACCTGGACGTGTCGATGGGCTGCGGCTTGAAGTTTCCCTCGGCGTCCAGCGAGGACTGGCTGTCCATCGCGACCATGCGGCTCGACTCCATGTAGTCGGGGGGCAGGGCGCCCGAGATGGCGCCCAGGCACGGCAGCGCCAGCTTGAACAGCTCCTGCTCGTAAGGCTGTAATCATAGTAATAATAATAATGATGATGACGATCGTCTTTGCGTTTATAAGGCGGCGGTACTTATATGTCTCAGCGACTCAAAGCACCTCATATCAGGTCACATCTCATCTCAAACAACATTCGAAGGGTACCCCCCCCCCCCCCCCCACAGTGGCAGCTCTCCTTGTGCAGCACAAGGGGACTCAGTTTAGGCCTGCAATCGGGCATGTCTGCCAGCAGGTGGCGATCATTGCTCAATGTAATCCAAAAATTGGACTAGGACGCTGGCAAGCAATGGCCTATTGGCCTATTCAATTTGAATGATGTCATGGGATCTTTAACTTCCACTGTGAAGCGTACTGAATACACCCGGAGTATTAAGCAAGGCAAACCGTTGGATTTGAAATCGCGAACCTCTAAATAAAACGATTAAGAATACGATTCGATGCATATTCTATGGGGATTGTCTAGCACTGGTTCAGGGCTGCTAATGGAGATGAGCACTGCCCCACGCTAAGACCAAGTAGATACTTTGACTTGACCTATCCAGTGCTGGATCAAAAAGTTTTAAGCCGTCACCCTGCTGAACAGAACGTGGAACATCAGCGACAGTTCTCAAGCAGTGCTGGGTAAAACCGGCCCACTCAATTGACTCGCGTTGAAGAGGCCGCTTCTCCAACATGCCGTAATTCTCTTCACTCGGCTCGTGTCGAAGCACAATTGGGCTCCGATGATTGTGGTGATGGTGATGACTGCGGAGGGTGGCCGTGGTCACCTTCTTGGACAGCGCATTGAACACGCCCCAGAAGAGCTTGCGTGTGAGATGCAGCTCCTCCTCTGACGCTGCCCCGTAGCTGCCCCAGCCACTCGCCAGGCAATAGTACTTCCAGCAACGCTCAAAGTGATTGGTCAGAACCTGCAGACAGCGGACGGCGCGACCATGTTCAGCATTGGCAGCTAACAGTGGATGGCAACAATGGCCAATCAGTGTTGAGAGGGCCCATGTAGAGTGGAAGCGTTTTACTTAAATTATAACATTTATAAAGTGTATTGCATAGGATATTAGTTTTGAGGTTCGGATGCTTTGTTTATAAGGTTTTCCCAATGCATTTGGCATCCGAGTAAATGTACAAATATATTGCGTGTTCAGAAATATTTTCGAGTGAAACAAACAGTTCTACAAGTCTCAGACCAAGTTATTTTCCCTGACAAGTTTTAGCCAATAGCTTGATGCTGTATTTAACATTTCCACGGAGTTAAAACAACAATGTTAAATGCAGCAAATCTGCCTTCAAAGGGCTGTTATTGATTGCTGGCAGTTCACGTGCTCTATTCCATGTCTTCTCTTTGTAGATGGCACCCAGTCCACGTACGGACCAGGCCGCTGGTCACAATTCAAACACTGCACATGGGTGAACCACATTAACTCGCGCCTATATGTACGAGACCCTTGCTGTCGGTATCGAAATAATGCAAAAAATAATAGGCTTTACCGTTTCCGGCAATAATACAGGAGGTGCTAAGATGTTCAAACACCAAACAGATACACCTATCACAAGGCATAACGTCTGAATTAACAACACATGCTGGTGGTAAAACAAGCATGTGTGGTTAATAAAGGAGGCTTTTTGGCCTTGTCTCATCAGTGTTAGGCCAGATAATGCTAAAAGGCGAACAGCACAACCCTATGCTTCCTTATTATTATTATTTCAGTGGCATAGTTCGCTGGCCAGTTCGGTCACGGACGGTGGCGAACACCACTGGCCGTAACGCAATTTCTTCTGCACGGAGCAAGGCACGAGGACACACAGCAGGCAGCACAGTCCCCCACCGACATGCCTCGTACCTTCAATGGCATCTTGGAATTTTGGTTGAGAAGCGGCACGTCGAACACAAAGCGGCGCAGCAGGTGCTGCATCATGGATGGGCGTAATTGCCTGCAGCACCGTGGCACGCGCGCACACAGGGAGGGCAACGTTATGCTGGCAAAATTTCCCCACACAGTGGGGAGGTCTCTCACCTTTAACTCTGCCGTTCGTGCCGTCTGGCAAAATTCCCAAATTTGCTGTTCACAGTGGTTTTTGGACTCGTTTTTATCCAAACTAGAGATTTATATGTAGCCTCATGAGCAGGAAAAGGTAGCGGCATTCCCCTGCTCAAGAGAGCAATACGTAGGCGTCCATCTCCGTTGGTAACCATGAGCCAGTAGTTGAAATTTCAAATTCCTAGAGACGGCCATTTCTCTCCACTGGCATAACCGCCGTTTGGCTGGCACTGTGGTGAAAGTGCTTGCCTCACAAACGAGAATAGTTGTGAGTTCTAATCCTGGTCACGGGTCAAGCTCAGCATCTCATCCATCTGGAGTTAATAACATTGGTGCCAATCGATGAGTGGATGAGAGTTATCAAGCGTGACAATGTCTATGGCTATCCACCAAAAAATCAAAGTGTGACTGTGATTAAATGAAACGAATCTGAACGAAGATGCAGACTAAGATAATGGAGTACATTGATTTGCGACAGCAGTGCAATGAGGAAGGCCAACACGATAACTGCCCATATATGTATATAAAGAAATATTGCCGAGTTCACCGATTGGTTGACCTGACATTATTAGGCAAGGAGGAGGGGAAATTTCACGGCCCTCACACAAACACTTCATAACTACGAGTGTACTAAATTTGACGGCTCAAGTCGACTCTAAAAATCCAGACATAAGGCTCGACAAAAATTCCACAGGGTTGTTGCTGACTGGACCAAGAATGCGCCTGAAATAAAAAGTGCCGACTGAGTGAACGCTGGGTGCAGCAACCCCAATGCGATCCCCCCCCACCACCACCCATCCCCGACCGCCCCCTCCCGCACCCGCAAACGGCGATGAGGCACTCCTCGATGGCGTCGCGCTGCGCCTTGGTGAGCGAGCGGCCCTTGGAGATGCGGTAGATGGTGTGCAGCATGGAGTCGATGAGCGACGAGTGGTGCTCCGTGCCGGCGAACAGCGACGCGCAACGCGTCAGCACGGGCAGCACGGCGGAGCACAGGTACCGGTTGAGCGCCAGGGCCATGTCGGTGGCGGAGAGAGCCAGCTGCACCACCACCACCACCACCACCACGCCCGCACCCCCCCCCCCACCCCCCGACCAACCCCAAAGACAAACGACAAACACACGGGTCCCCGCTTAGCGCCTTGTGGACCTGTGGACGCAGGTGCCGTTGAGCGAGCACACGTAGAGGAAACACGTGCACGCACAAGACAAAGAGCGTCCCGTAAAAGAGCCCGTGTGGACTGTTGGGGCAAGTGCTCTTAGTGAGCACCTCTGAAGGGCTGCACAATACGCACGAGGGGTGGGGTGTCGCCACCATCTCACACAGCCGCATTGCTAAACTAGGTGCTGATGTTCACACAAATGCACTCAGCCAGCTTGGAATAGAAGGCCAAAATAACCGTTAGAGGGGCTCTCGAGAACTCTAGTAGAGACCAGTGGCATGAGCAAGCAATTTCAGGCCTGCACTTTTACCTTTAGGCTTTCACCTGTCACCCGCAATTGCAAAAGCCGAGATTGGACCTCGCTGCCTGGTTGAACCGGAGTTACCGCAACGGCCCTGGCCAGCAGGCAGGCGAGGAGAAGGAACTCACGGTGTCGAGAGCGGCAGCCGCGCGCAGGTCGGGCAGGAAGCCGACCTCCAGCATGTGCAGCAGGAAGTCCTGCGTCTCGATGCCGTACACGCGCTCCAGGAACAGTACCATGGCCGCTTTGTGGTCTGGGCAGAATCCCGCCGACATGTCCGGCTCCATCACCATTGCATCTGCCGAGCAAGCAAACAGGCGCGAGCGGAACACGCACAGTAAGCGCCTCCGATTAGCACGGTTGGCTACGTACGGTGCGAAAGAAGTTCAACATACATATGAATCACCCTCCATCTCATCCGTTTTACCAACCGCTCTCCACCAGGACCCCCGCCGACCACCCTCACCTGTGAAGATTGATAATGATTTTGTGCAGATTAGAAGCGCTACGCGGATAGCTGTCACTGATAATAAGTACGAGGTGGCCAGAGCAGTATAGTTATTCTGACTGTGCGAATATTTCATTGCTCTATGCTCTATCATGCACATGGCTTTCCTTCAAGGACTCCAGGTTTCTCACGCTGGCCGGACACCCATGCACGGAATTGTTCAAGTACAGTGTACGTACGTAAAAAGTGCCCCAAGCGCCGTGGCCACGTCACTACCACTGAGCGGCGAAGGACTGCCGCCGTTGCGGTGGGCATAAATAAATGAATTGTACATGTACATGGCATAAATAAATGAATAGAAGATGTTTATCTCTACACGAGTGTTTGTACCAGAGACAGATACAGTGCAACACTGGAGATGGAATTTCAGACGTGCCACATGAACACAGTCGGTCAAGAGGAGACAGATGCACGTCCACCACACCTTTGTCAATGGTTGGCATCTTGAAGGGGATGCTGATGACCCCTTCCAGGTCCCCGATAGGGACGAGCGAGCGCAGGATGGAGCGGATGCGGATTGCCTCACCCTTGCCCGTGAGGATGAGCTATGGAGACACGAGGGCGCATTCAAGATTTGACGTCGCTTGCCGCCGCCACCTTAAAGCGGGCGTCAAATGCCCTGTGCAGGATCTGTTCCTTTGTGCAGTGAAACTACTTGGGCTGTGGCCTGTTGGCAGAGCGTTCAACTCGGGTTACGAGTACAAGTTCTGGTCAGGGGATGGATGGGCCCCTGAACTCTCCAGGGTCGGAAAAACTGACGCCATCATTTTTGTGAGATTCAACAATGATGATCCTTAAATTTTGATTGAAAGCTTTCGTGACTGCAGGGATTCATATTCTTGGTTCTTTCGGTAAAGTCACGTAGAAGGGAAACAATAAAATAAAAAATATAAAACAATAAAATTCTCACGACGTTTCGACTGCAACACAAGCAATCATCATCAGGTGTGAAAACCACAGCAAGATCTACATACTATTGTTTCGCTTCTACGTGACTTTACCGAAAGAACCAAGAATATAATGATGATCCTGTGATTATCCTGAGACTGATCTGAATAAAAATGTGGAATGTACTCCGACTGTCAGGGACACAGACGCAAATGAGCACTGCCCCACGTTTAAGCAGGAGCACACTTGACCTGACTTGAATGTATCGATAACGCAACATACTGTGCATTTGAAGAATGCACAATATGTTGAGCCAGACTTATCAGGAATGTTGCAGAACAATTTCCACGCTCTTTTTTTTTACGAAACACATACATCAGACAAAACCGTACTTCTCGATCTACATACTAAGCAGTCACAGGTACATCGTGCATTCACGGCCACATACCAACGGCACAAATCGTCTGTCGCCATAAATACTTTGTTGATGGCCTATTGATTCCCTCATGGCTTCGCATTATTATCACCAACGCCATCAGCGCAATAGCCTTAGAGATTGTCTTCAGGACAACTTCACTTTTTATCCACAAAAGTCACATTAACATCGATCGTCACACTTCCAATTTCGACTGGGAACATTACTTAATGATCTTATTTCAACATTCGGAATAAAGTGTTTATGGTGACAAATGCCGTTTGACAATTTGACAACGCATCATGACGAAAGTGTCTCGTTGCTTAACGTGATGTTGTTTTTTTTACAACAAAACACAGGTAAGTTGAACACATTTTGAACCATTCACTCTCCCGTGCTGCACAAGATGTATTTCTGTGTCCTTCCGAGTCCTTAGTGATATGTCACCAAGGCACAGCTTGCCTTCCGACTGGCAGTAACAAGTGTCCACGCTATTCATCTTGAGAAGAGGGTTTCCCCCTTTTTTCTGGCAACAAAACAGGGGTTAAGATGTTAAAACACCAAACTGAAACCTTGTAGAAGGAATCATGTCTGCATTATGACCACAATAATTGTGGTCATAATGCAAACAAAAAGCATACTCTGACAGCTTTCTTTGGAGCCTCGTCTCAAATGGTGTTAGACCAGAGGACGCCAAAAGGCGCCAAAAGACGTCCTCTATTCTAACGCCATTTGAGACTAGGCTCCAAGGAAAGCTGCCAGAGTATGTTTTTTGTTTGCATTCTGACCACAAGTATTGTGGTTAATGCAGACATGATTCCTTGTAAAAGGTTTCAGTTTTGGTGTTTTAACATCTTAACAAAGCTGTTTTTTTTGCCAGAAAAAAGGGGAAAACCTATTTTCATATTTTGGTACTGTCAAAGGAGGTCCCGTGATGCTTTCCATATTGTTCAAATGCTTCACTGTGCCGTACACAATTTTCAATTACATTGATTTATTTAGCTCCATTAAATTTCACACAGGGGGTCTGATTAACACCGAGTAAACCCTATCCCCTAGCGCCGATGACCAAAAAATTTTGGAATGCGCCCGATCTAGTCAGATCTCAGAAGCTAAGCAGAGTTGAGGACTGGCCAGTGTCAGGATGGGTAGGTGAGCACCATGCACAAACTGGTTGCCGCGGGCCTTGCGGGGCTATGCGGTGGTCAGCAGAGGGCCAGGCAATATCTGTGCAGCGTTGTATGTCTATGCTCCTCCGTCATTGCTCCCCGCATTCACCAACCCACACCGCCCAGTACGGTAAAGTGCGCTCAAATAATAATGACATTTAAAATGCGCCAGATTTTACAGACAAGTCAAAAACTCAGAGGCGCGGAGCCAAACTCAGGGCTGCTCGAAAGCCCTGACCAAATAGATAGAGGCCTTTATCGATGTTTCTTAAAAGTCAGAGGGCATTTGATGTTGCGGATGTGCAAAGGGATAGAGAGTTCCACACCGAGGCGGCGACAACGGGGAACCGTCGTGCGGCTGTAACAGTTCAAGACCTTGGTGTCCAAAGCAGATTTTGAGTGACGCTGCGTAGGGTCTAAGACGAGGGTAGTGAGGCGAGGTATCGTGGGGAACCGGTGGTGAAGGCGCGATGACAAGGCAGGCGATTTTAATAACCCTCGCGATCAGCCTGGGCGTGGGCAGACCGCATTCCAGTCGTGAACGGACAAAATTCCAGGATGTGTACACGCAAAAAAAAATACATGAGCAATTTGCCGTAGATATTTCCCAACGGCAGCAAGGGACGCAACCGTTGACTCTGGCTCAGTGACACAAGTGTGCTGACCGCCTGAATACTCGAGCACAGCAAGAAAAAAAAAAACCTACGTGCGTCTCGGGCGCACATCGGCCCAGCAGGTCGATGAGCGCTGCGTAGAACGTCATGATGGCATTGCCCATGTGGACGGCCTCTTCATCCTCTTCCTCGTCTTCCCTGGAAACATAAAATGCACATGGAGGTCGTCAGTCGACGCTTGTACCGTGTCCTCCGTCTTCCCTAATCCCTCCGTACTCTACCCGTTTCCCCGGGCCGCGTCATCCGTATTACTCCCCCCGACCCTCCCGATAACAAACATTAAAGGGAGACAGACACAAGGGGAGGTATTGGTATGCTTTACAACAACAGGCACTGCACCCACAGTGAAACACACATTTGTCATGGGATGGAAAGCAAGCTGAACGGCCCCCATCCATCGAAGCACAGACCAAGCAGCAGATGAAAAACCGGATGGGAAAATTGTTAAAACAAAAAAATTACCACGGGATTAACCAATGGTCAGCAATCAGGAGGGTAAAAGGCCAGTTCAGTTAGTTGTTTAAAATGGGGGTGGCAGTAGGGTGGGTACCTTGTCCCTACTGATGCCACTAATCTGGAAGGGGGAGTAAAGGAGGAGGAGTAGGAAAAGTAATGGCAGCCAGGGGGTGATAAAATAAACATATACTTTACTTTACCCCCACGTAAAGCTGTTTATTTGCGATTCATCATTCCAGTCCTGGAGTAATCTGGAATGATTCAGACAGGTTCAGCACATAGCACAGCACACCGAGTTGAGACGTTCAAAGAAAATTAAAGCGCCAAAAAATTGAATAGGTTAATGTTTACATTATTTCATATGCTCGTTGAATCACTTGCGACGGCACATGGCAATCGTGCGGTGGCCCTTGCAGGTGTCACGGTTTAACATCTGACAAAGCGTTGCACGGCTCTCCGAGCGTTCGTGACTCTCCGATTTGTTTTCGGCTCGAAGCACACGATGGGAGGAGGTCCGTTCAGTCGATGGAATCAGTCCTTGAATGCTGTTCCTCAAGTTACCTCCCAGCACGTGGAGCAAAATGTTAGCGGACGTTGTGCCCGAACAGCACTTCGGGGCCAGCCCAAAAACACGTCGGGAGGGCTGAATAGATCGCCGTCCGACGTCTCTGCTCCGCGTGCTCGAAAGCTTAAGTTCCTTAAGTTCATGAAGCTCTCAGCGTGTGCACCGAAAACGTCGAACATCATGCCGAACTGCGCGCGGTACAATTACAAACAAAAAACTTCGGAGAGCCACGCGGCCGAACTGCAAAAGGCCTGCGCGTGGATGCAAGCTGTCCCTCGACTGAGATGAGCTATAGGCTCCTTCCTGAGGACCACTCTTGGGTCTCGGATCGAACAGCAAAGAGTCAGCATGGCTCTCACACGTGCACGATCATAAATAAGCAGCAGTTAAATCTGTCTGATTCCGCAAGGTTAGCGATCTGTGATTTGGTTGTCGGTTTATATGTTCAGCGTACGCGGATAACTTACTTAATATACTATACAACAAACATCACACAAGTGTTTGGTTATATATAGGTACAAAGACAAAGATCCCCTGTATAGCCTCAAAATACTGTTTGGGAAAGTGCTGTTAGCGAGCACCGATGAAGGCCGGCACGGCACAGGAGGGGGTGGGTGGCCAACACCATGCCCAGCCGCCTTTGTCTCCCTAGTGGCATTATTTTTACACATAGGGCTAGGTACTCAATTGAGGCTGAGTCGACCTAGGGGAGGCCAAGGACCGGTTCATATAATCGCTGTCACCGGTGTTGCCCGTGAGCGGGAATCGAACTCGGGTCTCTGGGTTCGTAGCGCAGCGTAGCGCTTACCGCTACACTAACGCTCCACATATATGTAGATGTACAAACACGCACACACGCACACGGAACCTGTAAACAAATAAGAATGCACAAGAGCAGGCGAGAAAGTTAGTGTCGTGATCCCAGCGGTGGCAAACAGCCCTGTGGGGCGGGCAACCCGGACAATGGAGAGAGACGGTGGTCTCACGTGCACGCACAGTCGGTTATGGTTAGTGGGGTCAAGAGTGGTTGTGTCATCAGGATAGACCAGCCCTGCTATAGGAAAGTAATTTCTTTTTTTTTACCATTGGCTCAGGGGCACAAATTAAGACAGGCAACGCAACGTGTCCTTAACTTTGGGGACGGCGGGATCATAGTGGGAGAAATGTGTGCGCATTATGATCTCAAGTCCTTCATCCGACTTTGTAGGCACCTATGAGGGAAGTGTGGCCTTGTGGTAGATTACAGGTATTAACAGGAAGATAACAACACGAATGTCATGAATAATAATAAGAATGCGGATATCAACATTTTGAAGCAGACAATTAGAAATTCTGCCGAAATAACCGAAATATCAAACACAACGAAAGAATTTTGATTTAAAGCTTTCGTGACTGCAGGGATTCATATTCTTGGTTCTTTCGGTAAAGTGACTTTACCGAAAGAACCAAGAATACAACGAAAGAAGTCAAAAATGCAATGATAAAGCAGGGTAAGTGATTGAAGATATACCATTTTAGATACACTTCCACCACCCCCATTATAAATGAGATCTCAATTGCGTTTCCAACGCAAGGCTAAAGTCAGGCAGTCATCACAGTCAATATTGTGAACTCAATGTTGTTGTTTTCACAACAAGATCTGGCGACTGCTTTCTCTCCTCCTCCGTTCTGCCGCGACATCTCACGAGCTCTTGCAACTTCATCGCTCGACCTCCAAGCGATGCCCTTACAATGTCTCGCCATCCGACCTTCAATACCTCCCCTTGGTCCCTCACCTCCGGATGCCACCCCGATGCCCGTCTCAGTAACCCGCCATCCACCATCCAAACGCTTGTGCCTGGGCCCATTTAAGCCTCCCACTTAAAAAAAAAAATTCACCTGTACTACATTCCTACAACAAACGCATTCTGAATTTCCACATTGCTAGCTATCTCCGAGAGCATAACAGTCTTATTGTTCTCCACAGGTAACAATACTCAAACGGTCTGAATCTAACTTTCTATAATAGAGCTTGTTTGGTCAAACTCTTCACCTTGCACAGCAAAAAGCAGGAATTATGCCTTCGTTAAAAGAAGCAAAGAAATACTTATTTTGTTTTCCAAAACAGAAAAGCAGGGCATCTCATCAAATAACTTTTCCAAATAGGCCTGAGGCATAATCCTAGTAGCTAGTGGTACTTCATCAGCCTGCGCAGATGAGTTTTTCATTGTATCTTCCATCACTTGAACTGCACAGTTGGGCTTTAGCAAATCCACTCCATTGCTAAAAATAATGTTACAACGCTTTTGTTTTGATGCCACTGGTGAGCAAGGCTGAGCCCATCAAATTGCATATCACGCGAACCCAGTTGTTTTAATGCACTGTATCACTGCACATTTCCAATTTTTTTGTTGTTGTTAAAACGTAGAACGAAGCCCCGAGCTCGCTTGAGGACGGAGGCAATTTGTCTCGACCCCCCAGGGCTGGTGCCTTACGAGGCTACGGCACGCGGGACGCACATGGGTCGTCGTGCCGTGTCGGTGCAGGCAGACGGGCCGTCCCGGTCGGGGTCCTCGGAGATGGTGATGGCCTCCTTCATTGCGCCCAGCAGGCCCTGGCCCCCCTCTCCGCGCAGCGCCGGCCCAAAGCACTCGGGCCGCCGGATAAGCAGCCGCACCACCACGTTGGCGTTTTCCTCCACGCTTTCGCCTGCTCTCTCCATGAGCCACCCACAAAATTGAAATCGTTGATGTCAACAGAATACTGTACTCTATCATAAAAAAGTATTTTTTTTGTTTTACGTATGTATGTATGTATGCATGCAAATTAGAAGTGCGGTGGGGAAGGACAAAAAACTAAACACAAAAATTAGTTCTCAAGAAATTAGTTTTCGATATAGATATAAATGTGCCATAGCTCCAGTGGCTTCCGAATACAATTCTTAGTTTGTGCTGTGTAGCTCTCCGACGCGTCTTGTGGATGTAACGTGCATTGTTTCGGCTTGGAAATTCAGTTTCTGAAAAAGCTCCCAACCGCACCAAGAGTGGAACATTGGGCATCAGGTGAAATGATACGCAGTATACAACCCGAAGTCACATCGCAGAGCTGTAAATCTATGATTCAACCAGCGAGGTTTCACAACAGAAGAGTCACAGGCACATTCTGGGATAAGGTCATCAAACCACAGGCCGGACGGTGGTGGCTATGCACGCCTGTAATCCAGTACTTTGGAGGCTGAAGACATCTGAATCTCATATGCTCCCTTTATTCGATTTGCACAGCAACTAAGCGATGCAGTTACATAAATGACGTGACTATATAAAACCTCAATTATTAGTATTATTATCATGGGCACTATCTAGTGCATCACGTAAGATGATATTGTGGTACAACCTCATTATACTTTTACAAAATGTACGGAACACCACTCAATAATTATGATATAGCCTGTGTTGAACACTATATACAATGCATGATTGTATAAATACGTGTAACCCGTGTGCATACCGGAATATCCTACTACTACAGGAAATATTAAAGAAACATGTCTATGTCACCCATTGATATTGTTAGTGACAAACGTAACATTACGTATATAGATAAAATGTACAAATGGTGACGATTGCGTTGTTGGTTAATGATCGTCAGAAATATGTTTTTGATATTGTGCCCTAAATGCCGGGGAGCCTCAGAGCACTTTACATCATCACATCTCATTTAAACTCGTTTAAAAGGGCACCCCCAGTGGCAGCTGTCCCTGTGGGGCACAAGTTAACTGGCAGCTCCTGGCCGGCAAACGTCCATGAGTCTGCCAGTAGCCAGTAGGGGGAGGGCGATATAACGATGATTATGATAATGGTGGTGGTGGCAATAGAATGTGTTGTAGAATTAGGATGGCTTTTAATTTTGCTACAAATAGCGTGTATAACAAAGCCTTCAGAGCGGCTGTAGAATCAGCACCGTTGACAAAGACGGTGAATCGGAGGAAGTCAAGGTACCGCTCCCCCTCCACGGGATTCCAACCGATGTCGGGGTAGCCACGGGTCAGGAGCATTGGGCAGCTCTGCAAGCCGCAGCGTGCCAGGTAGCGGCCCACCTACGGCAAACAACACAACAGCACGTATATGTATGTGTCTTGAACTTCTTTCGCACCATACGTAGCAAACCATGCTAATTGGAGGTGTGGGGAAGGACAACAAACAAAACACAAAAAACATTTCTAAAGAAATGAGTTTTCAATATAGATTTAAAAGTGCATATCTCCAGTAGCTTCCCAATATCGGAAGGAAGAGCATTCCCGACGGCCGCAGAAGCGCATCTGAAGGCGCGCAATGAGGTGACCGTCTTTTGTTTGATGGTTAGCCCAAAAGCTGCTGCGAGGATGACCGCAGTTCGCTTGATGGGTTATGCCCCTTGACGAGATCAACAAGGTATTGTGGTTCATAACAGCAGAACGCTTCACGTAATGATAAACATGTACTTCCGCGCAGTTCTTCGCGGTTGTGCTCAATAGCTCTCTCCGATGCGTTTTCAGGTTGTCTCACGTGTTTTTCAGTCTGCATGGATTTAAGCCAGTTGCATTTCGCTTCCTCAAGAAGCTCCCAGCACGCGGAGAGAAAAGTCGGACGAAGGATGTCTTACCGTACGACACGCGGCAAGACCCGAAAACACATCAACCGATGTTCGTCTTTGCTGGTGGCACTGAGCCAGGGGTGGAAATTCCATATGGCAGGGGCCAGTCCCTCCATAGGACAAACAACCAGCGAATTCTCACAAATTGGTAGTCAGTTTATGAATTGTGCAGAGATGATAGGCCAAGTCAATCTATGACCGGGATTTGAACTCGCAGCTTTCCAAGTCTTGAGTATGTGCTCCAATAACCTGCCTGAGCAGATAAGAATCATAATTTCAGTAATTAATAACGACAATTTATAAATCGCCAAGAAAGACATTATAGAGCATATCAAAACTCTTTTAGGAAAGGTACTTTTTAGAAAATTACTAATTTATTCTGAATTTTCCTTGTTTAAAATGAATGTCTGGGACACACAGATCATGAAGAACATACATAGTTCACATATACCGCGCATTGGGATCTACAGATGAAATACGCCTAACGAGTAAAAAATATTATTACTTTATTAAAGTTATTCCCTCACACTAAACTGTATGTGTGGATTTATTATCTGGTACTCCAGTATCATCACATGCAAAATCACTTAATCAAAATTGGGCCAAGGTGGCCAATAGGTTCAGAGGTCACGGCAATGAGCCAGTATCCCTGAGATTCTGGATTTGAATGCAGGTAGCCACCCCATAATTAAATACGGTCCTCAGATTAGTGAGTTAATGGTCTCATTCCTGGACACATAATGGTTGCACAAGAAAGCTTTTACATTAAAAAAAAATTCCACTTTGGCTGAAATTTTTAAAATCGCCGTTTGATTATCGTGCCACTAAGTCCAATGTCACAGCAAGTACATTGGAAAGCACGCCTCTGTTGTGTAAAGATGACAGAGCAAATTGGAGAGCTTTTCAGAAATATGTTCTGTCAAAGCCTATTGCACAACCATTCTCAGAAGAATGAGGTCACGCACAAATGGATTCTTTGTCTCATGACATGATGCTGATAGCACACCGGGAACAACATTTGAAAACAAAAATTACTCAATCATGCCATGTAGGATCTTCTAGGAAAAGCCTTTCCTAAATAGAGCGAGAATTATCTGACTTACACCAACAGAGCAAGCGGCCACAAGCTGTAACTTAAAGGCATGTGCCTGCCTAAACTGCAAAAAAACGTGAAGAGAATCACAGTAGGAACTCATTGCCATTGAAGCTGACCACATGAACACCACTTTACCACCCAGGGAACTCAAAACATCCCTGACAACACAAAGCACGGCTAAAGGTTCTGAGCTGTCAAAGGGCTGGGAGGAAGAACACACGCATTATTGATCTCCGAGTCCTGCAGACTGAAGGACTTTCATGTGGACAGTGGTAAAATGACACGAGAAAAGAAAAAAACCCTCTACGAGGCCCATAGATTTCCCCCGTCACTTTACAACGCACGCCCATCCACTGCAGGCCCGCTCGCAGTAAAAGAAGCCTCGAGACTCGGGATCTCGGCGAGGGCTTCCCCCCCCCCCTTCCCGTTGCACTCGTGAAGCGAGCCGTGCGGGGACGATTGCTGGCCCATGTGGTTGCACCTTCTCCAGCTCGGGCTCGCGGAGCGCCAGCGCCAGCTCGTTGTTGTCCATGACGGAGGCGGCGGCCACGTCCAGCGGCGTGGAGCCGCGCATCGACGGGGAGGCTGCGGGCGACGTCCACAAAAAAAACACACGGGCGACAAGTCACGCGTATGTGCGGATTCCGTGAGCCTTTGCAGCGTGCGGCTGAAGTCTGCGTTGGCGGGGTGGAAGCCGACGCCCTAGCTGTTAAGGTAAAATGCGTTTGCATATTTGGTCGTGTCTTTTTTTTTATTTAAGGCACTGCACGTACCCCCAAAACAAAAACACGCAAGCACACCGACAACAACAACAGCAGCAGCAGCTGTCAATCACCACTGAGTGGCGGTAACGTTGCCACAGTGCTTGTGCCAGGCTCGAATTACAAATATTTGTTTTTGATAAAGTGCCCTATAACCCAGGGTGTCTCAGAGCACTTAACATGACATCTGATCACATCTCATCTCAAACATGTGAAATGGCACTCCCAGTTGCGGCTGTCCCCCTATGGGCACAAGTTGACTCCAGGCCTGCAATTTGGCATGTATGCCAGGAGGGGGCGATGATTGCGATGTATCATCCCAATTGAGTAATTTGCTTAATCCAAACCAAAGCTTCACCTAACCTAGCCTAGAGAGCTCACCCCAAACCCAAGTGTGGCAACTCTAATCAGATCCAAACCCAACCCTCAGCTAACCTAGCCCGTTCCGAACAATAGTGGGGCGCCACGGTGACGAGATGTTAACTAGCTCGTCTGGTATACAAGAGGTCATGGGTTCGATCCTGAACCTGACACCTATATATTTGGAATTTGTGTATTCTCTCTGTGATCGCGTGAAACTTCCTCCGGGTTATCCCTCTACATTTAGAATAAACATGCGTGTTTTTTGGCTGCTATAAATTTCCACCTTATAAGCCACTTCGTTGAGCTATCATTTCTTGGCCAGGTTGCTTCTGAAAAAGAGACATATAGCTCAGTGGGCCGTACCGAGTAAAATAAAAAAAATGGTCTAAGTTTAGAGTGCGGGGCTGCCGAAGTGTGGGCCACACACCGAGCCCGACGCTGCTGTTCTCCAGGAGATAGCCGAGGTGCTCGAACATGGCTCGCTGGTTCTGCCGGCTGATGCGGCAGAAGTAGCACAAGAAGCGGCAGCAGTTGGCCACCATCTTGGGGAACGCGATCTCCTGTGGGGGGGGAGGAGCACGGTCACGAGTCAAATCTCGCTGGAGAGGAGCGACCATGCGTCTGTGCGACCGAAGATGAAATGTTTTTTTGGTGGACGCCGCACGCCAATAAGAAGTCGACCGGGTTCCACAGCTACATTCATTACGGACTTAAAAGTGCTTGCCACAAATGAACCACGATTCCTTGCTGATCTCGTCAAGAAGCATAAACCATCACGCCAACTTTGGTCAACCTCGCAGCGGCTTTTGGCTAACCATCGAACGAAGGTGGTCACTGCATCGCGCGCTTTCAGATGCACTTCTATGGCCGTCTGAAACGCTCTTCGTTCCAATATTAGGAAGCCACTGGAGCTATTCATTTTTTTATGTAGACTGAAAACTAATTTGTTTAGAACTGCTTTTGCGTTTAGTTTGGTGTCCTTTCCCCACACCTCCGATTAGCACACTTGGTTACGTACGTTGCGAAAGAAGTTCAACGTACATTTGTGGGCACAGGCCCCCACGCACGGACAGCGATGAACAACAAAAACACGGCGCATTGCTGAGCGCGACAGGGAGAGAGAAAGCTGCAGACAACGGGTGGCGGACTAACGTGGCAGACCGGCTACACCAAAGATGCGGCCCATTGCCGAGAGTGACAGAGAGTGGATGGGAGGGGGAATGCACCTTGGACTTTCCCCCGCCCAGCACGTTCACCATGACCTCCATGACCGTCTCGTGCATGCCCAGCGCTCTCATGAGGTTGGGGTGCTGGTAGAAAACCTTGTTGTTCATGATGTCCCTGCAAGGCAGAGTATTCAGGGTTATCATTGTGTTTTTTTGTGAGAAGATTTTAACACGTTAACACCTCTCACTCGCGAGTATGGCCAAAGTCCAGGTCAGAGTGCTTTCCTGCTCAAGTGATTGTGAGGCATCGCTCACCTTGGTTGGGGCCCTGAGCTTATGGATATTACACATTCTTATGATAGAGGTCGATCTCTCCATAGAACAACGCCAATTCCCCTACATAGTGACAATAAACCAACGGTCTTCAATTGAACAAAAAAAGCCTCACCTAAGTTCAAGACTACGTTACGACTCTGCTTGGCGTGTTCAGTCAGCTCCCCGGTGAGCATTTCTGCAAATGGGGAGGAAGCTACGGCGGTCCAACACGGCCTTCGCGACTGTCGCTGAGCCACCGCCCATCGTCAGTCGGCCTACACCGCAAGCAAACGCCGCGGGGGCTCCCCGCCGGCGGCGGCCGGGCCCGCCGCGTACCCGAGGCCGCGTATCATGAGCTTCTCCTCCTCGCGGCCCATGCGCACGCTGAGCAGCGAGCGGATCTGCGTGAGCGCCGCCAGCAGGGCGATGGTGTCCTCGACGGAGGCGGCGCTGATGGTGTAGGCGCGCGGCAGGGCGCGCACTAGCTCGCCCACGCCGTCGTACTGCCGGTGGAGCAGCGTGAACATGGCCGTGACGAGCGCCGGGTCGGCCACGTGTGACTCCTGCGCCCAGCGCACCAGCGTCCCCGAGATGAGCTGCTGCAGGCAGTCTGCCGGGGGTCAAACACGGTTTGGCGCGGTGGTGAGGAGCGGAGCGGAGTGGAGGGGAGTGGGGGGGGGGGGGTAGGGGAGCCGGCTCGGGAAGGAGGAGCATCAACCATCACGAGAACTGCGGTCACCCTCACAGCGGCCTTTAGCTGCTAGCCATTGAACAAATGCGGTCACTGCATCGCGCGCTTTCAGACACGCTTCTGCGGCCGTCTGGAACGCTCTTCCTTCCGACATTAGGAAACCACTGGAGCTACGCACTTTTATATCTATATTGAAAACTCATTTCTTTAGAAATGGTTTTTGGTGTTTAGTTTGTTGTCCTTCCCCACACCTCCAATTAGCAGGGTTTGGCTACGTACGGTGCGTAAGAAGTTCAACGTACATACAGCGAAGAGCGTGTGAGTGGAAGGACAGAAGGGGAGAGTGAAGAAAGACTGACAGGAGGGATTTAGGGATGAGATTAAAAGTAGGGAGGAAAAGAGACTGAAGAAAATGGAACTGAATGAGGAAGGAAGCAGAGAGGAAAGAACGGTGGTAGGGATTGAATGGAGGACAGGAAGGCAGAATGCAGGAAGAGAGGGAGAGTGAGAAAGAAAGGAGTTGGAATGGAGTTAAATGAGCGGAGGGCAGTATGGAGCGAGCGAGGGCAGAAGAAGGAAGCAGTGTGTGAACGATGTTTCAATCTGGATTGCGACCGCACCTGATTGACCACGATTATTATCTTTAAAATGGCTGGACCACATCATTTTGGAAATGTTCCCACTGTTGGTAATGAAAACATCGACACTTTTTCGCAAAATAAATCAGAAGATGATGAACATTTGTGAAGATGAGACTCTGGCGCATTATGTCTATGATCTTCTGTATGTAAACTAACTCTGTGCGTGAGATAAACTCGTTTGGATAGGTTTACCATTGCAAACACTTTCACATATAAGTACCATCTAGATGGAGCTTATTACCATTGGTACTTTATTGGATTGGCGCATTGGTTAAAATTGAATCTCATCTGAAAATGTACTTATTGTACCGATGTATCTCAATTACGGTAGCTCAAGCCCCCTGTACATCACGTGACTTCTGTTTGGCCACCCACGCTCTGAACCCCTCCCCCGCTGCCCCCTGTGAAAATCAGTGCCGAGACCCTCATGTAGCCTCCTTCTCATCCTCAACTCTACTGACCCTTTGCTCCTGTTTTCTCCGTTCCTTTTCCATCATCTTCATCTCACGTCCCACGGTGGTGAGATGTTAACTACCTCGCCTGGTATACAGGAAGTCGTGGAATCAATCCCGACCCTGACGCCTGTGTGTTTGCATGTTTTCTCTGTGTTTAGGGCATTTGGCTACTATTAAATTCCACATCATAAGCCTCTGTATTGATTTTCATGGTCCATTTTCTTTATCCATACATTACATCCTTGACTCTAAACTCCTCTTCCTATAGTGTGCCCCAGGCACAAAGTTACTTGTGTCTTACAAGGGAAGAATATGGCCGTAATGTTATCTTCTTATTTCCAAATTCAATATAAAACAAAATTCATCAGCTGACCCCCGTTTGAGTGCGTGTGCACACGATATTTTAATGAAATAATCATTCAGAAAATAATTTCCCATTCATTTTTAAGGCTAAACATCGCGTTGAGGAAGTCAATGAAATTACCGACAAGAATTATTTCTTAATGAACGTGAATATAAATAGCACAGTGAATACACATGTAAACAAACTCTCAAGATGGCTCAGGCCAGCTGACGATGCATCACACGATTGAAACCGTATCGCATTCCAACCAAAGCAGATTAACTGACACAAACAGTGGCCAGTTGCATTCGAATCTGCTATCCTAATTAAGCCCCTAATTATAACCGAGGAATGGCTTGCCCCACCGTAATCCAACGCGCCTGTGGCCTTGCCAGGAGAGCAACCGTCATGGATAGAATTGAGGAGCGGTGTAGGAGGGGAGGGGAGGAGGGGGGGGGGGCACACGAGATGGAGTGGCCGGGAGAATCAACGGGAGTCCTGGACCTTTTTTAGACGGCTCGCGGAAAGAAACCCAACAGTCGCTGACCTCGTGGGTATTGCGCAATCGCAGGGCGATTCCCTGCTTTGGACTCGCGGGACTTGTGCCCCTCCGCCCATACGCGTTTTGTGTCTCTGACTTGTCAGGGAGGGTTGTGTGGTTCTTTACTTGGCTGGGTCGACGTGACTAAACTTAACTATTTTTTGTTTATTTTACCAGGTAAGACCCACTGAGCTACACAGCTCTTTTTCAGAAGCGACCTGGCCACAAATGATAGCTCAACGAAGTAGTGGCTCATCATCACGTGGGAATTTATAGCAGACACACATACTCTAAATGCATGGTTTTAAATGCGGAGGGAGAAACCGGAGGATCCGGAGAAAAATCCACGCGACCACGGGGATAGAGATATACAGGCCTCGTCAGGGTCGGGATCGAACCCACGACATCCTGTATACCAGGCGAGGGAGTTAATATCTCACCACTGCGGCACCCACACTGGGACCACCACATACGTGTGGAATACAGCACTCTGAAGGCAGGGTTTGGTCATGCAGCCATCTGCATGGTCATGCGTGTGTCTTCAAGCCTGTACAATGCAATATTGTGAGCAGACTGTTAAGTTACCATAAAATTAGCGAATTCCCACCGCCAGCTCAGCGCCACCAAGAGATGACCACTCTCCCATTACTCACTCTATTTCATTTTGAGTGGCATTTTCAGCGACATGGTCTGAGCGAACGGTCCTATGTGTGTAACTGTGCCAGAGAGAGTGGGAATACTATAAGGGTCGACTCTGGCTGAACAGATGCCGACTTGTGCAGCAGCTGAGGTACCTGGTAGAGGAAATCAAGCGACGACAAGGCATGGTGGCATCAGTGGACTAGTCGGTGGTGACCTATCGACCTAAACCTGACTGCATTCCACGTCCGAACTGCAACAATAGCGATGCTGCGCCGCTAAGTGACGCGACGGAGCCGTCGCTCCGAGGTCTCCCATTGCCGACAGCTTACTGGGCTTGGAATCGTCCTCCTCCGCTTGAGCGTTTCCATCCTTTTTCCTCAGGTTCTTGACGCGCTCCACCAGCGCCATGAGGCGGCCCGAGAGCGAGGCATCCTGGTCGTCCTCCTGCTCCTCCTCGTCCTCGAGCTCCACCCCTGGTGCACAGAGCGACGACTCTCAGCGCTTAGGGACAGAAAAAAAAGTGCAGCACCGCATCGCGCCGCTCGCCTCCTGGCGTCGACAACAAGGCTGAATGGAAAATCCACAGCGAGGATGCAGTCCCAAAGAGGGTTATGGAAATGCAAATTCACTTGATTCGTCATGGGACCTCCCTTGCGAGCATCAAAATATAAGAATAGGTTTTACCCTTTCTGGCAACAAAAGATATATTCTTGTATTGCAGTCGAAACGTCGTGAGAATTTTATTGTTTATATTTTTATTATTTTATTGTTTCCCTTCTACGTGACTTTACCGAAAGAACCAAGAATGTGAATCCCTGCAGTCACGAAAGCTTTAAATCAAAATTGAGTGGTTAAGATGCTAAATACTATCAGAACACACGTATCTGTGGTTAATGCAGACATGATTCCTTGCAAAAGGTTTCAGTTTAGTGTTTTAACATCTTAACACAAACTGTTTTATTGACTTGTATTTAATTTACCTTTAATTTACATTTTGAAGTGCTTCATTTTATGAAAAAGACAGAACGCAGCTTTGTGAAACATTTGGCGAGAGAGAGAGCAAAGTCTACAGGGTTGTTAACTTTTAAATACAAGGTAAATTTGGGTGTAATTCTGCAATTCAAAAGGGAAATGGTTGGAGCGCATGTTTGCTCTGCCGATGCCAACCAATCATAAATTATGGGCGGGGCATGGGGATTCCACCACAGCATTGTAATTTAATGGTGTTATGCTCGCCCAAGGTCAGAGCCAACCAATCAGGCTCCAATTCTTCCGATGCACATGGTGACAGAATCATCAGAATCGTTGCCGGAACCTTTGTCGAGGAGTGTGCCACCATGCCTTTCGACACACTCAGCCTGGTGACCACACTCCCCAATGACGGAATGCTGCTCTTGAATTGAGGAAACACGTTCCGTAATAATGCGAAACTGCCTCGGCTCTGGCGCTGGACCATTCTGCCACACAAGTAATGTAAGATGGAAGAAAGCATTCTGAAGTGAAGGGAAGATCCATTCCTGAAATAAAATAAAACGTGAAGGTTTCCTCTGCAAGGCCACGATTCCACCAAATGGGGATGGAACGAGGGTCGTAAACGTGTCGCGAATTGGACATAAAATGCACTTTTTATAAATAATTATTTAGGGCTCTGAAAATATTATACAACATGAACCAAAATGCACGGCTCAGCACGCCTATAACCCAGTTCTTTGGAAGCAGGGTGTGTGGATGGTGTAGGGAACATGACACTCGCGGTCCGCTGGGGCTGGTAGCTGGCCAAACGATTCGAGGAGATGGGCCTCTTTACAGCACAATCCTTGAACCGCACACGACTCTGCGCAGCTTCGAAAGCCACTGTAAGGGTATTCTTTACTACGACTATGCACTCAATACAAAAAACCTTTACTCACCGCATTTCGCTCGGGACTGTCACCAAATGAATGTATGATCCTATTTTTATATTCGCAACTAAAGTATCTATCAGCCGCTGACAGGCAAGAGATTAAAGTCTTTAAGGGCTCCAAATATTACGCGTGCATATGTGGGCGTTGGACAAAAACATTCCAAGGCCAGTCCAGATACTCAATTTAGCCCCAGCTGAGCGATCTGCAACGTGTACTATTTAACGTAATGTTTAAGATCAAGGCACGGTCCAAAGCACAACGATTAATTATTGAGCATCAAGCAATCGGAGTTTTGCATAATTCATTCCAGGTGGCTCTGCACTTTTGTCCCCCCCCCCCCCCCGCGCGCGGTTGGCTACTTACGTTGCGAAATAAGTTCAACATACATATATACATACTAGTCCTAGACCTATTTCGTCACTCAGTTTTAAAATGTAACACTGGTGCACCCATTTGCACTGGTGGGTGGACAGCGGTGGAGAAACTTAAGAAACGGTCCGCATGTTTGGCGGAACCGAACTGGCGACTTCTGGAATGCAAGCGCAGTGTTCCAACCATTGCACCACAGGAAGCGCAGCCCGCGCGGTGCAATGTCCAAGAAATTAGGAGTAAAGAGTGAAATAAGCCCCGTTTGTGGGGGCCTGGAGCACACTGGATTTAACGGGCCCATCTTCGTCAAGCCAATGCAAAGCCACGCGACAAATCCGTCAATACATCAGTGCACGCACGCGAACTGATTGCGCTCTGACAGACGAGAGTGGGAATGGCTGCTCGTGCAAAAGATGATGCCCTCTGGGGAGCTGGCGAAAGAATTTACTTGATCGGACATGAGGACGAGTTAAGCCTGTCTGGGCCAGGCAACTTGTTGCCTACGTGGCTGCAGGCTCCATGAATAAAGAGCCACCCCACGTCGCATTTTAATTTAACTCGTCGGCACACGGCTCCCACGAGACTCCCTTCTCCAGGCAGTTTAAACGGCTCCTGAAATAAATCCGGGAAAGTCCTAGTAAGAAGACAGATGCATGAGTGCGTGTGCAGGAGCACACATGCGGCATTGTACAAACAACAGTAACGTGCCCGAGTGCAAACCTGTTACTCGTGACGGTGCCTCACACACACGTGGACGGCTGTCTGCTGCGGTTCCCACAAAGGCAACAAGACAAAGATAAAGATCCCCTGTATAGCCTTCAAGGACTGTTCAGGCAAGTGCTGTTAGCGAGCACTTATGAAGGCCGGAACGGCACATCAGGGGGTGGGTGGCCAGCACCACGCCCGACCGCCTTTGTCTCCCCAGTGGCGATGTTTATATGTACTGCACCAGGTAATCATTTGAGGCTGAGTCGACCTACGGGAGGCCCAGGACCGGTTCAGATAATTGTAACCATTGGCCGTGAGCGAGGATCGAACTCGGGTCGCCAGGTTCGTAGCGCAGCGCGCTAACCACTCTCACAAAGGTACACGGGGGCACAAAAGCGCAATTACATTGGCTCGTGAACAGGTGAGCACAAATGGGTACGTGCGTGCACATGCATGTAAACACATTGTGCACGTATGCACACACGTACAGCAACGGCCGGCAATCGTGACGAAGCAACGGTGACGCCGGTACGATGCTTATGCCAGGACTCGGTACGCCCGGGTGCTAATTACTTGATCGGAGAACCTGCCTCAGGTCAGGTGCAAGGTGACTCGAGACCATGTGGATTGGGGGAGTGGTGAAGGCTCTTGGCAGTAGGTCAATGGAGAGACCCATATGACGTGACGTGGGCTAACAGACTGGAGTGGCTGAGCTATGCATATTCTGTGCTTCTCAAGAACAAAACTGTCATTTGTCACTAATTATTATCGATGCTGTAACCGCAGTACTTGTATCAAGACAGGTGAACTTTGAGGCCACGTGATGTGTCGAGGGCTTGACAGCAGGAAGTCTCGGGACAGAGCCAGGTGTTATGGGCTAACTGACCTAGACAACTGACAGATGCACCTCCTGCGCTCCCCCACTGTGCCTACGCGTTTCTCTGCCCTTCCTGCTTGGTGGAGGGTGGCTACCTCCAATTGCCGAGTTTCATCTTTCATGAGCCTCCTCCTCCTCCCCCCCACACACACACGCACCTGCCTGTGTGCACACGCACGCACGCACCTGCCCGTGTGTACACGCACGCACCTGCCCATGTACACACGCACCTGCCCGTGTGAACACGCACGCACGCACCTGCCCGTGTGCACACGCACCTGCCCGTGTACACACGCACGCACGTACCTGCCCGTGTGTACACATGCACGCACGCACCTGCCTGTGTGCACACACGCACGCACGTACCACAGTGCAGCAGCAGGTCGTCATGGAAGTCGAGCAAAAGTTCTCGGGCATCTTCAGGGCATGGACACTCCTCCTCACTCTCTCCGTTCTTGAAGTTGAGCAGCGTGTTAATCTACAGAGAGAACCGGGGGGGGGGGGGGGGGGACAGAGCGGGGGAGGGAGTGGGGGGAGAGATGGCGAGAGGATTAATTTCGCGGAGCTACGGCAACGAGGACAGAATGTGTAGGTGGAAAGCATGAAATGCCATGCCGCAGCATGCGTGGAAGCGCGCATCTCTAACACGTGGTGCTCGCTGATATCGCACTCGGTAGTTATCTACCAACAAGTGTTCCTCTCCCAACCTCCCACCTATGGTGCACGGTAGGGGGCCGCTCCTTCTCCTCTTGATACTCATGCTGTCCTAGAAACACCTCTCAATTGCTATTTGAAGCGATTTAAAGCCAGGCGGCCGAGTGCACTCGTGAAGCCTAACAGCAGCACTGCGCACACTACTGAGACCCAAAGTTCAAACGTGACCAGCCGCTTGCGAATAAGCCAGGGTTCTCGAGTGCAGCGAGCCGATGGTCTCAGCCCGGTGACAAAAGAACTCCCCCATCCAGCAGAGGTTGAGAGCTGGGTTGCTGATCCAGGAGGGTGAAGCACGGATGAAAGCGGTTGCCACCGAAAGCCCACTTTCCACCCAAAAACACAACTACAAATAGGGCGGCGCCGTTAGCCACAATTACAATGATAATTGGCATCGCGATTGCAATCCATTACGGATCGCATGATGACGGTGGAGATGGAGACCAGCCCCAGCACCCCCGCTCGATCCTCACCTGCTCCTGGGGAGGGGAGCGGAACTCCTTGGTCTTGCGCGCGGTGAGCGCAGCGGACATATTGAGCGCTTGCATGACCTCGTTGTAGCGGAACTTCTGGTTCTCCTGCATCTTGATGACGAAGCCGTCCGAGAAGGCCACCAGCGCCTCGATGCGGTGCCGCAGCTGGCAGTCGCACAGGAACTGCAGCAGGTGGCACATCTGCGCGCAGCCCCACAAGCAACGGGGAGTGGTGGTGGTGGCGGGGGGGGTCCCAGCGCACGGTCAGGCGAGCATTTACGAGCACGGAATTCTCGCGGATTCGCGATGAATTTCTGAGATGGGAAACCACAGTGTGCTGTCCAATTGATGGGTAATTAATTAATCAGCTCTGCTTCGGAGTGTGACATGAACCGAAATGAAGAGCAGGATCGTCAAGCTTGGGATGTTCGGCAAAAATCCTTACCGAGTATGGTTGCGTGTGAGATAAAGACGCATGGCCATAGATAATTCACATACTCTATATATACACACACGCAAGCGAATTCATTTAAAACCTACGAAAAACAGATCAGCAATTCAATTGCAGCAGCTGTGTGAATGGGCATCTTTCACACACACACACACACCTCTGCTCTCCACCAACCCAACCTTGAAAGCGGTGGATCAAAAGCGTGCACTACACGCCCAACTCAAATCATTGGCACAAACGGAACTCTAAGCCAGTGAAAGATGCATCATCTCAATTCAGTTTTCCTGGCCTACATGCCCGACTTAGTAAAATAGAAATTCCACAGCTAAACACCAATACATGTTGCAAACAGATGTAAAATCACATATACCTTGGGGCTCAATGCCTGCAAATAGTACTAATGCTATCCCCGCAGGTAGGGTTTTCACCTTTTACTCCAGTACAAGCATTCGTCAATTCACCATTCGACTTACTGCGATTATATCTGTGTGATTATGCCCATTTGCACTTACTTGGGTGATGATGGGAACTCAACAAGGTTCTTCTAAGACTGCAAATGCCAGCCTAATGTGCTATCCCCTGTACGATGTCACATAATCCAGTCATTTCCCATTTACTGTTGGAAGTAATAGCTGCAATTATTATAATTGGGTGCACAGTAATGGTCATCCTGAAAAGGATATGCGTGAAATTACGTCTTGATTTTTAAAGACTATCTAGAAAGTCCTGAAGTTAAGAAGCACGTTTAATACCAATACGGTAGATCATCCATTATCCGGCGACTAAGGGGGGAGGCTTATGTTTGCACATTCCTGCATAACGTTATGTTTTTAGATGTTGTGTATATGTTTCTTAGTGCTTTACATGTGTTTACTGTATGAAATTGGCATAAACATACCAAAATACGAACATTTACTGTTCCGTACTTAGCACTCCAATCTTGAAAGACTCCGCGTGGGGTGATGTACGTAGTTACTACTCAGGCTCTTGTTTAAAAAAAACACATGTTTGACGATCACCGCTACTGGGTTACAGCCACTGGAGCAGTTTCGCCGGATCGGCCCGGGACCTCCGGATAAAGTTAGAAGCTGGATAATCGCACGGTGCAGGGATAATCGATGATCAACTGTATTTAGAATTTTAACCATTCCACATTTCTACATGAAATAAATTACCGCCGGAATTAAACTCTGGAATTCCACTGCTCACACCAGGTTGGTCACCTGCCAGTGTCACCAAAATCAACCGCTGAAGCTTTCCATGAAAAAGGTGCCGTTTCTGTAACAACACCAATTGTTTATAAAAACGTTCAATCAACTTGTGTCGCATATCGTGAACACTTGGATCATTTTCTACCGGCGTCCCGGTAAAACTCCAGCTATTGTGTTCATAAACCTGGAATTGGATCTCGGAGTTTTCAGTGGCAAATAACAAAACAATTGTTTTGCATTCATCAAATCTTACACGAAACAAGCAACACACGTATAAAGTAACCAGGTAAAAGGATTTGAGTCAGTGGCAAAATAAAATGTGGGTGGATCTTTCAGCTTAATGCGCTGTTTATCTAAGCAGGAAAAGCTGCCAGACACACCTTGGACTGCGCTGGGTGGACAATGTATGTATATTCAACTTCTTTTGCACCGTACATAGCCAACCATGCTAATTGGAGGTTCGGGACAATCCTCATGAGTAGCCGGATATTATCGGTAAGTGCCACCGCTGACGGTTACAGCATTCACCAACAAAGAGTTGAGAGGTGGACAGGTTGAGCTGGGGGGTGGGATTTCCATGAAGTGGCTTAAGCAAATGGAACCTTAAAGCCGTTACCCCGACAATCAATTACAGCGCGAGGTGCTCTGTGGAGTTCTAATCAGCAGGACGTGGGCTGGCGAGTCAAACCAATCAACAAGGGGGCATAAATTTCAGGCACCTGCAGCTTCACAGGCTCCTCCAGCTTCATCTGCAGCAGCCCCTCCACTGGCTCCTCATCCTGCTGCTGTGGCCGCTGCTGCTGCTGGACCGCGAGCTCCCCCTCCTCGCCAGCGACCTCGGCTCTGCGACGCTCATCCCTGCCGCCATTGGCGATGGCGAGCGGCGCCCGCCTGTCGCTGGCGCGGTCCTCCCCGCCCCCGCCGCCGCCGCCGCCGCCGCCGCCCTGGCAGGCGAACACGCTGGGATCGACGAGCATGAGGATGCGCTTGACGTCCTCGTTTCCGAACACGCCCATGGTGAGCAGCGTGTGCACCAGCTTGATGAGCGGCACGAACAGGTGCTCCGTGCTGCCGCCCACGGGGTCGCGCGGTTGGCACGCGCCCTCGCGCACCGCCTCCGACAGCATGCCGATGGCCTTCTCCTTGAGCACCGCGAGCGGGAAGTCGGGGCTGAACTGCGCGCCGTCGAGCGAGCGCGACAGGAATCCCACGGACGAGACGCGCATGCGCGGGCGCAGGCTCGTGCTGAGGCCCACGCCGGGCAGCCCGTGCCTCTTGCTCTCGTCGGGGAAGAGCGTGATGCGCCTCGTCTCGTCCGTCATTGGCACGATGAACTCGCGGTTGGTCATGAGGCGCGCCGTGCTGCACGCCTGCAAGTGCAGGCTGATGAGCAGCTGGTAGTAGCCGCTGCGCAGCAGGCCCGGCAAGTACTGGTTCTCGATGGCGAAGAGCAGCTGCGCCTGGTCCACGTGGCTGCAAAGCGCGTGCGCCACGCGGTTGTTTCCCAGGGCGCACACGGCCGAGTAGAGCTTGAGCGTGTGCGCGTGGAACTTGCGCAGGTCCCTCCGCTCGGACAGCTCCAAGATGTCCATGCACCTGCACGGGGAGGGGGGCGGGGAGGGGAGGGGCGTCGCGCACCCCGACACTGTTTCAGTCCCGGCGAATTGTGGCGACGTGTCCCGTGCCCTGCGTCGTACAAACAACGTCGTTGTTTTTGTCTTCGTCGTCGCCTTCTCGCGATTCCCTTCTCTTACCTCGGTGATATTGCACGAGTCTCGGGTGGGCATGGAAAGCTCTCTGAGATACTGTTTGTTATTTAAGCACTAATTATACTGTATACAAATCAAAATCTTAATCCCACGTTGAATAAGTAGCAAAATTAACAGCTATGTAGAGAGATTTGCTTAAACATAGAAATTCAACTGCATTTAATCTGTCAACGGGTATACCAGATCAATGTGCCCCAATAGCATTTATAAAAAAGAAAGGGAAACATTGGGCTGGTTCTGACCTAATCGAGTCCAACTGATGCCTGTTAAACCAGTGCTATTGTTACGGGCAAGGTTTACCTATAGTGGAAAAATTAAGAAGAGCCGAGAGTGTGAACACGGTCACCAATCTCAAACCATGGACCACGTAGCAACGCCACCGTCCACCTCCGTCATTCTCTTGCAGCTTTTTCAGACACTCATCGGGCTACTGTTGAAGCGATCCACTGGCTCACCGACTTCGACTCGAACATTTAAATGCAGTTGCCACACGGAAGAAGACGGCGACGAAGAACAAGAGCACCGCACGCTTGTCTTTGCGCACCGTCACGCGTACGGCGACGTGCGTAGAAGCTCCGCACCTGTTCTCTTCTGGAATCCGCAGAGCCATGAAGACGAGCGGCTCGGTGCACTGCACCTTCCAGCCATGCCGCTCACTCACGCGCCCCGTCTCCACCTTGAGGAAGAGGTTGGGCACGCGGCTCCACAGCACGGGCTTGATCTGCTGCACCACCAGGCGCGGGGGGCACTGCGGCACGGAGTTCCTCCGCTCGCTCTTGAACAGCGCCGCCGACAGAGGCAACGTGTTCTGCATCGGCGCACGTACACGCGCGAGCACGAATGCGCAACGCAACAGATTTATACAATGACGTACGATTCAGGTTGAAACGAGTCATCATTGAGTTTTGTGTTAAGTCAAGCGTTAAGTCACCGAGCCAAACATATGTCGTGAGACCCTCCGCCGCCCGACATTGCCAAAAAAATTCAGCTGTCCCGCCGAGTATGAGCTGCTGAACACGCCAATTCTGACTGTTTCAGTTGCAAAACAATTCTCACCGCAATATTTTTTTAAAATTAGATGCACGACGTTTTGCTTGAATCTGAGTCGAGCATCATCAGGCGAGAGACCAGGAAGCTGGAGTCACCGTGTCACCTGACCCGGCTTCTTCAATTAGTGTGTCATGACATCACAGGAACAACCAATGCTCATTAATGTATACGAATCAAACTATAGATTCGCAGTGCATTTAAAGGCAACTGCACCTCGAGAAGCTATACGGAAACAGTAACACATGAATATTTACTGGACCATTGCTTTCTATTGATGAGCCTTTATGGACGATGGAGGAACATTCTGTTAGAGCACAGCTTTGAAACCCATGTGTATATATATATATAAGTGTCGCATCAGCCAGTCATCTCAGTCAGTCAACCCATGACACCTGGGTCTGTTTCGTGACCTCCTGCCAGCGGGTATTCGACACTTCACGTGGCCTTAGAGTGCACATAGCCGGGCACAAGCCCTGTGGTAATGTTACTGCCACTTAGTGGCGAATGATGGTTGTTGTATATATGCAGAATGTCACGAGAACACCTCTCAATAAAGTTCCACACAGTTCCGACATTCTCCGTTCTGACCCCTTACTCATGCCAGATATTACGACAGTCAAAGTGTCAACGAGTCTTTCGGATAATTACGGCAAAGCTCATCATGTGGTGCCTATCCTGTCTCTAAGTTATTATCAAAAAGTCAAATCGTCATTCAGCTCAAATGGGGGGCAACGTGACGGCGCCCGTGCTGATGGGTGGGGGAGCACCTTGAATCGGCCGAGCTCGAACTGGAACATGCCGGGGCTGGTTGGCTGAACAAAGGCAGCCGGGAACAACTTGGTGCTCGGCTCCACCTGCACATAATGCGCACAACACACACACGCACGGGGCCAAATATTCATACAGACTTTTGGGGCAAGCGCTGTTTGCGAGCATCTATGAAGGCTGGCATGGCACACGAGGGGGTGGGTGGCCAGCACCATGCCCGGCAGCCGCTTTTGTCTCCCTCGTGGCGACGTTGACACACCGCACCAGGACTCGGAGAAAATCCACGCGACCATAGGGAGAAAACGCAAACTCCAAATATTCAGGCGTCAAGGTCGGGATCGAACCCACGACCTCCTGCAGACCAGGCGAGGTAGTTAACATCTCACCACCGTGGTGCCCATTAAACCTCAGAGGCTCTTGATCTCTGCATTAGGCCCAGGTGGTGGGGGCGGGGGGGAGGCGGTGTGGATGGCCCGGCTGCCTTCACCTGGTAGAAGGTGTGCATCTCCTTGCCGTTGGCCGTGAAGGACAGCACGCCATTCGCCACGTCGACCAGGCAGCCGATCTCCAGCCCGCTGTTGTTGCGGCTCTGCTCTGCTGCGGGCACGTCCCCTGCCCACACCATGAAGCAGTTGCTGCGCTTGATGCTGCGTGGCAGTGGTGGTGGGGGGGGGAGAACGCATGGGAAAGCAGGACGCAGATTACACCTTGTAACACGATTTTTATCCCTGGGTAGTAAGTGTCATTTTATTAATTGTTTATGCCTAAAAAGTAGAGAAAATAGCTATTATGTCCCACAAACTTTGCTTTTGTAACTTGGACTTTATGTGAACGAAAGACACAAATGCACACGTTTTCTCATTGAATATATATCACTGTCCTGGTCACAAAACAAAGTTTGTGGAGAATAATAGCCATTTTCTGTACCTTTGAGGCAAAAGCAATTATGAAATAACACTTACTACCCAGGAACAAAAACAAATGTTGTTTCACAGTGTTATTATTATTGTTGTTGTCGTTGTTGTAATGCGTGTTTAACCAGGAAAGCCTAACTTAGTCTCAACACTCATTATTTTGGTGGGCCCTGCCAAGTTTTTAAAGCAAGAAATAAAGATGCTACGGTGTAGTAATCCCATGAGTAATTTACAGGTTATTTTACAGCATGAGGATCTTTGGCCAAAACCAGTTGCATTGTACGTTTTTTTTGTTACGATATGGGAGGAAATCGAAGAACTGGGAGGAAACCCATGTAGAACGGAGGGGAAACCATACAAACTCCACACGGACAGGTGCCCGGTGTCAGGAATTGAACCCAGGCTCTACTTCCTGCGAGGTACAGGTGTGACCATTGCGCCACCCTGCTACCCAATAAAGCAGAGCTTGCTAAGACAGTCACAACCACTGTGGTTGTTGTGGCATTATGTTCCTTGGACAATGTACACATCTGTAATTTGACCAATAAAGCAATGGATTGGTAATGGCATTGATGGAGAGCAAGGCGAGAGGACGTTGAGACAAAAGGGAGAGCTGGGGTATAAACACAATCATAAACATGTAACCTGCACAGAAATGTAGTGAAGAACCAAATAAATCAGCAGAAACGGTACAATCATACAGTACCTCGGAGAAAAATAATCCGTGTAAAATGAAAGCAACTGAAAGGAATGACTGATTGAATTAAGATTGTAAAATCCAAGCCCAAGCTTAATATATCTGGAGCCAGCTGCTATGGTTACCTGCCTCATTCATTTATAGGCGTGATTGCAAATCAGTAATTCAGTCTGTGAAACGGTTTAAGGTGAAATTGCCCATGCTGGAAATATGCAACACAACGAAGTAGAAATAAAAATAACACAAAAGGAATGTGTTCGCAATGACTTACAAGCACGGACCAAATACACATTACCAGAATTGCCATTACAATGTCATTGCCAAAAATGTGAGCCTTCTCATCACAATTATTATCGACGGCCTATATCCTCTTTACAACTTTTTGTTTACTCTTTTTATTTTAGCAGGTAAGGCCCACTGACCTACAGTGAAATTCTATACATTAAAATTATAGACTGATAATTTCTTTGTCAGTGGGCAAACGTACAAAATCAGCAGGGGATCAAATACTTTTTTTCCCTCACTGTATATAGCTCTTTTTCAGAAGCCACCTGGCCACAAATGATAGCTCAACAAAGTGGCTTATCATGTGGAAATTGATAGCATCCAAATGCTGCAAGCACACGTTTCTAAGCGTGGAGGGAAAACCGAAGGACCCGGAGAAAAATCCACGCGATCACGAGGAGAACATGCAAACTCCACCATGGGGGGAGAACATGCAAACTCCAAAATATACAGGCGTCAGGGTCGGGATCGAACCCATACCCGGCGAAATATTCAACATCTTGCCACTGCTGGATGAAGGCCTCCCAAAGCTGTCGCCATCTTGTTTAGCTCTCCCAATGCAACAAACCATCTAGCTCACGTCCACGAGCTGATGGCTGGCCCAGTGTGGAGGCCCATCTGCCAGCAGTGGCATGGGCAAGTGATTGCAGGGCAGATCCTTTGCCATGCAGATATAATGGATTTTCAAGTATGCTGGGCACGCTTTAAATTACATTTGTAAGTGTGCATGCTTGCTAAGCCAAGGGTGGGAATGTGTCTACACGTCTGCAGCCAGTGACAGCTGGCACCTTGCCTGACGTGGCGCCAACGGTAACGTTAAACCAGACGTACAAGCAGCTTTTCGGCAAGTAAACACTCACCGCAGCGTGGCGCTCACTGGAGCTGTCAAGCGTGGGGTTTGGCGGTCTTACCTAACCATGCAATACCGGTAGCTTCTGGAGAATAGCGTGGCTAAGGAGGCGAGAAGAGCTGTTGAGTGATGGAATACAACTTGGATTCACACAGAGTCCAAATATGACCATATCTTCAAACACGTTCCAGAGAAATCATGCATATTTGTTTTATAGAGTGAGGCAGCGAGTCATGGGCAGAGGAACAAAGAAGACGTCTTAAAGCTGGACTTGAAAAAGGGGGCAGCGGAGTGGACAGCACAGATGGCTGGGCGAGGGGGAGTTCCAGACTGTGGAGCGGCAAAGGAGTAAGAGCGACCTCCTGCAAAGCTAATTTCAAAACTAACGTGTGCAATTTTGATTTAAAGCTTTCGTGACTGCAGGGATTCATATTCATCAGGTGATGATTGCTTGTGTTGCAGTCGAAACGTCGTGAGAATGCTATTGTTTTATATTTTTATTATTTTATTGTTTCCCTTCTACGTGACTTTACCGAAAGAACCAATAATATAACGTGTGCAAGTTCATTGGCATTGGCGTACACGCAACACCTAAACACATTTCACCTCCGTCATCGTATACAGTGCCAGAGAGTATGAATATAGAAGGGTTGGTTGGCCGATGGGCAAAATTGGCTATGAAAATGGCAGTCAACGGAGAATCAACCGCACCAGCAGGGACAACCACCGTAGAGATGGATCGCGGCATTGCAGGACCAATAGGAATGGCTACGGCATTGTGGAGGCCTAGTCCAGCTTTAGGTAGATAACGGACGACGTTGCTGGTGAACGTTAACATACACGATTGTGCGATAATGTTTGGGCAACGGCCGTTTTTTATTTATTTATCGCCATTGTGGTTGAATACAGGGCAACCCCTATGGCATAGATCCTGTTATCGGGCAGTGTTAAGTTCATTTGGAAAAATATTTTTTACTGGACAACTAAAGAAGTCATAAATAATATTCTCCAACTCAAAACATAGGATTTTATTTATTATACACTTGACGTAGTTTATAAACTTGAGTGATTTACCCATTAAACTATATATTGCTTGTATATTTTGTGTGTATGTGTACATTTCAAAATGTGAAGAAAAAATTACAACCATTCTCAATCCACAAATGGATGAAGGCCTCCAGATGCCATGTCGGCCATGGATTTTTTTTTCTTTTCACCATACTTCACCGTGCCGGTAAATACTGGTTTGTAAAGCAAGGGGAGGGCAGGACCAGGGTTTTGATGCTAGTCGCCACTGATGTTAGTTGTGGCTAGGAAGCAAGCTCAGATCGCCAGGTTCAAAGCGGCGCACGCTAATCACTGCACGTCCTCCGTTCCACCCGTCCATGTGCATGTACGGTAGATATGATATGTGTAGCTACGGCTCTGAGAACCGTAAAGACCCCTGACATTCCCTGTAACCGATGAAAGCAGCTTCAACTCGATTAGCACTGAGAAAGCTCACAGACAAGGTTAAATAAATGGCTGGATTAACTTTTTTTTAATCAAGATTTGTGATGCCAAGAAACACAAACATAAGATGCATGGCACGGCCATTTCTGTGGGGCTGTTTGGCCAAACGGGTGTCAATGAAGCCATGTGATGACCATGAAAGGCTTTTGGCAACGTCAGCTGTGGATGAAAGATACCTCTCAAAATAAAAAAAAGCAAAAGATAGTTTGGTTGAACTTTGCAAAAACAAGTCTGGTTTAAAAAAAAATCCACCAGAGCTCCATGTATACTATCACCTGCTTGTCAAGTGTCATGTGAAGCCCTAGATTAGACATGCTTGCCAAGGGCATTCTCGATTCTCTCCAGAGAGTCTGCGAGAAAGGGTCCGAATCTTCACAAAGTGAGTGGGGGATTTATTTTTTTAAATCTGCGTACTCAAGCGAATGTTAGGCAGTGCTCATCTCCGCTCAGAGTCCTCAGCCATTCCTGTAGAAGGGGCAGTTCATGAGCGAGATTGTCACATTTGACTTCCAACCAAGTGGTACTAGAATTTGCATGCAGCATACACTGTGTGCAGGTAGAGTGGTGGCACAGTGGTTAGCACACTGCGCTAACAGTGATTGGCACACTGTGCTATGAGGAGTCCAGTGACCTGAGTTTGAAATCATGGCCAACATCTGTGGCGAGTGATTATCTTAAACGGTCCCGAGTGCCCCATTCACCATTTCGCACAGACCAAAGAGGGGAAGTATGGTCAAACCGCACCCCGTGACCGATATGGTGTGGCGAGACCGTTATCCGGGAGTTAAAAGAGAAAGATCCATATTATTACTAATTGTATATACTGTACAGGCATGTTTAATAAAACCCATTTTGTACCTCCGCGATGACTGTGGCCCATCACAAAGCTTGTGGACATTGTGTTTATGTGGAGAGCTCGGCTCTTGTGGACTGTTGTATTTGTTCATTGCCCACGATTACCAAACATTGGAGGAAACCCAAACGTCCAGAGGACACCTACGCTATTCAAGGAGATGATATTCAAAAGTGTGTATGGTCAGGTGAGCAATGCACTTGGTATACAGCCATCTCCAGGCCACTTCCAATCCCAGCAGGTTTGGAGCTTCTCATAGACACACAATGCTGTCTGTGTAATCCACCAATTGCACTTCCATAGCGCCGAATTACAGGTGTCTGTCACCGTGCCTCGGAAAGAATTTGGTTATGCAGTCATCTTGTAGGTGGATGGGAAACACAAGTGAATGGAAAGATGAATAATGGTTGTATTGAAGTTCTCTGAATACACTGGCTTGTCTAGCTTGTAATCCTCAACCTTGGCTCCAAAACATTGAATATCGATCCGCCACAACACCACCAATACAAAGACAAACATCCCCATATAATCTTTAACGGACTATGGGGCAAGTGTCGTTAACGAGCGCCTATGAAGGCCGGCACGGCACTATAAGGGGATGGTAGCCGGCATCACGCCCGACCGCCTTTGTCTCCCTCGTGGCAATATTTACGCACCGCACCAGGTACTCATTTAAGGCTGAGTCGCGTTAGGAGGAGGCGCAGAACCGGTTCAGGTAATCGTCGCTGGTATTGCCCGTGAGTGGGAATGGAACTCGGGTCGGCGGATTTGTAGCGCAGCGCAGCGCTAACCGCTGTGCTACCGCTCCCCACACCACCACCACCACCACCACGTGCGCCTCTCTCCGGCTATGAGGAACTATAAGAAGCACGGCCAGGTGCTGTTCGATCGAGCCGCTGGCACCACCGCCGCACACACCTCTCGTGAACCTTGCCCTTGTCGTCGCCGAGCGTGATGGTGACCGTGCGCACACGGTCCAGGTCGAACGAGCTGTCGTACTGGTGGAAGTCGGGCGTCACCCAGCCCACCCACACGGTGGCCTGCTCCTGGCCCGGGAAGATCCGCACCGAGTAGTAGTACTGTGGGCGCACGCACGCACACACACACACAGGATAATGCATGTAATCCAACACATTCAGTCCTTTAAGGGAGGGTGTAATGGTCAGCATGCATGACTTGCAATCCAGAGGTGAATCATATATTTTCCTAGATGTATGGCCAGTGTTCAAGAATAAGCCAAAATAAACTCGATAGGTGCTCTAGAGTGCCCTGTAGTGGTGAGCAGTGGCGTAAGCAAGGAATTGCAGGGCTCCACCTTTAACCCGGACCTTTATAATGTAGACGATCTCAGATAAGCCATGTTAGCGAGCACCCATTGAAGCTGGCATTGCGAAGAAGGATTGGTGTGGCCATTACCATGCCCCACTGGGTTCTTTAAGTTTTTGACGTTAATGCACTATACTAAGGATGCATTTTATGTTGAGTCGACCAGGGTTGGCCATGCTAGATTGAGCTACATATTGTCACCGGTGTGGATAACGCAAAACTAAATTTGGGTTAATGGGATGGTAATGCAGTGAGTGAGCCGACTCGATGGCGGCGCTGTGGCAGTGGGTGTCGTGATGTGGATACTCACCACGGTGGACTGCAGAAGGGCCTCGAGCTCATCGCGATCAGCTGGCAGTGTCTCTCCCGTCGCCCGGGAGGGCGGCCGCAGCGGCTGGGAGGCCCTGCCCGAGCGCAGCGCAAGGCGGCCAACAGTTAATAAGGGGCACGACGTGCACAGGGGCCCCGTAACGCGCGTGCTGGACGATGCAGAGCATGCGGGCCCCACGTCGTACCTAGCACGAGTGCATATGCCCTGTTGTGTATAACGCACGAAGAACAACGGAGGTTGCGCACACACGAATCCTGCCTCTCCTGAGATAGTGGCTGCGTGCAAAGCAAATTACATGATGCACGCTGGATATATTGAACGTGGCATATGCAAGTATACCCATGCTTTATAAAATATAGTTACATTTAAATTCTACAGCTGGGATTGGGTAATAACACATGCAATATTTCTGGTACATCCACAAACAAGATTATGTTGGGTGGTGCTGGAGTTACAGTGAAAACCGGACTATTATAGCGATTTACCTACAGCAGCGAATTCTATAATGATTAAAAATGATAATAAATTCCAGGGTAGTAATAACAACTAAAAAGTTAAAGTATCTTCCTGCTCAGACAATCGCAGGGCAGAGTTTAAAGTCCATTTGTGCGTCAGCTCTGCCCATCATCGCTTTGGAGCCAATAACATCGGAATTCCGCTGTGGGGAGTTAATGGTGGCCTTTCTATGCATATACTGGCCCACGTCGTGTGAATGGCAATTCAACCACTGGCTCGGGTTCTCCAGTGGAGAGAAGAACCACTGCTCATTTGAGCATCGACTCACCGTCCAAGTCATTCGATCACGCATCCACTTAGCACTCTCTCCCGGTTTAAAACAAAACGAAAACCCAACGCGACAACGCGCACCTATGCTTGGGCTGCAGCAGCAGCTTCTCCTGGGCGTAGTCCTTGTGGTTGTTGGCCTCGTGCTTGGCCCGGTCGTCCGCCGCCGCCTCCTCCTCCTCGCGCTCGCCCCGCCGCTGATCGGCCCGCGAGTTGGCGCGCGAATCGCCGCGGGAGCCCGTGAGCGGCGTGCCCTGCACGGAGCGCCGCAGCACCTCGAACTCCGACTCGGCGTCATCGTCGCCGCCGCCCAGCGTGGACGGCGACGGCGCCGGCAGGCCCCGCCGCCCGAAGTTCTCCTCGCACTCCACGGGCATGCTCAGGCGGAAGAAGGCCAGGTCCGTGTTGCTGTGCTGCGAGCCGAACGTCTTGTGCGACACCTTGAGGCACGGCGGGCTGTCGATGGTGCCGTCTATGCGCGTCACCTGCCACCCGGGGAACGGCGAGCGGCATAGGGGGGAGAGCGGACACAGTGCGTGAGGGGTAGCGGAGGGAGGGAGGAAAAGGCGAAAGCGGGGCACGCAGTGCACGCTATGCGAGTGACCGCAAATGCTTGGGGCACTGGATGCCATTACAAGCGAGCATGATGATGACATTTGTGACGCTCACGTGGCGTTATGGTTCGCGTGCTGGTGGGGTCAAGTGTGGGGGTATTGTCACCTTTTTCAAGAGGACTTGGCCAGCATTCTAACATTTCCTGGAAAGCCATGAAGACCCTCGAGGGTAAAAAAAAAATCTGAATGTGAGGCAGTTGAATTTCGGATCAAACTGCGATTACAAATGACAAAAACAGAAACAACTTGAGACTAGGCTCAAAAGAAAGATGTCTCTGGTGTGGACCAATCAGTTTCAAGGACAATGCATATATTATCAGAATGTTTTTTTTGCATTCTGCCACAAGTATTGTGGTTAATGCAGACATGATTCCTTGTTAAAGGTTTCAGTTTGGTGTTTTAACATCTCAACACAGCTGTTTTGTTGCCAGAAAAAAGGGAAAAACCTATCCTCATATTTTGGTACTGGCAACGGAGGTCCCATGATCTACTATAACGTCTCATTCCATTATACCACTCCACTCTGCGTGTTGCCCTTTTCACCCCCTTTTGAACTCATCACTGCAACCTATACATCATTTCAGATCTGTCCCCCCCCTGGATATCTAGAGAGACCACCACTGGGTTGTCTTCATCCTAAAAGGTCCTCTTAAACAAATCCGCCAATTGCCTAAAGGACCACTTAGTATCCTGAAAATCCCTCCCATAGCCTCAGAAGTGCCTCCTTATTACTACAGAAAAATCCACTTGCTAAAACTTTGTTTGGCAAAAAAGTATTTTCACGTTGCTGCTCCCTGTTTCTGGAATACTCTTCCCGCTCATCTACATCTTGGTTCCCTCCCTTCACTCCCCATCTCTACTTCTCGATTAAACCAAAACACACAGCTAAACTTGCACATGTACCTAACGTCTTCTGGCGCCTCTGGCTACCACATGTTTGCACTGTCTTTTTCGATTTACGTGTGTTTATGTCACTCTTAGCGTGCTACGCTATGAACCCAGCGACCCGGGTTTGATTCCCGCTCACGGCCAACACCAGTCACGATTATCTGAACCGGTCCTGGGCCTCCCCTATGTCAACTCAAATAAGTAGCTGGTAAAACATCTCTACCAGGGAGATAAAGGCGGCCCGGGTGTGGTGCTGGCCACACACCCCCTTCGTGTGCCGTGCCGGCCTTCATAGGTGCTCGCTAACAGCACTTGCTCCAACAGTCTGTTCATTGGCTATACGGGGGGGCTCTCCGTCTTTATTAGACTAAATCTATAATTTACGTACACCTGTACCTAACTTTTTCAGATTACTCGTGTGTTGTGTGTACGACCTTCAAATATATTGTTTGTTAGTTGTGCAATATTCCTCATGGACCCTGTACTCATTTCTCTTTCGGTGCTCATGCACCGGTCAACTGGCTAAACGGGACCATCCGTGTAAACTAATCAAAGTAAATTCTAGATTTGAAGCTTTCGTGACTGCAAGGATTCATACTCTTTGGTTTTATTCCGTAAAGTCACGTAGATAAAATAAAACAAAATAAAACAATTAAATCACGACGTTTCGGAGGCAACACAAGCTTCCGTCTTCAGGTGGAAAAGTCAACGCAGAATATCTGTGTCTGGGGCACAGTTCAGAGATGACCTTGGATTGTATACAGGTTAAGGGAGGGGGGAGGAGTCAGTAAGGGGGCGTGAGTGGGTGGGAGGGCTGGGCTAAGCAGCCTTTTGATAAAATGCTGCGGGTAACACCCACTTCTCAAAGCTCACATCAAAGGGCCCCCCGATGTGGGCTCACATCAAAGGGTCCCCCGGTGCGAGCTCGCACCGGGGGACCACTCACGCCCCCTTACTGACTCCTCCCCCCTCCCTTAACCTGTATATAATCCAAGGTCGTCTCTGAACTGTGCTCCTGACACAGATATTCTGCGTTGACTTTTCCACCTGAAGACGGAAGCATGTGTTGCCTCCGAAACATCGTGATTTCATTGTTTTATTTCGTTTTATTTTATCTATATGACTTTACCGAATAAAACCAAAGAGTATAATCAAAGTAAAATTCAACTTAAAGCATGGATGGGCCAGGCTAAGCACCCACCAGAAGGTCTCTCTAGAGCTCCCTCGAAGCAGAGGTTATTTTGCCAGCAATGGCATGAGCAAGCAGTCTCAGGGTGGCACCTTTACAAATGAGACCGGTTTGGGTAGGAGGCGGCACAATGGTTGAGCCCACTGCTTTATGAACCCGGCGAGTCTGATTACGAGCTATGGCTAACATCGGAAGCGGTCCAGGGGCGCTCCCCTTCAACTACCCACCCAGACCAATGTGGTAAAATATGGTCAACCACCAAGAAAGATAAGGCCATGATAGACGCTTTAAATTTACACGTGCGAGAGTCGATGTGTTTTCAATTCGTACGTTTCACGTAATGGGTTCGCAACAACGCCGCGGCCACGAAAGGCATCATCATTGACTGCAGTGTAACAACAAGAAGAAAGAATCGATTCTTGGAGAAAATCACGACCATGGATTCGCGACAATTGTCATAGGTAAGTCAGCTCCAGTTTGATAAAGGGCAATCATTATCGGGTTAAAAGCGGGGCTATATTTAGTATAAAAATCATCTACAAAAAGAGAACTTAATTGTAAACCTATAAATCTAGACCACCAACGCTAAATAACCTTTCCAACAACGCCAATTCAATAGCCCGCTGTGGACGAACGATTGGCTAAATCTGATAACATGTTTTAACCTTGAGACAATTCAAATGCAATGTAAGATAGAGTTATTGTAAAATCATTGGTGACAAGACCGATAACAACCATGCTTCAAGCAGCCATGGGGTTGTGCTCATCCCCTGTTTGAAATGCTGTACCCTCAGTGGAAAAATTTCACATTCCTTTGACTGGGATGAGTTGCTTCAAAGGAGAACTGCTATTGATTTTCCACAATGTGGCACTCAGTAATATTAACCCCCGGCGGGGATGAATGGCTGAGTCGAATCTCGACCGGTTTTGAACTTGTGACCTTCCATCCTCACGGTGTAATGCCGGGGAACCACCCAGCCGGTTGATAAGAGCCAAATTTGCCTTTAATAGAGTTTCCTTGGAACATACTCTCATAAATCAAGTGCTCAAACCCAGGCACACAATTCTCAAAATAATATTTAATTATCCACGAAATAAATACCAATGCAGTTTTATTGTTCTGAGCCTGACAATGCACTAGTGAACACAACGAAGTGAAATTCGCAATTTGGTTTAATAAAGGTTGCCTAAACACATTAGTGTCCCATCTCCCAAGACATATCAATTCATGCTAGCACAATGCAAACTCTGGATTGGGTGCACTTTTCTTCATGAAATAGACCCTCGCTGACACGTGTGACACTTTATGAAACTGGCAGATAAATAAAGAAGCACAGTGCTGCCACGGGACTCTGAAAGCTATGTACTGAATAGTGCAATCATCTGGGAAAAAATGACGTCTGATCCCGAATGGACACACAAAAGCCTTGCGTCATTTGAGGCACAACGCGGCATAGAGATGCGGGACTCTGAATGCCTGTCACCGGGCTGCAATTGTAATCTAGATCTGAAGTTTTCATGACTGCAGGGATCCACACTCTTTGGTTCTTTCGGTAAAGTCATACGTGACTTTGCCGAAAGAACCAAAGAGTATGCAATTGTAATGTGAATAGTTGCATTCAGTGACACGAGATGGACCGAACTTTCAAATTAATGCATGGTGCAGAGCTTAGACGTCTTTATCAGCACGCCCTACATTTTCCCAGTGTGAATGTAAAAGGCAGAACAATATGCCTCCCATCAATGGTCACAACAGAGCATTCACTAGTAATGGCCGTAACCATTTTAAAATGTATAGCTGAGCGATCCGATTATTTAAGTAATAAATGTATCTACTAATTATTTTACTCGGACTGGCAGAGGATAATAGGAAGGTATTCAGCCTGGACTTGAACAGGGGCAGGGAGTTGGCAGCATGTATACAATGTTCAGCGAGGCCTACTTTCCAGTGTAATGAGAATCCAACTCATTGCCTGTGTTTGGAGCTTGTGCAGAGTTGCCATTATCTATATATATAAAAGGGAAATTTGTGAATATGTGCGTCTTTTCGAAATGTTTAGCATACTTCCCAACATGCAACAAACTTGAAATTTGGCATGTGGGTAGCTTCCAGACTGGACACAATGCAAAAAGTATCAAAATAGACTTTTGTATTTTGGGGGGGGGGGGGCGCAATAATGGATATATTTTGCACGGCAAGTGAGCAGTGACGTCACATCTGTGATGTCACCCGCATGCGGCAGCGACACGCAGTGTGCCTGCTGACGTCACGCATCCCCCCACCCTCCGCGTAGGCCGTGTATTAATCCAAGACAAGAATCCAAAGTCCCGGGCGAAGCCGGGTAGTAAAGCTAGTAACGTATATAGCAACTTGTCCAGACGTAACACACAGCCTACCAAATGTGGTAGGATAGAGCCAGAAGGTATGTGTTAGTCAAAAGTCATTAAGCGTCTCCTTGCTCAAATAAGGATAGGAGAGTGGCCATCTCTATTGGTGTCCATGAGCCAGTGGTGGAAATTCCACACTGCTACGAGTGGGCACCAGTCTCCCGATTGTACAACCATTGTAGACTTCTTTTTTTACTGAACAAGCAGAGCTCATGAACTTGGTCAAAATCACTGACTCCGGCTTGAACTCACAGCCTTCCAATGGCGAGTCGAGCACTCCTACGACATCACAATCTGTCCAGAGTACTCTTAGGTTACTTGGGCTCATTTCTCATTTGCCTCCATTTAAATTCGGGGCTTGCAGCCAAACACCTGACAGAAGCTGGCACAGTAAGCTGCCACACGCTCGTCAGCCCTCACTGGACACCCTCGTCTGCCTTGCAACCCCCTGTGGTTTGTGTGCGGGGCAGCGGGAGAGGAGGATGGGCCAACGTTACCTCAAAATGATCGTCGTCAGCCATGACGGGCATGAACTGCGCCAGCCGCTTGCTGTACCACAGCGTGATGTCTCGGTTCATGTACACTGCGAAGGGCTCGTAGCCCTCCTGCAGCCCGCAGATGGGGAAGTACTTCAGCTTGGTGGCGTCCTTTCCAAAGTTCAGGCGTCCCACCTGCGACAGGCCCAGACTGCATATGGGCATGAAGCCTAGAGGGCACAGAGCAGGCAGCAGGGCGGGGGCGTGAGGCGAGAAGGAACATCTACACGTACGCACGCATCTCTGTGTCTGTGCGTGCGTGTGCACACGAAGCGAGAATGCCTTGGCGAGGAGAAGAAGGCGGTGTGTCGAAGTTGCCGCCAGTCGGAGAGGACTTTAAAGCGAAAGCGACTTTCTTGGAAATCACAAAAAAACTGTCATAAGGCCAGCTTGAAGGCTGGCAATAAAGCAGAACCCCCCCCCCCCCCCCCCCCCCCCCCCCGATTCCCCCTGCAAAGGCTGCCCTGCGTTACACACGGCAACGGGCGACTGAGACGTCACACGTTTCAAGTGCTCTTGCCGAATTGTGCCACGAGACAGTGGCATGACAATGGGAGGTGGGCAGGCAGGTGGTGTTGCGTGCCAAAGTAGAAGGGCGGCAGACACCACGAGTCACACGGCTCATCTCCTGGATGAAAACTTCAGAATGAAAAAAAATGCGGATTTTTTTTTTTTTACAATTTTGTTAGGGAAGCTTAAAACTATTTTTTAGTAAAAAATGTATCGAGTGTTTATGCGCTGTTGTTTTCATGTGTGTGTAAGCGGTTTTTAAACGTGTTTTCATTACTTTTTACACCACGCAATGAAATGTCATTGTGGCTAAAGTATGGTCGATGTGTACACAATAGCATTGCTTTTAAAAACACGCACATATGACCATGTCAACAAACATGCCACTGTGTGGGAGCACACTAATTCGTGGACAGAATTATTATTTTTTACACTTGACTGTTGAAATGGAGGTTATGTAATTATGAATTAATGAATGGTTTCAATGCGATACACCTGTCAAACACGTTGCTACTGCTATGATATTGTTCAAGTCTGTATGGATATGTATAACATTTTAGAATGCAAATGAAAAAACCATGAAAAGTATTTTAACATGAAAAATAACGGTATGACGTAATAAAAAATTGGTCAACAATTATATTTTCCAAAACAGATATTAAGGCGTGCAAAAATATTTGAGAGGTGTAAACATAGATATAGAGAGAGCACATGTGTATTTCCATCATGCTAAAATTATGATAATGTTGTCACATTATAATATAAATTAGTATAGTACTTGTGAATTTTCATCACAGTACTCCCCTAGAAACAAATCAAAGTGTCTCCATGTTCAAATGGGGGGCAGTGCTCAATGCCACTGGTGGCCCCGATAAATACCGATGTGAATTCAACATTTTTACAGTGGAGGTAAGTTTAACCGTAAGACAGCCGCTGTTGTGCTCCCCGCGTATATTGATCCTCATTTAATTGACCCGTGAACAAGTGATCCTGGCTTCGAACACGAATTCAAACTCACATATTTTCGTTTGCGAATCGAGCGCCACACTCTGGGGCACCACTCGGTCACAGATCGAAGGACAAGCACAGCCGGATTCATTGGCTATGCGACACTGCCCAAAGGGAGAGGCTCTGACAAACAGAGGCGCGTGCGTCACACTTTGCGCGGCGCTTACAGTCGCCGAGACGCAGCCCTGCACATTAAACCGGCCGCCGCCGCCGCCGCCGCCGCAGCAGCAGCGCGCCGCTTCAGGAATTCAAATCAACTCGTGTCCACAGCCTCCTGGCAACAGGCAGCCATTCGAATGTTTTGAGCGCACTTTCGGCTGCGGCGCCTTCCCAAAACCGGAGTTGCGTGGGAGGCCAGGACGGGAGAGTGTGTGTGTGTGTGTGTGGGGGAAGCATTGGTACGCTTGCCACGCACGCGCACGGTTAAAGTTGGTTCGCGCAAATGGCTCCGGCGCCGGAAAAATGTTGGTACGGTGCAGTTCGACCTTGTGCCCTTGCAGGATCATCTCGGTGCAGGATGATCTCAGTGCGGGAGCTGCAAAACGCTTTGGGCACAACGCTTGAATGATCGCTCCGACTGTTCACGCTCTCAGCGGTGGAGGCATGGCGAGTTTGGTCACGGCCGTCTCGTTGATTTTAATACCAGATGTGCTCATTTGTTTACGTAGACGTCAAATGTTAGGAATGGTCGGGAGGAATTAATATCTGGGCACACGTACCCCCGCACGTCTGATGTTGCTTGTCCTGCCATATTTGACAGAATGGCTGTACATTCCAAAAAGCTTAAATGAAGCGGCTCTTGTGGTCCTGAAATCCCAACGTTCATAATTGTAGGTGGGTGAAAAAAAGCAGTCAGCAGTTTTGCCTTTAGCACAGCTCTCCTACAGATAATTGTGTTCCTGGCGATTTGCTTACTGAAAAAAGGAACTGAGATAATATTTCTTGATTAGCAGTTCCACATATTGATTTATTTGGTACATACAAGGTGAGACGCTGCTATGGTGTTCTCCTCGCACGGCACTTGAAACAATGAGCAAGTTTCTAAAACTCACCTGCCTCTGTTCACCCAGTAGTAAAGATATACCAACAGTTAGCCGATATGGAGATTACATGCAGTGTGGTAAAATGTGGGTACTACCATCTCTCTTCCAAAATGTCTGGCTAGTGTGGAAGAGTAGGCCAAATGCCCTCTATAGGGGCTCTGTAGAGCTCCCTCCTTTGGAGGCCCTTCTGCCAGCAGTGGCACGAGGAACCACAGGGCTGTACTTTTACCAATATACAAGAAAACCTTGGATTTTGCAGGACAGAATTGTTTAGCTTCGGGACTGCGTAACAATTGGGTAAATTGACGGTTTATTTGGCCATGGTGTCGGAATGCAGGACTTTAAGTGGGCCTGGGGTATTTTTATATCTGCTAACAGATGGCACAGTGGATCTAATATCCCTTCGAAAAGAGAGTGTGCTCTTTCAGGTTATTTTTTGTCTTCTGTTACGATGAATCAAAGCCAGATACTGAAACATGGCAGTCGCTGAGCTCAGAATAATACACAAGCAAAATATTCTCCATATAGCTTTTAACAGACTGTTAGGAGAAATGCTGTAAGGGAGCACCTATTAAGGCCGGCACGTCACATGAGGGGGTGGGTGGCCAGCACCACGCCAGACCGCCTTGGTCTCCCCAGTGGCGATGTTTACACGCCGCATCAGGAAGTAATTTGAGGCTGATTCGACCTAAGGGAGGCACATGACCAGTTCAGATAATCGTCACTGGTGTTGGCACGTTCAGTGGGAATCGAATCCGTGTCACCGGAATGCAGCGCACTAACCGCTACACTACCGCTCCCCATACATCTGCACATACATGCATACACATACACCCACTTTACTAACAGAGAAACACAAAAATGTATGATTACTAAGTACAACTGCTCGGACACGCGCGCAAGTCAGTTCCACATAAGAAACAGCCTTCCATCAGCAGCACAGTAAAGAATTAGTATATATGGTGGCGAAATGCCAGGAAGAAATCAGCGGGTCAATTTGCATAACCACAAAGTATGATATCAACTGTAACAGTTGTGCGAACTTTCCCAGCATTGACAGCAGAGAATCTAGTTGAAGTGTTTATAATGATTAGAGGGAATTTCAGTCCAAAATGAATGCAAATATCTGAGTACAACACTGGATAAGGAGGACCCCCTGAACGACACACTCGACAAGACGGATATGGGGGCCCTTGCAACGGAGATGGAGAAACATTCGGTTTAGGCTGTCAAGCGTCTCTGAGTAAAACCTGCATTATGGATAATATTCACCATGCAAATACAGTTCGGATAAGTAATGGCACGATGACTGTCATTCAGATTATCATTAAACCGTCTAGTTTGTTTCAGCACAGGCAAATCAGTGGACTTATATTAATCAGCTAAACGTGATGCACATCATGCACATGAAACTCACTGCATGTTTACACGGCTCGGAGAAATCAAAACAAAATCTAACAGCATTGCCAACTCTGAATTTAATATTTGAAAAAAAGTGCAGGACCTTGCTAAAGCAGGGTGCTTGTTTCAGTTAGTAGGCGTGATCCAGTGGTATAAATTCCATATCCCCATGGCAGGAGCCAGTATATTCAAAGGATAAACGCTTTTAACCTTCAAAAGCATTTACACCCATTTTATTAACTCTGGACGTACGATGAGACAATTCCCAATCCGTATTATGAACTCAAATCCTTTCAATCCTGGATCGACTGCCACAGTGCCACGCGGATTAATATCACGCCAATTTGGATCATCGGTGATGACAAGCACAAGTTCCGGCACGTACAGCTCACATATTAGCACCGTCTGCTACACCGACGACAAACAGGCAGGAAGCTGTCTTCTGCTGCCTTGAACAAAACGAACAAAGAATGACTCTGTAAGGTCATGTACACACGCGAGGTGCAGCAGCAGCAATCTCGGTAGTGACGCACTGCAATCAGGACACGGCAGCTTATCGCATCCAGAGCGGTGTCACGCGGACGCGCGGACGTCATCTCGCGCGGCTCCAGCAGGCACATGGCCTGACTCTCAGTAGGCAGCACAGATTAAATCGTCCGCTTCCTGGAGGTGTGATGCGATGACTAATAGAAGACGTCACCACAGGCCACTTCAGTTATTATTTTCTCTCTCTCTCTCTTCAGAACATAGCCTTGCAGATGGCACCTAACCGATGCGCCAGTACATAACTGCGTGTGCCAGTGAAACAACGTTCATTTTGAAACGCTACAACAACACAGCAGATGTTTTGGGTTTTTTGCCATTAAAGTGAAACGCAAAGTTATTGAATCGAGTAAAACAGAACTGGCAGGGTGGTGCTACGGCTAGGGCACAGGAAATATGCACTGAAATCCCAGACGAGGGCATCAACTCAATGCCATTATCTCTCTGGGGTTACTAAAATGTGTAACTTATTTTTTTGAAGTAAATGGTGGTTGTCCTATGGAAGGGCAGGCCCCCCATCAAACATGGTTGGAATTTCCCACACCAGACTCATAGAGACATACATTTAGATGAGCACTGGGAAAGACTGACTTTACAATTTTTGTAGGCGAACAAATGAAACAAATGAATTATCTACACATACCAAAAACAAACATTATTCGAGACTCAGTGGCACTTTCTTGGATCAAGGACATTATCGTCAAATTATATTTGCTCATCAGTTGCCCCGAAAATGGACAATCCATTAGAATCCTCCTAGGCCAGACTAACTGGAACCAGCACTGTTTTTGCATAAACTTTTAAAACAGACAAATCAAGCAGACAGCATGAGGTAATGTCCCTTAAACAAAGCATTACATTAATTAAAATTGATTTTCATTCTTAAGTAAATATAAACCATGCTTCAAGGACCAATTCAGTGCAATTGTAGATGTTTACCATCAACCCATACACATTTTATGGCCATCTCCAAATATACACACAGAGACAGAGCGCTGGTGACAGAGATGCACGGTTAGCCCCTTAGATACTAATGTTAACTGATCAGGTAGCACTGTGGTGTTGAGCAGTCTTTCCAGAAGTGCAAGTGGTGAAACGTAGAGGATTGTTCTTCCTCTACAAATCCGTGATCAAAAAACAATATGTGTGGAACATTTATTGTATCCAGAAATGTACCACACTTGTCAAAAGTAACGCAAGATCATTAGCGCCCACGGACTGCAGCAATGTGACGAAGAAGATGAATGTCACTGCAAAATAATAGCAAAAGGAGCCTGCTGATAACATATGGCACAAGAATGGCAGAATAATGGCAGAGGGACTGTACTGGGTTTCATCAACTGGTGAAATGTGATTTTAGTAAGCTCCTAATGCAATCACGGACCAACTTCAAGATCACACTCATAGTCTTCCAGATACCTCCATGGACTGGCCCCTGCCTACATCTCTCATCTCACTCTTCACCCCTCCACACACTCTGCACTCCACATTCTGGAACTCCCTTCCTTCAGCCATCCATGCTGTCCACTCCATGTGTGCATCTAAAGTCATTGCTTTTTCCCTCTGCCTGGACATCTATTTCACGATAAGAAATTAAAAAAATATATTTATAAAAATTTCCAGCATGCCCATGCCTCACTATTCTGTACAGTGTCTTTCGATGTAGTTGCATTTAGAAGCTGTGCGAATCCAAACTGTATCGCACGTTTATCTAAAAGCGTGTGCATGTTCAAATTGGTACTGGTGGGCACTCATAGCTAGTGGTGGAAATTTGACAAACAATCCAATTTCTCCACGGGACAACGACTGTTGCCTTCACACGTGTTCCTCGTCTTTTCGAGACTGAGATGTAAGCTCGCGACCCCAGGACTGCGAGTGGAGAGCTTCACATACAAGCTTCCCTGAGGTCAAATTCGGCGGGGGTTGAGATGTCAACTGCCTCGCCTGGTATGGAAGAGGTCGTGGGTTGGATCCTGACCCTGACACTTGTATATTTGGAGTCTGCGTGTCTCTCTTCCCGTGGTTCACTGGATTTTTCTCCGGGTTTTCCCTTTACATTTAGAAACATGCGTTAAAGAGTATTTGGCCGCTTTACATTTCCACATGGATGATAAACCAATTCGTCGAGCTATCATTTGTGGCCAGGTCGCTTCTGGGCCTTACCTGGTAAACAAAAAAAAATGTTTCTGTAATAGTTTACCGTGCGGTATGCATTACCTGGCTGGTGTCGAGGGTTACAGGTTACTATTCATTTCCACACAATACGCCACTTCACTGGGCTACCATTTGTGATAGCCAGGTCGCTTCTGAAAAAGTGCTAGATAGCCTTAGTTGGCCTTACCTGGTAAAATAAAAAATAGTTTTTTTTTTTTCAGAATATGGCTCTCAAACTTACCCTCGCCGATTTCCAGCTCGCTGAAGGCAAACTCGGAGCCCGAGTCGTCCAGCATGATCTCGCCGTTGAGGGTGAACATCACGATGCGGTCGTTCAGGTCCACGAGGCAGCCCACCACGTCGCCCGGCTGCCACGCCCGCCCAAAGTGCTCTCCCCCCTGGTGCCACTTCTGGGACTGCGATGCACAAGGGGGGAGGGGGGGGTGACGACGATGACGGGTGAAAGCGTACCTTCAAATCGATGACCACCGACGAACCAAACAACGTTGTCGCTTTTTTATTGCGCGCCAGATCCAAGCGACATTTTAAATCACGGTTGCTGAGCACAGGCCCCAAAGGCCCATACCACCAAGCGGCCAGCAACAAACGGCACGATCGAAGGTATACTATGATAGTTTACAAGATGCATTCTCAAACTGCTGATGAATGCTTTGAGAGTACCATGTACAATGTTTCACTACCAAAAAATACGTGGGCTTGAGTACTAAGAAACAATAAACTGTTTATTACACGTCGGGCCAAATATACCATTTAAATTAAACTCTTCAACAAATGCCGTACTTACTTCTCACTATACGTGTTCAGTATATGCTCCTTTTCTACACTGCTTCCCATCATAATTGCCATCAAGTGTTTGATTGCCATCAATAATTAAAACTTTCAAACTCAGAATGAAAGTGTGTATGCATCAGTTCTGACGTTAGCCTTTTGAAAAACTGGCCAAATTGATCAGAGCTGCACAACCCTGGACAAATAAACCAAGACCACAAAGGACTGTGCCAAAATGGAAACACAATTTGCCCTGACAGCTAACAGTCGGCTTCTGCACTGGTAATTAAATACCTCCGAGTACAAATGCATGTTGGAAAGCGTTACATAATCCCTGCGTAGGGATGACTTTTCCAAACTTGTTAATGTTAGCACGACATGCTAAAGTGGAATATATTTAGGCCACAGGGCATCATGGGAAAACCCACAATGCCTCGCTTGCCCCGCTGTTTCCATGTATACACTGAAGCGTGTTCTCAGACTGTTCTCGAATTCTGCCAGCTGCTGTGGCTTCTTCCTTGCCGGGAGAGGACGTCATACATCGACTGATGTTCCCATCCCGACGTAATAAAAATGTTCTAGGGTTTCATATTGCGGACCTTGTAGACTAGGATTAACCAGCGGTATTTTGTATAAGAAAATAAGCTTTCGGTTAGCTAAAATATTCTGGGTCTCATGAGCAGTCGCACTTGAAAAACATTTTTCTGGTTTATCAGATGTTACTGGTGATGTCCCTCCATCTAAACCAGTGGCTCTTAACCTTCACTGCAGCCTGCAACTTTTGTTTCTCGGTCGTTAAAACATGTGTCATGTAAATAAACACATAGGTTTGATGAAACAAAGTAATCGTACTTGCGCGGCCGTGCTCAATTCGTGTTTCTGATGATTTACCTTTGAAAAAAAAATCCGGCACATCTTGCACCCCCAGGGGATGCGTGCGCACCCCAGGATAAGAACCACTGCTCTAAATGATCGTTTGTCAAGCCAAACAGCAATATTATATAAAAGCAGATGACGCACCAGAGTGGAACAGCCTGGGTAATTAACTCATTCAAATTTTGTAATTTCCACATACACAAACAATAGTGCATCGCCTAATTGGCTGTCTATACTTAAATTAATCAGCAGCATTTGCCAATCCAAGACTGGTGTCACAAATCGTGTCCTCATCGGTCAGGCATGCTCAACAAATACTGCTGGTCCTATCTGATGAACTCTGTAGCGGACAAAATCGGCAGCCACGGCCCAAACCTCGCCTTATGAGTCACAGCAACACAAGTAAATGATCGTGCTGCAGTGTCTCACAGCGAGCCTTAGTTTCAATGTAATTTACAGATACATTTCTCCTCTTGTTTGATATCATAACACGTAAACAAGCAATGACGCATTCCATAGGAAACCACAAACAATTAATTATATTCCAATAAATCGTACCTATGATGATATCACATATTTCAGGTATATACAACGATTAAATCGAACTAAAATCCATCCCAATAACACACTCAAAACAAGAGCAGTGACACTGGGTTTGATTCCAGGACATGGCTAACATCAATGGCAATGGCTATCAGAACCGTTCCTATCCTCCTCCCCTTCACCAACCCAGCGTGATGAAGTATGGCCGCTGCAGTTTGAATATCTCTCTCTCCATGCTCCCGTGGATTTTTCTCCGGGTTCTCCGGTTTTTCCCCCCACATTTAGAAACGTCCGTTTAGAGTATTTGGCTGCTATCAATTTCCACACAATATGCCACTTCGTTGAGCTATCATGTGTGGCCAGGTCACTTCTGAAAAAGAGCTACCTGGTTAAATAAAAAAAGTTTAGTTTTAGTTAATAACACCAACTAAAACGCCATTCATTAATAATACACTGAATAAAGAGTGTGGGGGCATGTTCATAACAGTGTCCCTTGCTCAGATGAACAATGGGCTGACATTCATCTCCGTTGGTGACCCTGAGCCGGCGTTATAAATTCCATATCTCTAAGGGAAGAGGGCCCGTTTATCCACATGACTGCCACTGTTGACTTTTCCAGAAAGTAAGACAGATAGTTGACCTTCATTTATAATCAGGTAAGGTTCCAAATTTCTAAAATTCCTCCCCACCTCTGTCCACCCAGCAGTATGAATGGGTTGAACACAGTTAGTCGATTAGCGGGCCATGTGTGGTGGGGTAAAGCATTTGTAGAATTCCTTGCCCCAGAGCGTTAGGGACGCTCCATCAGTCGAAGTTTTTCAGGCCCGTCTGAAAACACTTTTATTTTATCTTGCGTATCCATCTGTGTAGGGTTGTTTTAATCTAAGTTTTTATGTTAAGGGTTTTTACTGGGATTCCGGTATCAAGCGCTGCGAGACCTGGTGTGAATGGCGTGATATTAAACTGAGTCTTACTTTTGATTTAAAGCTTTCGTGATTGCAGGGATTCATATTCTAGGTTCTTTCGGTAAAGTCACCACGTAGAAGGGAAACAATAAAATAATAAACGTCGTGATAATTTAATTGTTTTATATTTTTATTATTTTATTGTTTCCCTTCTACGTGACTTTACCGAAAGAATCAAGAATATGAGTCTTGATTACTTACTTTAGTTACTTACATCCACAGCGTGGTGGTGTAGGCCACGTGTCTCTCTCTATTCGAAGTATTTCCATCAGCAGTGGCGTGAGTGACCAATGGCTGCACCGTTACATTTTTAATGGCGCATGAATACCTGAGGTCTCTATTTTCATAAAATGTAGCTTTGAAACAAAGTCAGTGTGTAAACAAACAGTGTAACCAACACAATATTATTATACAATATAATGACAAAGAGCCTCATGAAACTTGACGATGGAATCAATAACAAATGTAATGGTAGCAGGATGCAATATCATTCCATGTGTGGGAGGCATTACAAATAAAATAACATTTTCCAATTGTAGTCCTGTACTAAACCTTGGGAAGTAACATAGACATTTGAAATCACGTCTTTAATTTTTAAGCGTTTGAAAGCTTTTTCTTATCCTTCACTACGCTAGTCAGTGAAGTCTTCTTGGTTCTTTCGGTAAAGTCACGTAGAATGGAAATAAAATAATAAAAATAGAACATAATAAAATAAAATTCTCACGACGTTTCGGCCACAACACAAGTAGCCTTCTTCAGGTGAAGGAACAGAACTGTCGGGACCACAGCGCTTCAATGACCACTGCTAAGCTTGGCAGCGTCTTTTAAGCTGGGTGGGAGGAGCAGAGCGCCTTGACAAAGGAGTTTACATATCAACAGAAGAATTTAGCATTGAAGTAGCTGTGCTAATGTGTTGGATTAGCAGGGTGTTAAAAGGCAGAAATTAGCATGTAACTGGGAGATTAGCACGATGTTAGTGTGAGAGATTAGCATGTAACTGGTCACGGAAGTAGCTATGTTAAAGTCAGAGTTTACATATCAACAGAGGCATTTAGTATATTGACGCTAAAGAACTGCAACTACCCAACTATCATACAATAAGCCGATGTGAAAGAACTAAGTATAAACTACATCAATATAATAAATGTACTCAATATATTCTTCAATAAGTTGAGCTATTAACATAAAGTAACTGGGTATACACTACACTATATCATGAATACCATATAGTAAACTGATAAAAAACTAAAATATAAATTACATCAATGTTATCAATGAACTCAATATACTCTCCAATCAGCTGAGCTACTAACAATAAGTCGTTACACATTACAATTCTATGTCGAAAAAAGTGGCGGTTTCTTTTTTCTTTTTAATGTTAGCACCACGGAAAGCGACGAGCTTTGTTCAGACGGACGAGTCCATCTATGCTCGGAACGGAGGAGGGGGGAGAAACAGCCACGATGCGCTGCTCTGTCCTGTGTTGCTTTACAACTATGTTATAAACTAGACTACTATACATTACAATGTTATACCTTCCAATCTAAACTACATTGTTTAATATCGTATACACAGCTCAATGTAAGCTCTAACATTATGCATTATATTGATATGTCTCCAACTAAACTTTTTTCTACATTAAACGACTATACACCGTAATATACACTGCCATAGACAAACCCCACCCTTGAATTATACAATGCGTAACTATACACTACCCTATACTTTAGACTATAAAATATTAGACTTGTAATATTACACTATGTATTATTCTACCAACCCTCCTGTATCCCACACTGCTGTATATTCACTATACAATTACGATACTAACTATATATTGCCTTATTAATTATGTTAAACATTACACTGTTATACTAGTTATTATTATACAACATGCTACAAACCATACCATTAACCGTCATGTGAAAGGTATTAAGAGGCAGTGCCAGCGAATGGACTGCGGTCTGAAAGTCACCGTAAAATACAATCAATCAAGAACCTAAATGGTGTATAACGTCTTTCTAATGGTTACTAAGCCAGAATCCATCTTCTCGGTTGAAATTGTCTCTGTGTTTGTATATGTGGATGGCCTCATGAACGAATCTCTCATGGTAGCCGGATAGCTTGCAGAGAACCTTCCGTCTTGGAGAAGTCAATGTCATGTGAGCCCACTTAATAATAACAGTGATCTGCCACGGCTGAGGTGTTCGTCCTACCGTGTTTCAAGTCTGCTTTATGTTCAC